CCCTTACCCGAGTATGTGCCCTTAATTTCGAAGGCTAGAAACAAAGTCCGAGGGGAGGATGATGAATCCCGGTGGACTTCAAGGGGACAAGTCTGGTAGGCTTTTCGAGGAAGAGTCAGGCCGATGTTCAGGGGGTTAGTCCGGCCGACGTAAGGAGGGTTCGTCGGCCGACGTAAGGAGGGTTAGTCCGGCCGACATAAGAGGATTAGTCCGGCCGATCATAGGGTTAGTCCGGCTGACATAAGGGATTAGTCCGGCCGACACAAAGGGGGTTCGTCGGCCGACGTAAGGAGGGTTAGTCCGGCCGATCATAGGGTTAGTCCGGCTGACATAAGAGGATTAGTCCGGCCAACACAAAGGGGGTTCGTCGGCCGACGTAAGGAGGGTTAGTCCGGCCGACATAAGAGGATTAGTCCGGCCGACATAAAGGATTAGTCTGCCGGACAATAGGGGCTTAGTCACCCGGAGAATAGGGGCTTTAGTCCGGCGACGTGGGGGACAGAAGCAGACAGGTGTAAGGACGGAAAAACAGGAAGTCTGAGGGGACAGAAGGACAGGACGTCCGAAAGGACAGAAGGACAGGAAGTCCGAGAGGACAGGATGTCCGAAAGGACAGAAGGACAGGATGTCCGAGAGGACAGGATGTCCGAGAGGACAGGAAGTCCGAGGGGACAGAAGCTAGAGTAAGACTACACTAGACAATGTCCAGAGTAGAAACTGACAGAGGTAGACTACCCGAAGGAGAGGCGGAGTATAGCCCGAGGAATCAATCCCAGGACACAGAGGTTGGACAGGGAAGTGGACCCGGGCCCATGGAAATGGATCCGGGTCCGAGGAAAAGGGATGAGGATAATCTCAGGTGATATTCAAACTCAGGAAACTACTACGAGTTTACAAGGTATTATATACTCGGAGATCCGGGTCAACAAGAGGAACATACGGAAAGGCTAAACTGACAGGCGCAAGGAAAATAATACAGGAACAATCGAGAACGGAGACGGAGATGAAGTATCGAATGGATCTGGGCATAGGAGGTATGATCGAGAATGAAGTCGGAATTAACTGTCAAACAGATCCGGGCATATAGGGGTTAGGACAAGGGGACTATACAAATGGGGTAACAGAATAGGAGCAGGACCGGAAATGAACTGTCAAGCGGATCACGGGAAATGGGGACGGAGATGAACTGTGAAGTGGATCCGATGTTTTAGGGGTTAAGTGGACCTGGGTCGAAGCTCAGGATTGAGTAGGTCCGATGTTTAGGGTCCGATGTATAGGATGTCCGACGAATACAGGAGGAGTGGACGAGTGGACGAGCGGGACGACATGAGTGAGATCCGACGAATAGGACGTCCGAAGAATAGGACGTCCGACGTATATGGGAAACAGGGCAGATCCTGCTGAGGGGTATGTCCGGTGGAGACTGGGATGCGGAGTTATCCTGCCAAGGGTTAAGGTATAGCTTGGCTACATTTTGGAGGTCCGGACATTGTTTGTTGGGAGAGATGGGATATGATTCAGGGGCTCAATGTACGGTATATGACACGGCCGCTACATATGGATTGTTGAGTATTGTAGGTCAGGTTCCGTGCCAGGAGGGACGATGGGCTGCGCAAAGCCAAACCGGCTACCAGATTGGCGGTGAGAAAAAGCGGGATGCATATTCGATACATCCAAGTCTTTCTTTGTTGCCTTACTAGTACCTTTCTTTCCCCCTGTTTTAGAAGTTGCAGGATCCTCCACTGTTTCCGAGACGGTATATGGTGGAGGGGTTTCTGTCGATGTTCAATATTAATATCTAACACCAACATAAACAGACCTGCCTTTGTGCGATTACCACGACCCTTACGAGGTGGTTCAGGTGCCAGAGGATTGGTTGGTACATCGATGTCAAGGGAGGTGGAGCCCTTGGGCTGAGTAGTCCGTGCCGGGGCATCCAAGAGAGCACCGATTTTTTCGAGTTGCTCAACCCTACCTCCTTTTCCTGCGCCAGAACGTCCAGAACGTCGAACTGACGGTTTGTCTGCAGAAATTGGCTCTTGCAACACCACGGATGCCTTGGCCCCAGCACGCGACTTCTTTGCAGAATTTGCTTGACCATCAGAATCTACAGCTTTACGCTTTGATTTCTTCTGGCTCGCACGAGGAGACATGACTGGACCACGCCACTAAGAGTAGAACTAGTGGTACGATCAGCACGAGAAAATCACTGATAGATACACACCGTTTTAAGGCTCGTAGTTTGACTCGTAATCGGGTCTCCAGTGCCGCATGCAGGTAATGTGGGAGAATCTTGCGAAACTGAATATAGCATCTTTCGGAAATATGAGTCGAGCGCTGCATGCAGGTAGAGATGGTGAGCTTGAACGTTGAGCGGAGGTAATGATGCATGCTTTATTTTACACAAAGTACAAAATGGGGATATCATGTGACTCATATACTTGCGCGCCGGTATCGGTATCGGATATCAAAGTGTAGTACATACTGGTAAATTTGAACTCTACCCAGTTTTGCTCCTCTTCGGCTTGGGTACAACTTCCATCGTCCAACGATGATCGACCACTCGCTTCCGACGTGTGTCATCTACAGATAACTCACTGTCCTCATCACTGCCACTGGCGGTAGTAAACGAACCTGCCGCTGAGAGTATTACCCATTTGGAAACCAGGAGTTCAGGGGAGTCCTCCGAGGGCAGTGCAGCGATGTGCTTATCCAGCAAATTGATTACGTCGTCAAAGACCAACTACTTGGGGTTTTTAACGAGTTCATACCACGCTAACGCGAGTGGAAGGAGAGATTTGAAGTAGGGGTCGAATTGTTTGGCGAGTTCCATAGTGTAGTGGTCAGATTGATGAAAAAATCGAGTCTTGCTGTCCCCGCACTTTTGGTACGTCGACGCGGACCATTCTCCTGTTATCCATTTCACTTTTTGATTTGAATGTGGGAGAGTTGTAGGGAGAACACGCTTCATGCCGAGAGGGCCCCTGAACTCAATGCAGACCCAGATGAACACATAAAACATCGACTCCAGATCGTCGTTGTAGACATGCGTGATCATGGGGGCTGGGTATGCTTTCGATCCCGAGGCTCGTGTACCCATGCGCTCATCCGACGGATCCGGTGTATTGAGATAAAGCTGGAAGAGAAGGGATCGCGACATGAACGGTATTGTGCCCTGAGGTTATGAGGTATTAATTCATATATAGATCCTGGAAAGAAACCAAAACACTAACGGTGCCCCCGACACTGTATTTATCGCCTCGTACGATATCTACAGCAAACTCCCAATCTATCACTTCCCGCCATCATCATCCCCAATCATCGCGTTGTTCAAACTGCAATCACGATGAAGGATATGCCTCTGCTCTACCGCAAACTTCTGGACTGAAAATATTGTGAGTGGAACGGTTAGGTACATACAATCAAAAATCACTTACCCTTCAAGATGTCCCGTATCGCAGTCAAGAACTCCAAACGTGAACGGAATTGATACAAGGGTCGCGCACGGGGCTTCAAAACCATGCGAACATGCGTATGGGAGGTGCCCTGTAAGCTGCGCGTGATCTTTTGACGATACTTCACCGTCTCGTCAACCTCGCCAGGCTCCATCTCCACAAGCCAATATTCAACAAGGTGAGGAACACCACGGAGCCCATCCATCTTCTTCATCATACAAATTTCGTTGAGGACCTCCGATTCACTGCCAAGAACCCAGTGATCTTTAATTATGTACTCTTCATCGTCCTTCCTGGCCAGATAGCACGTTGTGCCACGACCAACGAGGCCTTGCGTGGAGAATATTAGATCGAGTATATCGTACGTGTTTTCATTTACTCGTATTTTTCCGATTGGCTCTGGGAGGGGTTCACGGAGAGGATCAACAGGGACTTCGTCTACAGGGGGGGACCATGCTTGGAGGGATGTTGGCTGCAGGTTTGCGCTCCGCATCCTCTGTGGTGTATGGGGGTTTGTTCACGATCTCTTCAATTGTGGTGGTCTCGCTTTCCACGATCAGTGCATCTGGGATTGCTAAGGTAGCAGTCTGGTGCGGAGCAGGTGAGCGTGAGTGTTTGGCGGGGCGGAAATCAGGGGGTCGATGCGTGCGGTGAAGTGTGTGTTTCAATATACTGATCGTGGGGTCGAACCCGATGCACTCGAGATTGCCGAAGACAATGGACGAAAAAATCTGTAAGAACTTGTCTGGCTCTCGATCGATGTTTATGCAAGGGCTGACAACACCACCCGAGTGGTCATATAGGTGGATGCGAAGCTCGCGATACCCATTGCAGATGGAGACCAACAGTGCGAAGCGTCTCCACGGTTGGTGTTTGAGAAGCAGATACGCCTTGGAGTCGAGAGTTTTGGCAAGGGGATTTGAAGGTAAGTAGGCACTCGAAGTCAGCTTGCATACGGCCTTGATTGTGTCCCATCTAGCCTCGATATCATCAAGTAAGGTGAGGTCTGGTTTGCGCGCCATTGCATCGCCGGGTACTGGGCGTGAGGAGTTTGATGCGCTCCAGACACGAGATAAGATGCGCTTCTGAGCGAGTTCAGGCCGTCGCAGGAGGAGGGCGATGGAAAGGACATTGTAAAAGGATGCAAAAATCTGTTCCGTTGTCCATGGCTGGAGTACTGGGGTTCTGCCACCACTGTCACTTTCGTGTTGGACACTGGCAGAGCTGGCATTCATAGACTCGGACATTTCGTCATCCTCAGGCTGGCTAGAGGCAACAGGTGCAGCCAGTGTCATCGACGAAAATCCAATCTCCCGACTTCTCATTCGTAGTTCCACTAGTTCTCCTTCCCTCTCTTCATGGTCCGTTCTTCTCTTCTCTCCTGCCCTGCTTACTTTTTTGTCCAGGAAGTTTGTCTAAATGTGACTCTGGGAGTGGCCAGTTCCAACGGCGTGCTTGCGTGTCATAAAGCGGTACGAGGATTGATTCGTTTTGAATTTGCTGAAATGCTTCGACCCTGGTATCGGGGTGGATTTTCTTCAACGAAACTTGAAGATCCTTTGCTTTTGGGACCTTGCGGTTATAGGACTTGAAGATCAACGATAATACATGGCCAAGCTCATCGCTGTTGGCAGGTGGAGATTCCTGCAAGATCAAGCGAATAAGTTCCGAGCTGGTCAGTTTACTCATTGTCGGTACATCGTGAACCTCTGGAGCTGACATCAAGGATGCCAACTTCATCCCGAGGCCCCCAGAACAAAAATGCCTACCAAGTGGCATGAGGGAGTGCTAGTGCTGTGTGTACAGGTACGAAAATATTGTATTTGACGCTTTCTTTACTAGTCTACAAAAATGGCCTTATATTGCATCAAATGATAGCGCAAAGAAGGCGCTTTTATCCAGAAACTCGTTCAACCAAAACTCCGCGGCATGCTCCAAACTGTTGTACGCTGTGAGACGCTTGTCAGCAGTAGCGCCAAAACGAGGTACGAGTTGAACAGGAGCCCTCAATTGAGATAACGGAATAATGTCGCCCATCCGGTTTCCATTTGAGCGTTTCGCTCGCTTGAGTATATGAAGGTGTGTCGTTGGATCGCGATCATTTGAGAGATCAAAACGTTGAACATATGTGAGGAACCGATCCTTCCAAGACCATAGTAAACCACTCTTGCCAATGGGTCGCATAATGAGTCTAATCTGCGCGATTGTGTGACCTGTAACAGTTGAGCTTTAAATGATTTATTGTAACGCAAAACAGAAAGCGCACCTGAAAGACGACTACTGGGCCATGAGAAGCCCGCACTGGTCTCGGCAATGACTGTATCATAGTGGCCCAAGATCCACGGGTCATTTGGTGGTGCACAGTTTAGCGTCTGAGCTGGTTTGATGGCGTGAGTGTCGTGTAAATCCATCTCTTGCAAGCGAATTTTAAACCAGACTTGAACTTTGTCAAATGGGAGGACGGCACCAGGTCCAGCCCTTCTAGGGCCACCTATTGCATGAACATGCCGTTGTCCATAAGTTGCCTCACGTTGAAGGAAATCAGCTATGGCTTGTCGTAGATCTGGTAAGCCGAATGTGATAGCGACTTCATCAACAGTGATGCTCCGAATGGAGGGGTCATATGAAAGATGAAAGGCAGTAGATTTGTCGACAAAGGAGCGAAGTGGTACAGGAACGGAACCCACTTCTCGGTACTGGAGTGCCTTAGCAATCGCGAAATAATTCGTAATTTGGCGTGGGTGTCGGGTTGGGTCAATGGGATTATCTTGTGTGTCGATGTCAACGTCGATCTCTTCAGCATCCAAGTCCAACCCCTCTTCCTCAACCCTCTGCTCGTGATCCAACAGGCCGGTAGCGAGCTCAAAACGACGACACTTTTCGGCGCGATCGAGGTATCGACAAATTTGTGTGTCATAATTGTTGTTATTGCTCGATCTGGCGGGGTCTTTGATCTCTGTAATGTGGGCGTGTTCAGTGATGTCGGCAGACCACTGTCCTATGACGCCAGAGTTACGAATGCTGGGAACGATACTGTGCATTAGCTCCAGCTTGGGGATGTAAAAGTTGTCGATGACTCTATTACCCTTCCCCCGACGAGCCCCGGCAGCAATGATTGCATCCTTGTTTGCGTGGAACTCATTTAGTGCACGTGAGATGCGCCCGAGATCTTCCTCGTCAATGCGCGGCGACTGTACGAGATATCGGAACTGCATGAGCGCCCGTAAAGCAGCGATGACACCAGCAGGTGCTGCATCCGCACTGACAGCGATGATATACCGTTGAATGTCTCGCTGACAGCGACCGGTGACTTGTTTCAGCTTGGAGATGCCACCGTGAAAATGCCGATGACCGGTGATGGGCTGCAACACTGAAAATCGGAAATCGATTTCGGAATCTCCAACAGCGTTAATGAGCCATTGGGCATCGTGGTCAAAGAACGCTTTATGAAGATGGTGGAGTGATTCTGGTGTCAAAAAACGGGAGGGGTCTGCTAGTATGTAGTCCCACCAGAATGGCTTGTCGACGCCATTCAGTCGGAACTTCTGTGCCTCGCGGAAAAACACCTCAATATCATTGGGATCAGCGCGCGAGCGCACAACAGCAAGCTGTGCAAGAGTCGTCGATTTCGTCCGGGGTTCATGACGGAATGCATCCCCGAACTGCTTATACATCGCCATCGTCACTGGCGACGTTTTTCCACCAACAGTTGCCAGCATCATGGCCTCGGGGGTGTCAGCGATATAGCTCGCGAGAGCGGTGAAGCAATACCGACTGTGTCCGGTAGGATCAGACAGCATGACACCACGTTGAGCGGCCTGCTTGAGTGGTTCGAGAATGATATTGAGGCATTCATGTATCAGTCGATCCTCCAATACGCCCTTCATTCGCTTCTTCTTGTGAATAAACTTGGGGACTGGTAACAGAGCAGCGAGAACAAAAGAGTTGGTTGATGATTTTAGGCGTATGTTCATATGTATATTGGCGAGGCTAATTAGAAGCGGATGAGCCACGCGATCCCCTGTTAATGCACTGATATTCGTCTTGTCGGAGGAGAGAATGGTGCCGAGGAGGGTTGCGCCCTTTGGTATCGCCGACTTCAAGAATATTTGAGTGCCAGACCTCAATAACTGACTATCTACTCACCTGCATGTCCCATGCATCGTTTCCTGACATCCATCCAGCATATACGCGACACAACCTCTCTGCAGTAGAGTAAATCTTGTGAGGTGTGAAGTCGATATGATTTTGAAATAGCGGGTGGTTGAAGATGCTGGCGATACATTCAATAGGGTCGCGCCAGTACAGAATTACAGGCGATTTCGTAGGATGCGATGTACGAATTACTTGAGACTTCCAGCGCGGACCGCTGGGGAGCATCTCAGCTCTACCGCGTAATTCTTTGGCAGAGTGAAACGACAAGGGTAAATCCTTGATCTAAAAAGACGTGAATCATAAGCAATAAAAGTGAGATATACGCACTGACCATTTCAAGCGATAGAAAAGAGTCAATCTTGCCCATGCTCAGGCCTGAACGTAGCAGCCATGCTGCAACTTGCCAATCTCTTCGGCTGCTAAACGGATAGTAGAGATTCGTTTTCCGATATACACTGTTTTCGTCTGCATCAAACAGCCCCAAAAATGTGTAGCCATCCTCATAGGCCAGAGGAGGCTCTGGAAAATAGTCGGTTACTTCGCGCACTTCATGACCCGCAGTTCCCTCAGGTATATCCTCTTCTTCTCCTCCACCATAGAAATCATGAAAACTTTCCTCGCCTCCAAGTCCCGGATCGTTGTTAGAAATATCGATGTCATCTGCTGAGTCCATGTTATGATCTTCACTCAGGCTGGGCGAAATGGAGTTAATCATGTCGTCTAACCACGTGTTGCATCCAGACCGAGGCTGGCTTAGATGACGAGCAACAGAAGTATGGTCTTTAAACGCTTTGCCGCATGAGGGGCAGCTTGAATGCGACATAAGTCATACTAAGAAACAAATCATAATAATATCAGTAAGTATCGGGTGATATCGGCATTTCCCGAAAACTGTACTCAATACACCATGACCATCAATCTGCGCGCATTATCAACAAGGGCGTCGGGCCTAGTGGACAACATTCTCGATCCACATCATCAACACCATGATGACACGAAACCAGGGACGCACGGGATGGACCCTTACGAACTTCTTCAAGCTATTACTTCCTTGGTAAAGTCAATTGTCTATTTCTCGTTTTCATAACGCGCCTTAAATTTTATCAGTCTATACAGAAACCAGCCAATTCTGAAGCAAACCTTGTTATGGACCTTGCACGAGCCAAACGTGAAGTACTTCGGGCACAGAAGGCACTCGCGGAGTGTTTACTACGGGAAAATGAAGTATTGGCAAGCTTGCTCAGGCTTCGAGTGGATACCGCAAAGAACACTCTAGATGATGCAGACATGGGCCTGGGGTGTATGAGACTTGCCTTCAGACAGCATGGCTGGTCTCATTGTCCCTTATCTGCAAAACAATGTGAAGGTGATCAGCGCACCGGTAAGTTTATGATCTGTGAGAGACAACTATCGTCCTTATCAATCCCTCAGCTACTACGAGAGAAGTCCCAAACGATCGCGTTCTCACTATCCAGCTTGATTAATTCGTTTGCCACGGACAGGTCGAGAGTTGGTACAATTTTGCATTTATAGATATTCACCTTGTGTCCTACTAGTATTAGCATACATATACTTACTTGTGCGCTCGCTGTCCCTTCCAGTTCTATATACAAATTGTGTTTTGTGCTGTTGTTATTTCAGTGTTGAATTAGATTTTGCCGCATTGTTTGAAGTCCATCCATAGTCCGAAATAAAATAGACTTCACATTTCAATGATATTACTAGGTATATTACTAGTAGCTATTCGGACTTGAACTCCTTGACTTTCAAATGCAAAGTCCTGTGAGCCGTGTAGAACTATGAGTGATTGTAACAAATGTATACCTGGGTGCACCTAGTATTTTTCTGTGACTCTTGGCGGAACTGTGAAATCTGTGAGTGATTGTAACAAATGTGTACCTTGTAGCACTGTTTTGCTGTGACTCTTGGCGGAACTGTGAAATCTGTGATTGGCTGTCGTGGGAACACAAATCTTGTGCTTTCTGTGGGAAAAGTTGTAGTTTGCTGATGAAGGGCGAGCAGTTTGCTTTCAGCAAACCTATCTGGGGGCACATGACCGTCAAACTCATGGGCCCCATCGTGGCGCTTTCCGACGATGCCTTTGCGAGCATTATTGCGGAGGCACAACAGTATGCCAAGCACGCGAAAAGTATTGGGAACTCGAGGACTACCACCAGTGACGCGCCTGACGAGGATGACGTGTTCGCTGACCTATTTGCATTCCGTTGAAGGTGAGGTCGTTTGGCGCTGGTAATATACATGTTTCTATGCTTTCATTCCGCACTCTACTTACCCATGCTCCCCGTCTCCTATTTGATTTTTTATCATCCGTCTTGACTCTCTGATTGCATCTTATTTGCTTTGCAAACTTAGTTCTTAATTTGTCTTACTGTATAAATTCAAGTGCTATTAAGTCATGTGTCAATGTAAGACAAGAAACTTATGTTAAGATGAAGGTCTTTGAAAAAGACTGTCTTATTTTGACTTGGCCGCAAATTTAAGCTCATTAAGTTAATTTAAGAACCGTGGTATTTTACTGATGTGCATGCCTCGGTGAGTTATTACTGTCCATCTGACCCGTGATGCCCCACGCTGTCTTTTCTGGCTTCAGCGTAAATACCAAAATTTATTAATCCCACATGGAATCGAACCGGTGTTAAATTGTTTGCTTTGTTCACAGTCCATCAGTGTTGCTCGTGCGCCTGACAAGGCACGCGGTTGTTCATCAAATCCACCCCCGATAGTTCAACGTTCAGATATGAGCTAGTATGAGCTGTGTTGGAATTTCCATTGATTCTGAATGCAAAAGCACCACACTTTAACTCCTCTGCGCCTTCGAAGAAGTCACCTTAGATACCCTTGGACCAGGTCCTTACAATATACTTACCAGAATCACTATCGATCTTACCAAGAATTCAAGTTTGCAAGTCACATACATGGCGACGAAGCGCTCTAAAATTTCTCAACGCATACGCACTTCGTTCAGAAAAAGTTACATTTTTACAATCAAGCAGCATCGGTGAGATCATATCCATATCTGGCCTTGAACGTATGATCAGCCGAATGTCCTCGACCGCCAGGGAACACTTACAACTTAGGTTCGTCATTTCGCTCCACGGACAATACTGACGAATTCCTCCCGCCCATCATTCACTTGATGCATATCCAACAATACTACTGGAAGCTTCGGAACTGACTCCATGCCGGGGGCGCCCATTGGGGCAGCAATGCCCACAACCTTTGTCACCGATTTCTTGCAAACTGGGCACCGAGTGCAGGAACCGTATGATGCGCACACCGCGCAAACGGCGTGATTGCAAGGACGGATACTGCAAAGTAATCCGGTAAGCGATCACTTCATCCGTACGAGGGAAAATGAGTTTTGCGACAAGTTTGCGATAGTACGTACACGCAGCCCAACATATTGTTTTGGCATTCGCATTTCTGCAAAGGGACGCGCGCGCCAGGCTCGTAAGTGACAGCCGTCCCCACGCCCAACATCCAATCCAACGTAGAAACAGTCTTGATCATCTTAAACATGTCATATCCGTGTATGTCGGTTGGCACTTCATTGAAGATGTCAAAGAAAGGAAGGCCTGCTGCGGCATACACTTTGACATCTACTGGGGTTGGGGGTGCCATCATCTTGGTGATATGTTCGAAATGGGCCGCATTCATGACTTGTACGTTGAAGACCTTCGCCCTCTTGACGTCCCAGATAAGTGGGTTGTTGTGGTCTTCATTGATGACCTGCTTGATCATCCCGCCAGCGGCGAAACTCATTGTTGGCATCAATTCCCCACCCCCTCTCAGTCTCATGGCTAAATGAATCGTCGAGTCCTTTTGAATATTATAGTACAAAAGCGTGCGGCCATCTTCAAGTTGCTTTCCAGCAAAGACGAGCAGTTGCTGGTCCGGCGGAATTCCTTCCTTGTCTTGGACCTTCGATTTGAGACCGTGTACAGTATCGCAACCTTCTGTCCATATAATTATTGTCTTTCCCGAGATGGTCTTCACAAAAATACTCATGCCCCAGTAAGTGGTTGTAGGTGGGGGTATTTCCAGGTTTGTCATAGTCATTTCGGAGCCGAGAGAGAGTCCGAGTTCGTGAGGGGTGCGATAGATATCCATTCCCTCAAAACGCACTGAGGTTTTGTACGCTGGTATCACCTCGAATTGGATCCCGCCCGTTGTCTCTGACCCGGTGATCTGAATCTTTCTTAGATATCGCTAATTCCGTAAACTCAGAAATTTACCTGATGCTCGATCGAATAACCTGATCCATAGGGAACAGCAACAAACTGCTTAACTACACCCGGACCAGTTGCAATACCATCTAACCATGGCTGTTCAGGTACGGTGATGTAGTCCTGCTTTTTTGCAACGCCATTTTGTCGTTTGAGCAGAGTAGCCATGTTCGGAATCATGGGCTCGCCAGAGATGCTATTGACGCCACCAATATATATCCGAATAGCGAATTTTTTGTTGCTTTTGAACTGCAACCACATCGCTTCCCGTTCTACAGCCAGCAGCAACACATGTGTGATAAAGCCTCGACCAAATTTGACCAAAACTTACGGTACATTGCAAGAAATAAACCACCTTTCTCGACCATATCTTGTGGCAAAATATGGGAGAACTCGGAAACATTGTAAAGTGGGAAGCTCCCAAGTCCTGGTGGAAGATTGTTTGATTTACCAGTTTCTGGTACACGGATTGTGCGCCGGAAAGAAATTGTGAGAGAATCATTAATGGAGAGGCTGTCAGCACCGAATTCATTGTCATGGCGTGGAAGTTGGGCGCTGAGGGGTTCGCGGGGTAGACAATGATTGAAGAAGGAAATGAGGGGCTCGTCCTGGTTGATTTGGAAGTCGTTTTGATTATACGACGATTTGCCGGAGGTCAACTTGACACGAGAATCCCTCGACATAGTGGGGAGGTGCATCGTGTAGTTCAAAATCGTGAATTTCGATGTAGATACGAGATGATAGCACACCGTGCGCTGAGGCTCGACGGGGTTTGAAATTGATTTCTGTAAACTCCGCACAAGCGGAATCATTCGAAACTTTGCGGCCCCTATAGTAGTGCAAAGTTGGTTGCGCTGTGGCCGGTGGCCCTTGCAATTTGCGCTCCGACCGGTCCACAATTCATGAGGCAAGTATTAAAGGCAGGGTCCCTTCAAACCAGTTTCGCATCTTACTCGCACGTCATGGAGCCTATTACCACATTTCCATTTAGTGACCTCCCAGTTGAGCTTGTCCTCATCATCCTCAGATATTACGTGCAACCCACCTTTGATCAGACTGCTCCATATTACTCTAAAAGTCCATATTCAAATGCACGCGCCCTCTGTCATTTCTCCAGAGCTGTCAGGCGGGCGGTACTTCCAGAACTCTTGCACACCATATTGCTGGGGGACTGTCAAAAAGTGAGAGTGTTCGTGCTTGCTCTACATATGCAGAAAATATATGCGGAGAAAGCAAACCACCTCCATTTCGACTACATTCCCCATGTGCACAAGATCTGGATTGGACCCGACGGTGGCCATCTCATACCAAATTACTTGGACGACTGGGTCTATGCATCGGAGCTTAAGCTTGCTATAAGCCTGCTGGCTCCGGTGCTACTCGCAGCGCCAAAACTTGCCATCGCTTTCACAAGTCTGGATCTTCTTTCACAATGCCTTGCACATGCATGGAAATCCCATACAGACACAAATGTGAACGATGAACATTCCCCGCCTCCGTGGAACACACACACTCTGACCCTATCGGGTGATTCAGATAGCTTATGGCGGCTCACAACCACTCCCCAAGGATCTGCTTTCCTTGCTTCAATCTCTCACCTCACCACTGGATCCCACACGCTCACATTTGACGATCATTTTTTTGAAGCCATGCATAATGGTGTATCTCGAGACTACCACCTACCTCTGCGGATAAAGTGTATTCCATGGGAATCGCTCAAGACGCTTCAAACCTTTTCAGTTGTCTACCCGCATATATCACCCTCGTTCAATATACGCATGTTCGTCAAGTTCAGAACCGAGGGAAAGGACTTTCACGTGGGGCTGCTGACGTTGCCTGCATCCTTGTTGAAGAAACACTGTCACAATCCCACTCTCACTCCCTGGAAAATACGTGCGTTTGCCGAGACTGGTCCTGGAGAGGAGCGTATTCGATCGAAAAAGATTCGTTTCAAGGTGTCCCTTTCACCCATACACTTTTGGTATAATTCTGAAGATTGGGAGAAGGTTTGGGCGTGCGAGTTATGGGACTGACGAGGGGTGTTATGAAGCTGACGAGGGATCATATGATGTGACTGATATTGTGCATACATACATTTATCGCGATACCATATGGACATGATCAAGCCTTTGTCACTGTATGAATAACTCATAAACTTACGTACATGATCACTATACTCGATAGTCAAACCTTTGTTACTGTACGCATAGCTCATGAACCATAAGCAAGCAAGCCATCAGCTGCAACGTATCTTGGTTCCACATGATGAGATTTGAAACCAACCGCAGCTTGTTTCTTCGCGGGTAGGTGCGCTTCCTGGCCGTTTTAACGATTAGCTATGAGACCTTGTGAGCGTACGAACCGACGGAAAGCGACCTTCGTTATGAAAGAAGTCACCTTAGAGATCGTTCGTGTAATAGATAATAGCTTGTTTAAGCTGTCATTTATTACACCAAGAGCCTCAAGTTTGTAAATCGCATACATAGTGACGAAGCGCTCTTGAAATATTGATCTCTCAACGCGTACGGTTTTCGTTTCGGTAAATTTACAATTTTTACATGCAAGCGACATTGATGAGATCCTATCTATAGATGTATAATCAACAAAACGTCCTCAACCAGCTAGTAACGGTAGCGAAAAAGACTTACTTGCAATTCTACATCTTCGCCTTTGTGTCTCCCGAACCATGCACGATCTCATCCAGGATCTCGACAAGTGCCTCTCCGAGTGCATCGGGCTTCTCTTGAGGGACCTGATAGATTTGGGGAAGCAATATTTCATAAACTAACTTGACAAGGTAAATTGAGACGAGGCCCACGTACCAAGTGACCTGCCCCCTTGATAGTGCGCTGAGACACCACCCTGTGCTCTGCAGCGTCCAAGATCTCTTTCCTCGCCGTCTTAGATCTACACACATCCCGTCACGTCACTCCTCGACCACGAACGAAAAGAAAAAGGAAAAAATGAACGCACATAAATTCCTCAAACTCAGCCCAAACAACATGAACCCCCCTCCCAGCCTCCTCCACCGCCCTACACGCCCGCCCAAGAGACTCAGGCTCAACCGTATGCGACAAACAAGCATACAACGGGCTCTCCTCGTCTTTCCTCAATGTAGGCGTAACGTGACTCTTCCTCTTCCCTGCATCAAGTTCCGACTCAATCACCTCTTCAAATCCATACTTCACATAACCACTCAAAACCCTCTCATCCCACTTCCTCCAAACACCTTTTCCACCTACCAACCATCTCGTCAACGCTTCTCTTTCCGTCCAGCGGTCGCGTTTAGCCAGGCAGCCACGGACGTTTGCGGCTCCGTGGATGGCACGAGGGTCGGTGGGAGTGAGAGAAGGAAACATCAATGTGGGTTCGACCATTATGAGAGCAAAGGGCGTAAGAGAAGGGGGCATGGATGTGAGCGCAAATACCCAGAGCGTACAACTCCCTGAATGTGCGACTCCTACTACTGTGCTGGATTTGAGCGAGGGAGTGGAGAGGAAGGCTTGGAGGTAGAGTGCGATATCTGCCGTTGCTTGAGGTGATGTTAGTCTTACTGTAGTAATGCACGGTGGGAAGGAGGAGCAAAAACGTACTGCACATCGCCTTCCCAGCTGCCTTGCGCGCATCAAGCACGGGACGGTTGAGAAGTGCTGTTTGACCATGATTGGGGAAGTCGAGTACCCATATATCTCGGATTATAGCGCGAGTTTGAGCATGTGAGAGCAGGCGAACGATAGTAGGGTCGTACTGTTCCTTACTGTTCCTTGTCTGAAACAAATTCTGGGTTAGCGTCCAAGATGTAGTCTGAACATCGGAAGCTCTCACGACTAGCGATTCCATGGGTGAACACGAGGGTGAGACCGTCTTTAGCGCAGGATACGGGGTAGTACAGTGTGGAACACTTGAGTTCGACTGGGTCTGAGCCTAGAGTTGTGTGTAATGAGAGGACGCGCCGTTCAGGCAACGGAAGCTGGGACATTTCAGACACTCAGGTTCGATTAAAATCAACCTGTGGGACCGTCTTGGTTAGAAGAGGACAACTTGCACGCCTTATAAGAGACAAACTGATAGAGGAACCAAGGACAGCGCTACTAGTAGCACCAACTTGCACGGCGTCAAGGTTCTACCCAACCATGTTGGTAAAGGAACACTGGCAGAGGACGAGCGGATCCAAAAAGTTGAACTGAGCCCATAGGACATCCAGGGCAGGGTCCATAAATGCTCGACACGGTCTTGCTATTTGACTCAGAATGCATATAAGTAGGAACAAAGAAATTATGTAATTACGCTCAGGTTGCCTAAATTATTATACTTAAGCTTGGCCCGGTTCTCTCTTTGTAAGCCAAGTGAGTGACATAAGCAATCAGATAGTTCTAGTTGCCCTGTGACCTCCGAGGGTGCTTGCGCGTCGGTGGACGCGCGTCCAGCCTTTATAAGCTCTCGACCACCACCACCATCATTAAACACACAATGTTCTCCAACGAACACGAAGCTCAACTCCTCGGCCTCGGAACGCCCTGCTCATACCCTCACTGCTCTCTCCTCGATTTCCTTCCATTCAAATGTCCACACTGTCCAGGCTCTCCTGCCTTCTGCGCAGAGCACTTCCATCCGCACTGCACTACCGCACACACTCATCTGGACCGTGTAGCGCCAAACTGCCCTCTGTGCAGTGTTCCCGTCGCGATCCCGCCCGGCGAGGACCCGAACGTGCGCATGGAGAGACATATTAGCCGCTTCTGTGAAGTGATGAATGCTAGTGGTAGACAGCAGGCAAATGGTGGGAGCAAGATATGTGCCAGGGGAAAGTGCGGCAAGGTCCTATTTGCGCCCATTGGGTGTGATGTGAGTTGAACATCTGTTCAGTGCAAGTAATGATACTAACGAATATCACACAGAAATGCCACAAGGAGTTCTGTCCCCACCACCGCTTCCCAAAAGATCATAGTTGTCCGTCGCTCACTTTGCACCGGCCGAACACCAATTCTACCTCAAAGCCCACCTCAAAGCCATCTATCAGACCGAGCCCTGTGTCAGCCACTCGCGGCTCATCCTCGGCCACATCTGCACCTCTGCCCTCATCCAAGCTCACCCCTTCATCCAAACCGAAAACAGCACCCTTCTCTTCCAAGCTTTCTATCCCCGTCTCCGTCCCAAACCTATTTTCCAAGACTGACCGGTGAGTACACGTCCACTTTCCACATCTCAGTATCCACTCATAACACAGCAGCGGTTCTTCTGCACCTGCTCTACCCACCCCCCTTATATCCACCTCCGTATCACCTTCGTCCGCATCCAAACCTCCCTCACCAATAACATCTGCCAAACTTATGACCCGCACCAAATTCACCTCGTCTAATCTCCTTGATCCAATGTCTTTCATCCCTCCATCTATCTTCGCATCTGCCTAATAATCCTACCCATCACACCATGTACCAACCCATCTAATGTCTCGCTGTATCAACATCTACATATTCTTATCTACAGACGCGCAAAGGAGGAGCGCGAGAGCAGGCGCAAAGCTATGACAGACCGCGCCAAGAGGGGCCTCCTTACAGAAGAAGAGAAGCTCCTTTTTGCACAAGAAGAGGCTGGACGCGCACAGGAGCGCACAACAGGGGACAAAGAGTGTCTTGTCATGTAGCTTTTTCCTCTGAATTAGACTTTCGACGCTAGGGACTCTACATACCCGTATATATGCTACACCGTACACGGATCTACCTCATATTCGGTTGACCTTGTATTTCCTGAAACACCTGTTGTATTTTCATGACACTAGTACAACATAATGAGGTGAAGTGCGCCATGAGTTTACGCTAATGGACTCAGTGCCACATGAAGATTTCACGCCGAAACAATTCTGGTACGTACTCGAGAAATGCCTGAAGCAGACAAGTTGCAGCATGGATCCGAGGGATACTTAATGCGAAACAACGGTATCGTAATGTTACAATAGGTCTAGTTACACCGAATCCAAAACATCACCAGCCAATCTCAAGCAATCTGACAAGCGGAAATTATGGGCCTTTGGTGGAGGTATGCCATTCACACAAACATCAAAAGACGTGACTGAGTGGTGTTCAATTCCATGCAAGTAAGTAACTAATAATGTGGAATACAAATACGTGAGGTGCATGATGGTGAGGGGGGCGTGATGGCGTGCGACAAAGCAAAGTGTAATAAATCAGCATAAATGAGGCGACTGACGGCGGATGGAAATTAATATATCCCGCGCGTCACAGGTACGGCTCGAAGTCAGCTCAAGCACTTACTTAGTACCCGCCCATTCCCATGCCGCCCATACCTCCCATGCCACCGCCCATACCACCAGCAGGTTTCTCCTCCTCGCCATCAACAACGCAGCACTCACTCGTTGTCAGTAAGCTCGCGACACCTGCGGCATCCACGAGCGCTGTCCGTACGACCTTGAGCGGGTCGACGATACCACGTGTGATCATGTCGGTATACTCGCCCTTCGACGCGTCGTAACCGTACGCGAATGAGTTGTTGGATGAGTTGATGAGCGTGCCGACGATGACGCTTGCTTCCTCACCCGCATTGGTGAGGATTGTGCGTGCGGGCTGTGCCAATGCGCGGCGGATGATGCTGACGCCAAGGCCTTGGTCGAAGTTGGCAGTTGGAATGATGTCAGGATCGGATGAGGTGGGTTCGCCGGGTGCGGCAGTCTTCAGCGCAAGGCTGGCCTTGAGAAGTGCGACACCACCGCCTGGGAGGATACCCTCCTCAACAGCGGCACGCGTTGCGTTAAGCGCGTCGTCATATCGGTCTTTCTTCTCTCCAACCTCGACTTCAGATGATCCACCGACTTTGATGACGGCGACACCTCCAGAGAGCTTCGCGAGCCGTTCTTGGAGCTTGGTCTTGTCGAACTCGGAGGTGGTGGGGTCGTTCAGGAGTGCGCGGATTTGCTCGCACCGTGCAGAGATGGCATCCTTGGAGCCGGCACCGTTGAGGACGATTGTATCCTCCTTGGTGATGGTGATGCTACCAGTGCTGCCCAGAAGGTCAGCTGTTGCATGCTCGAGTTTGATGTCCAGTTCGTCTGTGAACACTGTGCCGCCGGTGAGGATGGCGAGGTCGCCAAGGATGCTCTTGCGGTTGTCACCGAAACCGGGTGCTTTGACGGCCACAACCTGGAGCTGGCCACGGAGCTTGTTTAGGATGCAAGCTGCGAGGGCTTCACCGTCCACATCCTCTGCAATGATGACCAGTGGTCTGCGAGCAGAGGCAGCAGTTTCGAGGGCTGGGAGGATGTCCTGCAACAAGGAGATTTTCTTCTCAGAGAGGAGAATGAAGGGCTTTTCGAAATCGACTTTTTGAGTCTTCACGTCGGTGATGAAGTACGGGGAGATATAACCGCGGTCAAAACGCATGCCCTCTGTCACTTCAATCTCGTCCTCGGTTGTCCGACCCTCTTTCACGGTGATGACACCCTCCTTTCCAACTCTCTCCATCGCTTGCGCAATCAACCCACCGACGTGCTCGTCACCGTTGGCAGATATGGTGGCGACCTGTGCTATCTCAGCGGTGGTGGTAATAGTTTTGGTGTTGGCTTCCAAAAACTGAACCACTTTTTGAACGGCTGCTTGAGCACCGCGACGGAGGTCCATAGGATTGCATCCTGCGGCAACATTTTTGACACCCTCTGCGTAGATAGCACGAGCGAGGACGGTTGCGGTGGTAGTACCATCACCAGCAATCTCGTTTGTTTTTTGTGCGACGTCCTGAACGAGACTGTTTGGGGAGCGCGTAAGACATAGAATATTGACAGTGGGAGGGAAAAGCTTACCGGGCGCCGAGATTCTCAAACTTGTCCTTGAGAGAAATGCTTTTGGCGACGGTTACTCCATCTGATGGCAACCCAGGTAAGAGTAGATCTAGAAGAAAACGATAGCACTCACCCTTGGTAATTTTTGGCCCACCAAAGCTCTGCTCAATGATGACGTTGCGGCCTGTCCAGTCATGAATATATATATTTAGTTCAAATTCGGCTTATTATTGAGGTGATACTGACCTTTTGGACCGAGGGTGACGCTGACAGCATTAGCAAGGACGTCAACACCCTTGAGGATGCTAGCACGACCGTCATTACTGAACTTGATCTCCTTGTGTACACCGCGGGTTAGAACAGGCTTAACCTTTGCGGCAGCGCGACGGAGGGTACGGGATGACGTGTGCATGGTCTAAGCAAAAACTTCGAGCTTCAACAACAACGAACGAGAAGAATGTGAGAGAGGACGAACAGAAAGAAGTTGGCAAAAACTCGGAATAAAAAATGTTCACGGCACACGTGACACTTGTGTGACAGCTGCCTTGTCAGTACTTACTTTGCTTACAGCACTGACGATCCGACGGACTACTTATTGCACCAACCGTAGCCCACAAACTGGCGGTCCTCAACGGCTACCACGAGCCCTCTATGGAGGAGCTAGAGAATGAGCTCCCTGTAGTTCTTGAAGGCCAGGTTCCACTGGGCGACCTTCTTTCTAGGGTGGCCCAGGCCATCTATGCTGAGCTATCTGAACTTGCGGAGACGTGAGTGTGTCTCATTTTCACTCCACACTTTCCCTTTGAATCAATCCCATCAAGTCTTCCAAACATGTCCGATGGTGCTCGAAAACGCACCCTCGCCGATTGGGTCGTGAAGACCAAGAAGCAAGTTGTAAAGCTGTATGCCATCACTAAGTGGGCACGGGATGCAGAGACTGTACAGAAATGCATGGCGAGTGACGCGTTTTGATCAAGGCTTCACGCTTCACGATTATCTTCTTCAGAACATCACCGCCTTTCTCATGAATCAGAACCAGCAATTCGAAGATGTCATGAGAGGTCTGACGTACGCAAAAGAAAGCTTAGATCCCGCCAGGTACAGAAAAATTGCACGACCTCACGCTTGTCCTTACGCGTTCCATGCCATAGGCTACGAAATCATGACTTACTCACCTCTCTGGATGTCCTTACTACGGGCACATACCAGCGGCTACCGTCTGGCATCAAGGTTTTCCCAATTTTCCTGTATGCTCGGATTATGCTTATGTCTTTCCGTAGAAATCTATCGTTCCAATTACTCCCCTGTCGGATGCTGAGGTTGTGAGCACCCTCAGTGACATAGAAAACGCCATCCGCTACCGTCTCCGCATGACGGAGATAATACCAGTTGAAATGTTACAGCATTGCATAGGTATCTTTCTGAGTTTAGAATCTCAATGCCCCTCACTCACTTATGTATCTCAGCTAATGGACGCGTGCACTTCACAGTCCCTAAGTTGTTCGAAACTGCCATCTGCCTAAGAGGTGCAGAGAAGCATGATGGCTGGTTCTTTGTTAGCGTCAAGTTTCTCATCACCGTGGGCGGTGACCTCACGGGCATGCAAGGTATCGTTGTTATTTGAACTCCTGCACGCCACTGTTTATGCCGTGTACACCTAGAGTTCCCTTCCGAGCCCAGTGGCGTCCTCAGACGACATATTGCAGACGAGGCTGATCTACGGATGGCTTGTTATCTTCCGCTCCCAGATAACCCAGAATTTGCTCCCAATCCAGAAGATCCGCCGCGACCACAGCTTCCAGAGGGAACGGTAGATGCACCACTTGTCAGGCTTTTCAATTTCCTTCGTAAGTGAAAAAGTCTCTCGTCGTTTGATGCTCATTCACGGAGACGCATAGAAATGATGTCCATGTCCTATCAACTTGAAATATTGTGCTATCAAGTAAACACAACTTCATGATCACAATGCCGTCGTCTGACGGCTCTCCTACAGGCCCAGAGGATGCGCTCCCTTGGTTGGGCTGATTTCCTCAAAGTTGAGATGCGTGATGGACGCAAAACACTTTCTGTATCGTATTGGATGTAAGGGCTCCCGTTTCATTAATCATTCTCCTGTTGCTCATGAGCACTCAGGCGATCCCCACAACCTGGAGTCCCCGCCCCGCCGCCCAATCGTCTCAAACTACCGCCACATGGTGGCACTTTGACCATTTCTATTGTCGAAAAGGTTGGCAAAAAGGCCGCGCGATCACCTATAGCACGGATGCTTGCCGAGCTTCAGCGGAAGTCAAAACTAGGTGATATGCGCCCTTCTGATGATGTTGAAAGTCTGCAGTTTGACGCAAAATGGGAACCAATGAAGGGCGTGTTAGCTGCTAATATCGACGCTGAGGAAGCAATAGCTGCAGTCAAAGAGCTTGTGGTGGTATGTAAACGAATTCCTGCACGATGAGGTTGCTCACGATGTGCGTTTCCAAAGGAGTCTGCTAATATCGACTTTGAGTCGATGCTGAGAAAGGTGATCGAGGTGCACACACAAGAAATCCTGAGATTCTACCAGGTTCAACTTCAACGGGGTCCTGTTCGAGTGTTCTCCCCTGAAGGCAAAGTGGTTCTGGGTTCTGAAAGTGAATACAAGACGTCATAGCTCTAAGCTCTCGCTAATGTCGCACAAGGAGGTTATCATTCTCTTCGTGTGCATCTCTGTGCCGACGAAGTCGCGATCGTGTCCATCGACGCTAGGACAGGCCGGCTGAGCATACGAGATACCGGTGACCTCGCAGCAGCTGGCCGAGGACCACGATTTTCTGCCATCTCTGACAAACTCAACGAAGCCCCCAACATGCTTTTCGATGTGCTCATCAGACTACGATTTAACGTGCGCACAATCTTATTTCTGCACTGGTCATGATCCTCACCGTTGTGTATTGGCAGACGATTACGGATATCGTGGAACAAAAAGCTAACTATCTTGGCTTCCAGGTATTCCGACACCGAAACTTCTCAAAAGAAGGTCTGATGTTTTCATCTCATAGTTATGTGTCGTCTCACTGCCGTCTCAGAGATTCAAAAACTTGGACCCGCAGCGCGCGGCATGATGTACATCCAGCTCGCCAACTTCCCCACGCATTACCTCGTGCTTGTCCTCACAGATGAAGAGTTCAGGTACGCGCTCATATCGACAAAAATGCTTTCCGACACAATGTTTGGAAACATGATTATGGAGGATATCGGCTGGCTTGATGTGAGACGAATACGAGGTGATAGGGGTGTTGGTGCTGGCATGGATGAGGTCGTTATTACATCTCTGTCGCACGAACCACTTGTAGTGCAAAAGAGGAGACGAGATGATATCCTTCCAGAATTATCAAGAAGCGAGGATAGGTGAGATCGTCAGCTCTCTCAAGATTTGTTGCTAAATCGTCAACACAGTTTCAACTTGGAGACCCAAGTGCTCCGGGAGCTATATGCATATTGCTGGTATGAAAGCTTGGTTCCTTCGCCACTCAATGCTGATTAGTTCTTCCAGCGCACGCGTTGCATATACCCGAGTCGAGCGCCAGTTCAAGCTCCGTGGCATCCCTTACACTCACGTCAACCCTACGATCATCCTCCCACAGATATCCGAGCTTGCGCACATTCAATCCTCCCTTGCCCGTTCTGTACCGGCGCTATGTGTTCAGTCCTCAGACATTCTATCCGGCGCTCCAGCAGCCGAGGCGGCCATGCCTAACATCCGCGTCATACCATTAAATTGGTGGTCAGACAAGAAGGCGCAGGTGGTGACCTGCGTGAAACTGAAATACGTACAACAGCCAGTTGGGAAACGTGCCGCGGCAGGGTCTAGCGGCAAGAATATTATCCGCCCATCGAAAAGAATTATCTATGATGCGGCAGAGGCTGTGGTCTCTTTTTTGTCTGAAGAGGTCGACACCTGTGTGGACGAGTTTTTGGAGGAGTGGGCCCGCGTTTCTAAAATGGTCGTCATTGCCCGCGAAGGTACGCCGTGCTCATAAGTTCTCGAATTGATGTTGACACAATGCAGTGGCACGAATGGCGAAAGATAAGACATGGCGGGATGTCAGACTACTATCATTTGACCTGCAAACTGTGGAGTTTGCGTATGCCTCAGTGAGCGCTCACCACCCATTTGTCGAGTTATGTCTCACATCACCTTCTGCAGGATTATACCGTCTTAATTACTTGTACGGACCAGCTATCGCCTACGGGAGGATCCTTCGAACTACGCTTTTCGCGGTGCATACCTTCACCGGCACTCCTGCAACCTTCCTCCCTCGCTCCGCCTCAATTTCGTTTCCCAACTCATCAGCTACGGACCAACCCCCATGAAGAAGCTGAGCCATACCTCCGTCATGTTCTCCGTCATGGACCTCTGGCATCATCACTTGACCGCCTTGTTGAACTCCTTCGAAATACCCTACCTATAGCAGTGGAACTTGAACATATGAGAGCGACCTCCCGTGATGCCAAGCAATCACCTGGACGTGGTAGAGGTCGACCACGTATAGCGGTCCAGGCCGGTGCCTCCGAACCATGGGTAGACACATATGTCAAAGGCTTGGGCTGGTGGAGGGTGCTGTATGGCGATCTCAGGTGCAATTCTTCAGTATATTCTAATGACCCTCACTGAACATGATGGGGTAGACATGCTCTTGACTTCCGGTTAATGACAGGACAACGGGTTGCTATACTAGATGCGTCGTACTCTCTTTTCGGCTCAAGCTCACCCACTTCCTCCTCTTCAACATCATCATCGTCTTCTGAGCTTCTCAGTTTACTGCCGATTCCAGATTTCAAGACCCTTGTCATTGATGCCATACAGTATGTACGTATGAAAGACGAACATGCAAGGGTCGCCTGCATCGACGCCGGGGTGGTCTGCGATAGCTCTGTTTTGAAAGGTGTGGCGAGGGCATTGCATGAACGAGTGTTGAAAAAGTTAAGGGATGGGTAATGCTACCGATTTCTCTACTTGATTGGCATTCTCGATGTACCTCGTGAATGCACCTTTTGCAAAAATCCCCGCTATTTTGTGTAGCGAGTCTTGTGGTGCATGATTTTCTCATTTTACTGCAAACGACGTTACAGATCGTGCATGCTGCGGTATAATGGAGGTTTACTGATTGGGTTTGTGTTGTGCGGTGATCGCGTCTTCTTCGCCATGATTTAACTGCGCCCCCCTCCATATTGATATCACGATGATACCCACAGTACTTCGAGCCACACAATTCCACAGTCGGAGTAGGTGTGTTTAGGTTCGCTTGGCCCTAGACTCGAGGGCGACGGTGTCACTCTTTTTCAATGCCTGTAGATATTATTTCTAGCAAGTACTCCAATATTCATCTACACGACGGGCTACACAGTAGCTTGTGCTTCTATTACCGAATGCTAAATCTTATTCGTGCGATCAAGTCAGTATTAACTTCGTGGCTAAGAGCTATTCCGAATGTTCTCCTCATCATCTGTTGCCAGTAAAAGCCACAACCACCAGTCGGGAACTTCCTCAAATGTCCAACTTTGTTTTCCAAAGGCTGCCAGCACAACTTCGCCCAGTCTCTCTTTCGTTTTCCGATTCAAGAACGTCTGTCTTTCCTCGCGCTCCTTGTTTGCGATTTGCGTTCGCAAGGTAGGCGGACCAATGCAAGGCTCGCGGCCGCTATAGGATGGCTCCAATATCCCCCCCATATGATATATTCCGGTTTGAGGTGGAGATCTGCGGAAGAGCTCGGCATAGCGTGGCATGAGGTGGATCTCAATATTGAAATCCTCATACTCCCAGATTGGCAGTACGTCGACGCATCGACATAGATATCTATCGATCAGGCTTGCACGACTCAGCCGTCATACATCAGCCCTTTCATGCATTCAATTCCAGGGGCTATAGAAGACTCGCAATCAAAGGCGTTATTGAGTAGAGCGACAAGTTCATCAGACCATCGCATTGTCATCAACATCCCACAGAACACAACCCCTGCCTTCAACCATCCTGACCGAATACTGCTTGTTCCAAAATGGTACCCACACTCTTGCGGTGCAGAGCCTCACATCAGCACGCCAATCACCATATTTTGCACCACCTGTAGAGTTTATAACACCAACGTAAGTGATATGGCATCGCGAGAGAGGACATGAAAATTCACCAGCGTTCGCAACGGCCATGAGTGGCCCTGAGATTATGGGGATGCCCACAACCATATCGCAAGCAAGTAGGCCACCTGCTGAAACTACCGAGGCAGTACCAGCAGCGCAAGCGCCTCCTATGGTTGCAAACATCTCCATAGAGTCATTATGGCTGAATTCCTGACTACACCAAATGTTCCCTGTATCAAAATCAATCCGATGCGCCCAACGCACTTCAAAGTGCAGCGGGAGGCTGGCCAGGTGTGTTGTCCAACGTTCTCCAGGCTTGAGGTTATTTTTCCAATTGGTAGGGACCCCTACGAAGAAAGCAACGTGGATGTTTTCATCGATATCGTTGATTACAGTGATGTCGGGCATTTTTTTGGGATGGTGGAAGCTGGGAAGTCGCTGCAGCTTTTATGGGCTGTCACCCTCTCCTAATAGTATCTCCTCAATCGAGTTGCATAATCATGACGTTTCTTCGATCGGATCTTTTGTTCGACGCCTTGAATTGGTGACTTCCAAGAGCATCCAAGAGAGGCTGCCATACCAGCTGCGTCATCATTGATGTGTTAATGTCGGCACCGAGTACTAAAGTGATGGAAAATCTACGAGTCAACCACTGCGTCCACAAGTGTTAGAACAAGCTAGTTTCCACCAATGGGCTTCCTACTACACACAAACCATCAGCCCATTCGCAGTTCGTCTGAAATAAGATCTTGACCACGCTGTATACCAATAATACTTGGCGTAATTAAAATACACTAACCTGTTCTGATCCATGGGGGTCTCACCTGACTGTTTGAGCACAGCAATATGCGGATCTGCGTTGGTCTGTGGCCAGCTATATCCAGTGCATTCCCGTAGCAACTATCAATGAACTTCGGGCGAGCGAAACAACTTGATTAGTGAAGCACCTTAAAATGGTCCAACCACGATGAGTCTTGAAGGGAGGAACAAGCAAAACATTGTATCGATGGTGGTCTCAATTGTGGACCATGCACTTGTCACATTGACCTATTGATTTGTTTCCGATCCATTGTCCGACTCCTTGATTTTTGCTCCGGATGGTGCTGGTAACAATATCTGTCTCAGAAGTAGTTTTATCAGAGTCTTCGCACACTATGTGAAACATATTCACCATCGACCTGTGATTGTTATGATAGTGAATATGTTTGTTCAACCGCCAGCGCCTAGACCACACCTAGGAACTCGGAAGTACGGGGAGACCTGCGTATATCGAGCCACTTCAGCGAGAGAACTTGCCAGAGAAAACGTACTAATTTGTGATGGAGGCTCCAGACTGGTGTAGCCTGTCGGCCAGAGAGCGCTCAACTGATCACCGATCAATCGTGACAAGAAGAAAAACGTACATTTGTCAAAAGACATTTCCAATTCAAAGAACGACCGAGATAGTACTCCCCCGGTGGTCCAGGTGCTGGCACGAATCATGAGGCATTCCTGAAGAACGTTTGTGAATAATCGCAAATAAATAAAAGATAGAAGATAATACCAAATTGCACCCTGACTTCGAGTGTGCTACAGTAGCACGCTCAGAGTCAGGGTGCAATTTGAGATCTCGACATCGACGTTCGCAACATAAGTACATACATAATTGTGATGTGCTTTATACGGCAGCACCTGAGAACAACACTATACTTTTCCCGCACCTTCTGAATAGGATGAAAGTTTTTCAAAATAACTCTGCTACTATAGTACTAGCATGGCCATCAACCTTCTATCCACAACTTGAAGATCCACCCTCTTTTTGTCGTTTGATAAGCTCTTTAACCTTCAATCATGCACTTCCTCACTCGACGCTCTGCGGAGCCGCTAAGACTATCTGCTGATTTGGATATAGCTGGAGGAAGAAGCGCGGCTCCAGCAGACACTTTCCCCCAGGAGAAATCTCCAAGTCGTGTTCTTAAACGCGTCACCACCCTCTTCAATCCTCGCAAAAGAACTTTGTCCAAGAACACCAGCCCCACATGCCATGGCGCGGGCGCTCACGGAGCAGTCGGATTCATTCGTGATGCCGCTGCAGTATATCCCAGATCGTCCAGTGATTCCTCCACTGAATCACCAGAGGAAATTCGGAGACCCAGCGGCCTGGGACGCAGGGCCAGTTTAATGGAGTCACCAAGTGAAAGTATAAATCTAGAGCGGTTCAGTGGAAACGGAGGTGAGGCAAGAGTGTCTAGGTCTTTGCCTGATCTATTGAATAATCTGACACATTCATTCCGTATAGGATCTCTTGCAGAACACCCGACAATTGCAGGAGTCGCAATACAGAGTCTTCCTATGCAGCTGTTAGAGATAATTTTGTCTTTCTTGCCCAAGTCCGATGTACTGCGCATTGCCCTTGTTTCGGCTCAATTCTGCAAGGCGTCGCGTAACGCATTATATCGGATACTCGACTTCCAATCGATATCAGAGCCACAAGTTGAAAAGCTTTGTAAAATCCTCGCCAACCATACATCTCTCGCTGCAAGGGTCCAATCTCTCTCATGTCACTTTTGGCCAGCAACGACCTCAACAGACGGCCATCTTATACCATCTCTTGATCTCACGACCGCGTTGCATAATATGTCCAACTTGGAATCTCTTACGATACGAACATTTGTTCCAGTATTTTCGCAGTCGCCTCCTCTTGCTTTCCGATTGAAGACACTGGTTATCCTTGATGACACAATCTCTCTTGAACAAGTTACCGACATTCTACATTTCCTCAGAAATCAAACCTCACTACAGTGTCTAGCTTTTCCCAACGTCGTCGAGAATCCTTTCTCGCCCGAATGTTCCCCCCAACATCACATATTCGCATCTGGTCTCGCACGAGAACCCATACTGCCGGCGCTCTCTCAACTGCATGCTCCCCCACAACTGACGATGACGATATGCTCCTTACTTGGACAAGCGCTCGATAGTGTCGTATTGGATGTCACCACCACACTTTTTACGGGGTTGCGGCCTGCCGCACTCCTCCGCGCCATCCAAGGTGTCTCCAAACTGGATGTGGTCTTCACCCACGAGGTTGACAAACGAACAGTCGAAAAATTCTTGGGCGCTGCCGGTGGAATATTGTCAGGTAGCGGTGCTTCCAATAGCCGCGGCCTTATCACTTTGGAAGTGGAGGTACTTTGGATGGAAGATGAAACCGCTGAAGTCAGTCATATTTTCTGAATTAAAGCATCGTTGATTTTGACGTTTTGCTCGAAGATACTCTACGACATCATTGATGCAGTCATCTCGCGTTTTAATGGCTTGCGCACACTCAAGCTCATAACACCATTTCGTTCCAGACAGTCACAGTTATTGACACCCTCAGTGTCTGGCTCCCTCCCACTATCCGTACCATCGCATACTCCCACAACGCCCTCATTTGGCCTTTCCTCGATGCTAATTACATCCCCTGTGGGAGGTGTCCTACCAAGCGAGTTTGTGAGCTCAGGCACAGAGAAGACACATGCCAAAATGTGGACAAAAGCTTGCCCTACATTGAACGACATACAGTTTTGTTTTCCGGATCCATCACCGGAGGCAGACGTTGCGCTCTGTGGGGTCTGGTTTCACAGGAAAGAGTGATGGTCGAGCACCAAGCCTCTCCCAGGACACAGCGGAGATGAATTTATCCATTTGGCTAGAACCGTGTCGCCCCCAGCGCTTTCAGCCCTCTAACCCCGCAGCATTGTATCCAACTTCGTTTCGTCGACCTTAGTGCAACTTGACAGTCAAGTGTTACCACGACAGGATATAAGTAACATAAGGTATGTATAGTGATATGCAAGATATATGTATGCAAGAATTAAATGGCTGGACATCAAGTATATCCTGGTGTTCAAATTGCAGAAAAAGCGTCCACTATGGTCACATCTAGCTGTCATGCGAACCCTTGCAAGTCATTATTCTGTGCGAAGACGTTTCTTGGCACTCCCGTTCACATGACCATTGGTGGCCGCATCACCGACGGTCGAGAAGTAATCCATAGATCCTTTGGGGTCCGGCTTGATGGTTTTAGCACCCTCAGTCCAGCCCAAAGGACAGACCTCTCCATGTTCCTCCTGCAAAAAATACAGTGAAACGTTACGATATACGACGGAAATCTCGTACCACAAATTGGAAGGCCTGAAGAAGACGGATGGTTTCGTCCACTGATCGACCGACGGGTAGATCATTAATGGTGATTTGCCTGCATTAAAACGTCAGTTACCAAACTAGTCCAGGATATACATAAAGACCCACCTCACGACACCCTTTGGGTCAATAATGAACAAACCGCGCAGTGCAATGCCTTCTTCCTCAATGAGGACACCGTAGTCCTTGGATATCTTCATGTTCCTATCCGCAATCAAAGGAAGCTTAAGGTCGGGTCCAATGCCACCCTGCTTCCTCGGTTGTTGCGCCCATGCAAAGTGGGAATACTGTGAATCCGTGGAAACACCTATAAAACCATCAGGCCGTGTCCAATGCACCACAAATAATAATCAAGAACTAACCGAGAACGCATGCATTCAGCGCTTTGAATTGAGGAAGCGCATCATTGAAAGCCAAGATCTCAGTTGGACAAACGAACGTGAAATCCCTGTCGGTGCGACAACAAGAATGATGAGGATGTCACTTGAGGAGAAAAAGATCCTTACATTGGATAGAAGAAAAGAACCACCCTTGTAGACGATGCTAATGTTAGCCACTCCTCTCACGAATGTCTGCCGCATAAGACGCGTACCATTGGCTCAGGTAATCAGAAAGGGAGATCTCTTTAAATTCACCCTCTACAACTGCAGTAGCTGTGAAGGCTGGTGCTGGGCGTTGAACGAAGACAGCCATTGTTATGATATTGGGTTGCAAGGTCAGGAAAGAGGCGAATATTGAAGTTAAGAGTGAAGAATTTTAAATTTAATGAACCGACGCGTTATGTGTGTTTGTTTGGCTGGTCCATGGACCTTTTAAATGTAACGTGTTCAAATCACCGAATCCGACCCTATCCGACCCCACACGCATTCCTCAGGCCTCAGTAGGGTACATTGAAAACCGTGATACAACTCAAAAGTTTTATTACTGAGAACACCGCATGCCGCAGGAGCTGCACGCAGCTGCCAGGCTCTCGCATTCCTTGTTTGTCTGTTGTTTGCTTTGCAATTCAATAGAACTTTTTGTCAACCTGTGACTTGATCGCAAGCTTGAGTAAGTTCAAATTGAATCTTCTTTATGGATATGTGTGTATTGTACAACTTGACTTTATGCAGCCAGCTTGTAGATCGCGCGAACACATAGTAAGAAGGAACACTATCGTGTCTGTTCACTACGGTCCCTTTGACCTGACTCCTCAAACGCGCCAGAGTCATGTGGCTATCTGACAGTCTGTCTAGTCTGGACTCTCTGCTCTACAACACCTTGCGACACCATCCTGGTCTCTACATTCACAACAGGTCTTTGGGTCGAGTTTACGTGCTGCAGCCTGTGACGAGGATGTCGGGCATGTGCAATGCTTGCGAGCCTGAGTGCGCCCTGCAGACGACGATTCCCAAGCAGCAGCGATTTAGTGGGGATCATCCAGATTTCCTGATGGCATGTACTAGTGTATAATTGTCACTCGTAGTCTTCATGCGCCATACATCGCGCATCGCGTACTCCATGACTCTATTCCTAGGCTCTTTCCTGGCTCCATCGATACTCTTCGCATGGCAACCAAACCCAGCGCGCCAAGGCCAAGCAATCGAAACAAGATACGTGTTAAGTCATTTCAATACATGTACGTACACTGAAGTAGGACACCGATATACGTGGCACCTGGGAGAAGCCATTACCATTACTCGACCAATGACCAGGTGCCACAGCCAGAAATGCTTGGGTGCAAAGCATCGTCTTATAAAGGAGAAAGCTGACTTGTCACTTGGTCAGCAGGGCCATATCATTGCTACTCCTGGATCACTTATCAGTGAGTCGGGACTCAGGAGAGGAACGATCGAAGGACCAGACCGGTGACAGGTCCTCGATTGGTGCACAATTGGGAAGTACTGTCTTGAAAGGGTTCCAGCACTTCCCGTGAATTATATGTCATTGCGGATGTGTGGTTTAGCCACCCACCCTCCTTGGGGCCGAGTTCGTGTGGCATTCCCTTCGTGAGTCTTATGAAATTGGAAACTTAAGACCGCAGTCTCGTCATTACATAGACAACCACAACTATATATTGTGATGGCACTATGGCACATGCTGGCCATCAGCTAAATATCCTCCATTCACTCACCCTCTCGTACGGTACGACCCCGAAATATCCAATCACGAGTAAAATCTTGGACTTATCTCTCCGTAGGTTGTGCATTGGTGTCGAGGCCTGAATGTCTACTTCAGCAACTGTGGTGGTTACCGGTCCCGAGGGTACAAATTTTTTTGATCCACGACTAATTATCGGGCCAATGCAAGTTGGTGCGCTTGTAACCGCAGCACTCTTTGGCTCCCTTGTCATCCAAAGCTATATATATTTCACAAAGTTTGCCGACAGCCTAGGCTTCAAAGCAACAGTTAAGTCACTTAAGAGCAAATCACCTGGCGGTCAACTGATTGGTGTAGCACTCTTATTTTGATCAGGTGGCAGCGGTCATGTATATACGCCCTGCCTCTTCATTTTAGTTTTGTCCCTTGACAATTCGTTTCAGGATCATTCAAATTGGCCACTTCTGCGCTATGATATCAACATTGTGGACCATGACGGTGACCGCCTACGATGATCCAACTAAGCTGAACGTCCTTCCAGTCGGCGCGGATATAACCGTTTTACTCACCAGTATTACGTCATTTCTGACCCAGGCAAGTAGTGGTGCAAAGCGGGCGTCTGGCGTCTTATGCATACTATCTAGTCATTCTACATATATCGGCTCTGGAGGCTTTCCGGCAATTGTTTGCTCCCAGTCGTCTCAGAAATCCTATGTATAGCTGGACAAGTGGCGGCGTTCATTCTCGTCACAAAGGCAATCACCATGTCGAGCTTCTCACGCTTTGTGGTTGAGCAGACTGATGTAGTCCTGATCGCGCTCGCCACTCGTACAATCTGCGACATAACCATTACTGCCGGCGTTACCTGGAGTCTGATACAGAAGCGGAGAAACAGTATCGTGAAGTACGCTTGGGTTTTACCTCTCCTGGCTGCATTCACATCCTTCTCAGGAGCACGACGATTATCGACTACCTGATTATGTGGACAATTGGTAGGAACTTGGTTATCTTACGTGGGTTCTGATGTCTTTATGTCTCTCACAGAGAATGGTTTGACAACTAGGCACGTCTCTTTTTACACCATCGGGTCTTCTGTGAATGATGTTTTTTTCAAGCTTGATGACACTATCAGTCATGGCAGTAGTAAGATGTCCCCGTTTTTCAAATAAATTGCAAGCTGAATGGGCCTCAAGTTTCTGTGCCTCAGAGAAACCTGTGAGCTCATTCCATTCGGGCGGACTTAGGCTTTTTTTCTAAATAAATGCGTGCAGTTGTGTGGTTTGGTCTGTATCTCATACAAGCCAATGGTAAGAAACTGTGTTCAAGTTGCTCGAAATTTATTGACGCATTGATGAACAGTTGTCGCGAATGCATTATTAGCCTCGTAAGTCGTCCAAACCAAAACTACATATCATGATAACAATGGACGACATGCAGATTGAATCGCCGGCTCGTTTTGAGGAAAGACCGCCCTCTCAGTGACGGTGACACTGCCATGGTGAGATCAAGCCTTCTATGTATTGCGTGTGGGATTGTTCACATCACACCTCAGAGACCTATTGTGATCAGAGTGGATGTTACACACGCGCGGGACACCGAGTCGCAGATCAAGACACATGACTCCTTTTACTAAAGACACCAGACCGCGTGCCAGTGCTGTTTGCGGCAGCTACTATCAAAGTGGTGCTTCACCACGGGCCGACAAACACCATTTCTGCAGTTAGAGACAGGAACGAAGTGTTATTTTGGTGTTCAAAATAACAAGGAAACACTTTTGTAAGGACGACTAATTACATTTACAGCAACAAAATCATCGTAAATAATATTTGCGCATTCTGTATTTCATCTGAATTCAATCTCGCAGTGTCTCTTTGGTTACACACTCTCGACGACGACGCAACCGGTATATAAATGATCACGAGCAAAGGGGTTAGTACGGAAATTAAGAGTGGTGCGAGCTATATAGCGTAGGCCCTGGATGACTATTGAATGGTTGCGTATGCTAAGCGAAAAGGAAATTGTGTGGAAAAGACTGGGCTTGCGCGAAACGCAATGACTTGCAAGAATGTTGAGAAGGTGTACTTCGATGAAATAATGACGACGAAGTGCGAAGCTCGCGCTGGCAACTAGTAACATGCTTCATACCTTTCCCTCACACTATTTATATATAGGAAGTGATGATTTTTGTCCTATGGTTAGGGGATCTAGAGATATGACTGCAAACATGAACCATTCATCGTCAATGACATTTTCTACGAACATTAATCTGCACCTCATTAGAACCCACTCTCCAAATCGCCCAAACAAAACATAAGCAGCGAGAGAACCTGAACTTACTCACAAACAGAAGTCTTAATTCTGGTAGATTACGACCATCTAGGAGCAAACTCCCTGAAGCGTCTCACAGATTCGTTTATACCTGCGCACTGAGGGCTGCTGGCTTGTACGGAGTAAGCCTCTGGTATTAGTTCCTCGAGATGCTGACAAAAAATGAGAACATGAGGTTCAAAGTGGCAGCACTATACTGACTTTGATTCTCCGCTCTGCACCAGGGTGCGTGCGCAAGAATTCCAGACTTGTTGCTCCGTGCGCTTTTTCATATTGGGCGAGCCGTGCATGCATTCTGTAATGTTGCGTACATAAGCCAGACAACAGAAAACCCAAATCACTCACTCTACAGCAGCCTGAGGGTCAAAACATGCCTTTGCAGTGAGCTGCATGCCGATAGTATCGGCTACGTCCCTGGCGTCAGCATGTCCATATTTACAACTGGATGAAACACACCCTCGTATTCCTGAGTCCGCGAATTGGGTAGCTCCAGTAGCAACGTGCTAATGAGGTTGGTGATTCCAAAATCGAACCCGAAAACTGTCTGCAGAAGAACTGCGATTGCTAGGAATACTTTAGAGGAAGAATAGCGCTCAGAAGCATGTCGAGCAACTGGTAAAGGAGTGTTGAGAATATGCATGCACGTTGTATCATGCCATCGTACCCACGTGAGCGATCTCTGCCGAATAATTTGAGTTACAAAAATAATCCTTTGCAGAATCGCGTACCATGTCCAAGGACAGCAGCCAAACCCTGTTCATCTTTGCATATAGGTAAAATTCCAGTGAAAACGACGATATTTCCTGTGGCCACATGTTTGTAAAGTTCACTTGAAGAGGCAGCTCGAGAGCGAACCAAAAGTGGCCATGGCATTTACAACGGATGGGTCATTCACAACGAGCAAATTCCACTCTTTACCTCCGCTTTCTGGGGTAGACGACTCCCCAGAAGGTCTTCCAGTGGTGAATGGGTCCTCGCTCCAGAAGTCATCTGGTAGTTCCGCTAGTGACCGGCGAGGCTCGCTAGAACGCAAGTGACCAAGATCCGATGATTCAAGAATACGATTAACAACTCGTTGTACGTGTCGGGTCACTGGATGATTGGAGGGCAGTACCTTGCCTCGGAATTCAGCCAAGAGCTCGTCATATGCCGCCTGCGCAAGCTATAAGGGGGGAGGTATGAGAGTTTGTGCCTTCGGACCAAACTGGCGCTCACATTTGTCTCGTACTTGGGGCTTATATCCATGAATCGCCACCTACCGGTTTCAGGGACTTTCTCTAAACTTAAGGGCTAAAGTGAGACACAGCATCACAAGTAGTGCATTGAACACGTACTGCACGATATAATATGTTCCTCCGACTGCAACAAGTGCAATGACAATCTTCATTCGGCTGTCTATCACCTCTCCCGATGGGTGACGGTGTTTTTCAGACGAAAAGCGCGTATACTGAGCATACCGAGGAGAGGATGTCGAAAGTTGGCGTAGTAGGGGCGTTGAGCCGAGGCTGGACGTTGGTTGTCGAACTCGTAGGTAATTTCCAGCAAGAATTGGCAGGCCCTGGGTAGCACGCGACGTTCGCAGGATAGACGTTGTTGTCGTCCACATGCGGGCAGGAAACATCACGAATGGCGAGATGAATATCCAAGCTGGAGTGTGATCTAAGTCTGCTACGCAGTTAGGAACCACCAACGTATGTGTACTTGACGAGACTGTAACCCCTCAATCGGATATGGTGTAATGGTTAACATTACCGCCTCTCAGGCTTTGGGTTCGCGGTAGCTCGGGGTTCGATTCCCCGTATCCGAATTTTTTGTTATTTGCATTAATATTACAGAGTTGAATCTATATTAGATACTAGACTAGGAACCTACCTCTGATCGTCTTTGACCTGTTTCTGATACGCCACTTACATTTTCTTTTTTTAAAGTATGACCTGACTCCTGCGTGGCCAGAAATTGGGAATGCTCGGACAATTCGGGTATCAATCCTATAAAGTACTAGTGCCAGCGTTGAAACACTGATCAGTGACAATGACTTAAACCCTCAGGGCTTTGCCAAGATCACTGCAACGCGGGTGCGTGGCTCCGAGGCCTCAAAGTTACATAAGGTGCACCTCGGAACCCATGGCAGGGCAGCGCCCCCATGGCCCTCGAGGTCGGAGAGCACTAGTGTGCTACTTTATTTACGTGGGTAAGCAATGGACCACTGCAGCAAGCACGACGGTATTCATTCCTGAAGATCTTTTGGCCATAAACGTGTCCTTGATTCTATTTGAAATGGAGTCCATTTCCCCAATCGAGGTCATTTGTATTGATTTTGTCATCCCTTTACTACCATCATGATCAGGGACGCGTCTTCGAGGCATATTCTCGGTTCAGGTCCTGGCACACATGTATATAAGTAATGTCGAGTTAGAGACCCCGTATTGGTTCGTTTCCACAGTTCCACCCTTTCTCTTGTCTCACGATGTCCTTTGATGATGGCAAAGGCATTGAACTCGCAGACATTGGGTCTGCCCAAAAAACTGTATACATCAAAGAGCTTCAAGAGTCTACGGTAAGGGCGGATGATATACACAACGAACCTCATCCGCAGCCCTCCTCTTGTGAGTTCCTTACAATACTTGGAATTATATGTTATATAATTCATGTTCCCAGTCTTTTCTTCGGGTCTGGCTCGCGCCCGAAGAGAGTACTTTAGCATTACCTTGCACGCAGTTGCCTTCACCCTAGTTCTGATGTGGATACTCCTATCAGTGTGAGTACCTACGTTACATAATCGGGTCTGTCATGACACTATTACAGGTACTGGGCTGCACTAGCATATCCTAGTCAACTAACAAGAAATCTAACCGCTTTGTTCATCGATCGCGACAACAACACCATCGGACACGCACTATGGGCAGCCATTAATGATAACACTACGCCAGGATCTCAGTTGGGCTGGAGCCGACCCGATCCTACAATATTTGCGAGCGACGAGGACGTGATGCAGGCGGTCATCAGTGAACAAGTTTGGTTGGCTCTCGTCCGTAAGTTACCCCTTTGTGTGTTGCATCTTTGACCATTCATCTTCCCCAGTTGAGACGAATGCTACTGATAAACTGTCTGCTGCGAGACAAACTGGCAATAGCACATTCAACCCCACTTCCCTGCTCACTGTCTACTATGTTGGGGTGTGCAGTCCAGTCCTGTTCCATGCGTTCCACATGGCGGCTAAGCGTATATCTATAGGCTCGTAATGAAATCGCGACTGGCACTTATCTGATCCCAATCTACAGCAACCTCCTCGGGGAGGTTGTGTCGCCTCTCGCGACTACTTCTGCACAGCAATATCTCGCGCAAATCTATGCGCAGGGTCAGGCTAATGAAACTGCCTTGCAACTAATTGCACAAGCCCCACAAACGATTTCTCCTGGCATCAGCTGGACCTCTGTCGACCTTCGGCCGTTTTAGTGGGTATAGTTATTGCTCCTGATGCGATTGCTCATGGGGTTCCAGCGCGCCTGTTGCGAGTGCTGTTTTGGTTGTTGGGCTGATTTATCAGTTGATATTTACGTATGTGTTAATTGCAGAGTCACCCTACGTTTCAATAACAGCGTCATAGGTTCATTATGGTAGCTCTCCGTCTTCCATTCCTTGACGAAACTTACCCCCACACAGGTTGAAGCCAACGCAGCTGCTCGAGCTCCCATTCAGGGACACCTCCGACTTTCTTCCTTCCTCCGACTCCGCCTTGCTGTGCCGTTACTGATCTACGTACCTATGAGCTTAACATATGTCCTCGTCAGCTTGGCTTTCGGGCTTCCCATGGACGGAAAGTATGTGTGACAACCCTTGGTGGCTGTAGCACACTGACCTCTCGGTAGGTTTTCAGCTGCGGGTGGCTTCTTTGTCATGTGGATATACATTTACCTAGGCACGAGTGCGTTTGGACTGGCATTGGAGTCCATTATTATCTTGTTTCCAAAACTCACTTCTGTCTCCCTGTTCTCCCTCGTAAGTCAATTCCTCCCGGTCATCTCCGTAGACTGGGAGTTCACGCCACGACTTATCAGATCATCGCCAACATCTCGACTTCAATTCTTCCACAAGAACTGATGCCTGCCTTCTTCCGTTTCGGCATTGCCTTTCCTTTCTTGTAAGTCTAGCTCATAGCTCCCTCTGAGCGCTAAGTTTGGATGTTCACACTTTACAGGAATGTGTGAGTATTTAGCTGTGCACAACTGCTATGTGTTCATCCCCCATATTAGGTCCCAGGCGATGCGGACCATAGTATTCAATACCCATTCGTACCTTCCGCGCAATGCAGCCGTTCTCATCGGGTGGATCGTTATTTCTGCACTGACGATCATTTTATGTGCATGGTATCCTCATAACTACAAGGTTACCACAACAGCCACATTGAAGACGTTTGGAAGGAGGGTGAGGTGAGGTGAAAAGCAACATAATGCGCTCAAGGTGATGGTAGACGTGTACATAATTATGTACCGACGTTCTAAAAAAGCCAGGGGTGCCGTAGGACATTAGCCTTGTAATCTCGCGCAAGTATCTGTGATGTAGTTGACTCTCGAAGGCAATAAACGCGTATCCTTTTTTTTTTTTCAAAAAACAAAGGGGTCGCCGGACCTGGATGATCGGTCCAATGTGACCGTCTGGGACAAAATGCAGAAAGAGAACGCGTGGAAATTTGCTACCCATAATGAAGTCTGAACTCCATCTTCAGGTGTACATGTCATTAGACCTCGTTCTGGACCGTCTATTAAAATCCTCCAAAAATGTGACGAGCTGGCAATATAACTTCACGAACAGTTGCATCGGATCACGTCTCAACGGCCGACGAATTGAATTTGCGAACTCGTCTTAACGTTCTAGTGTCGCGTTTGAAACATGTCGACTAGCATCCGGCAGAGCATCTCTACTGAAATCTGTTCCCTGCATTGGATCAATCATTCATCCATGGCACCGAGGCCTTACGATACATTCCATTGACACCGACAAAGCCTCCGTGGGAAAGCTAAAGCAATGCAGAGGCCGAACCCCTCACAACTCCTGCCTACAGGGGGAGCATCCTCATTTACGCAAGAATGAAGAGCAAATAGCTCCACAACTAGACTCGGTGGCACCGAGCCTACACTGGACCTGAAACACTGCTGCCAACATTAATAATCGTTCGGTGATGATTTGCATTCATATCACTGAAAGACTCACTTCGAGATATCACATCAATAAGTCGGAAATTGTCGAACATGTGGGATGTGGTCGAATTCGCTCCACAGAACCGAAAGAGGATATTGCGCTGATAGCTCAGGCCGTTTCACGAAGGAAGAGAATCCTTTCAAGTGGACACTGAAAGGCCAAGAGGAGGGACAGGCGTGTCACGAATTTGAGGGACGGTATTTGTATTTCGTGTGTGTATGACAACGAGATATTCGGATCTGCAGCGTTCACATTTGTTCATACAGCACGATGTTGGTGCGGTAACACACGAGACCGGTCCGCTTGAAACCAGAACGAAGCAAGATCTCAGCGGTCTATCGTGTGAGACGCCTCGAGCCTTGAGCGCTTGCATGAAGCGCCTACACGTCATGATGTCCATGCGACAGTGCACTGAAAATGATTGCCATTCGGTCATGGATTGTCGGGTGTGCTTGCCACACCGGTGGAAGTAGTCTTGGTGGCATGGTGTACGATCGATAGGCGTATATGTACTTACACCGAAATTAGGGTCAAATAACATTTTATGGGAGCGTGAAATATCTGTTGGAAGGTTGTCAACATGGAACGTGCGGCTCAGTGAAATTATTACAATAAGTATGGAGTCGTTGAATGTCATACACTCATAATCCCTGCCTGATTCATTTGAGCTAGGTGCAGCTGTTGTCCCCTCGATTGCCTGCATGTTGTTTGCTAAGTGGATTCGAGGAAAATGAAGAAATTTAGAAGAACTTCCGAAGCATCTGAAGTCTGAAGATAGGCGGCGGCCAGTATCCGTCTATACGGATTTCGTTATTCCAATTTCCCATGCTCTCCCACGGTGGCACTATACACACCCACATGACTCGGATGTATTTCCAGAGTGGTTGGAACTTTTTCGCTAACAGTTCTATTGATAATACTACTACTCAGCTGCTGCGTCGGATATGCAACATGGGCTCCGAGGCCCAACTTTCAGACGATGCGGGAAGCCTGACTGCCAGTGACCACCCCCAGTGAGAGCTTGCTCTTGGTGTTTATATAGGCCCAGGCTCCTTCAAGGTCCCACTACTGCTTCGAGGAGTGTGCCCGACATTGCCCCCAGGGCCCGGGAGTCCGAAAGGTTATGCGAGTGCCGCTACTGGTCCATGCCTTATAGACAGTGACAAAACTGAGTATGGTCGAGCCAGCTCAGTAAGTTCCCCCCATTCGTATACCTCCCATCACTTATCAAATTATTGGAAGGTTTGTTGAACCGGTACTATTTCCTACTGGACCAGATACACGTGGATCACACTCTAAAGGAAAGCGACCTTTGGCGTTGATTCTAATATGTGATGCGTGATAAACTTGAAGTTATATATTCCAGTTGATTCCGATTGAATTTTTTTTAGTTCATCTAGGTTTGCAAGACCTATGTTGGTCTTCCGTCATGTCATTGCTACCCTCAAGGTATCACCATCCCCTTTGAGACGTTCGCTGGCGAGTGGCGACCTTGCATATATAATGTTGATTTAGAAGTTGGTTTGTCCTCCCCGTTTTCCCTTGTCTCACTATGTCCTATGGGAATGGCAAAGACGTCGAACTCGCAGACGTGGGCCCTGCCAAAAAAAATGTACTCGTTACAGACCTGCATATTAGTGAAGGGTCGGTAGAAGTGGATGATACAAACAAGGAGCATCTGCAGCCCTATTCATCCTCTTGTGAGTTCGTGATCGGTATTTCATACTATATAATTTACCGCCACAGTCTTTTCCCCGGATCTGGCTCGCATCCGAAGAGAGTACTTTAGTATTATCTTTCAATCAACTGGTATGACCCTACTATTGATGTGGATACTCTTGTCAGTGTGAGTAGCCGAATTTAACCTGTGGATGAGGTTTGTTATGACACTATTGCAGGTACTGGGCTGCACTAGCATATTCTGATCGACTAACAAGCAATCTTACCGCTTGGTTCATTGATCGCGACAACGACACCATTGGACTTGCACTATGGGCAGCCATCAACAACGATACATCGCCAGGACCTCGATTGGGCTGGAGTCAAGTCGACCCTACCATATTTGCGAGCGACGAGGACGTGATGCAGGCGGTCATCAGTGAACAAATTTGGTTAGCTCTTGTCGGTAAGTTATCCCTCCGCGTGTTGCATCTTTGACCATTCATCTTCCCCAGTTGAGACAAACGCTACTGACAAACTGTCTGCTGCGAGACAAACTGGCAATAGCACATTCAACCCCACTTCCTTGCTCACTGTTTACTATGCTACTGTGCATATCCTCAACCCACGCGTGCCACACGGCAGCTAACATTGTGTCTGTAGGCTCGTCATGAAGTCGCGATCGGCACTGCCGTCATTCCAATCTACAGCAACCTCCTCGGGGAGGCTGTGTCGTCTCTCGCTACTACTTCTGCACAGCAATATTTCGCGCGAATCTATGCGCAGGGTCAGGCGAATGAAACTGCTTTGCAACTGATTGCACAAGCCCCACAAACGATTTCTCCTGGCATCGGCTGGACCACTGTCGACCTTCGGCCATTTGAGTGGGTCATGGTTGTTGTCCCTCATGCGATCGCTCATGGTATTTCAGCGCGCCCGTGGCGAGTGCCAGCCTGGTTGTTGGGCAGGCTTTTCAATTAATATTTACGTATGTGTTTTTTTTTTGCTGAGTCACCCCTACGTTTCAATAACAGCGTTACAGGTTCATTATGGTAGCTCTCCGACTTCTATTCACTGACGAAGCTCACCCCCGCACAGGTTGAAGCCAATGCGTCTGCTCGAGCTCTCGTTCAGAAACATCTCCGACTTTCTTCCTACCTCCTACTTCGCTTTGCCGTGCCATTGCTGATCTATGTACCTATGAGCCTAACATACGTCCTCGTCAGCATGACATTCGGGCTTCCAATAAATGCAAAGTATGTGAAAAACATCAGTGATTATTGCACACTGACCTCTTTTCAGGTTTTCAGCTACGGGTGGCTTCTTCCTGATGTGGATATATGTTTACCTAGGCACGAGCACGATTGGAATGTCATTGGAGTCCATGGTCACCGTGCTTCCACCACGTCTCACTCCCTTCTTCCTGTTCCTACTCGTAAGTTTTCCCCATGAGTTATCTCTGTAAACCAAGAATTTCATGCACAACCTATCAGATCACTGCCAACCTCTCAAGTTCAGTCTATCCGCACGAGCTGACGCCTAACTTCTATCGTTTCGGCATTGCCTTTCCCTTCTGGTAAGTCTAGCCTACCGTATCTACAATTCCTCTGCACGCTAAGATTGGGTGTTCACACTGTACAGGAATGTGTGAGTATCCATATGTGCACAATTGCTATGTGTTTATCCCCCATATTAGGGCCCAGGCGATGCGGACAATAGTATTCAATACCCACTCGTACCTCATGCGCAATGCAGGTGTTCTTAGCGGGTGGATTATTCTCTCTGCACTGACGATGACATTGTTCACATGCTATCGTCGCGGCCTCGAGGTCAAGGCCGCAGCCAAACCGAAGATGGATGGAAGGACGTGAGGTGAGGTGAGGTGAAAGTGTCCGAGAAGAAACACAACAACAATGCGATCGCCTGTTTTCGTCTGTTACCCAGAGTTATATACGTTCCCCCCCAACTATGTGTATGGATTTCTTTTAGGATGTAAACACAGAATGAGGAATTGAAATGAATATTATTGGAACGACTCGGATTTTAAACGAGACAGATGGCTGAAGGAGTAACAGTGTCGCGAGCACTTTTGTCGTCGCTTTGAAGCATATTTGATCTGCTTGAGTCTGTCCTTCCGAAAAAAAGAGGTGGTACGTTAGTGGCACTAAAACTCGCATTCCTTTCAATTGTGCTAGTGGAAGACCAAACAGGAGGGGTTCACAAATTTCACTGGTAAAGTCGTGCAGCAGGTTGCGGACGAGATGATTCAGGATTCTGATCAGCAGTGCGAGCGTGGTCAATATTAGTGCCCGGTCATTGGGATCTGTAATTTTAGGGTAGCTCGGAGCTCGTGAAATGAAAGTGGAAGCGCTTGCCATGTCTCGGCAGCGAGATATGAAGTGAAGAGGTCAGAATGGTCGTCGTCTGTGCTCAAACTTTGTGATCCTGTTCCAACGAAGCAGTCTTTGAAATTAGAAGACTGCCAAGGATTGCTCTTGTCGTCGGTCATGGGGGGTGATGTACAAGTTTAGATACGGCCCACGTTTGGTATACGTGGTCCACGATGTTAGTAGATGATGCCAATATGGATAAGATTAGATTACATCTCATGCACACGCCCACTGGCAAGCAGGTACGACATTCAAGTTGATCAGGCACCAAACACATTCCACAACACTCGCCATCTCATCCTCCTCATCGTCAACAATAGCGTCTAACCACATTTCGTCGACGTGTCACACGTCCTTCAGAGACAACTGTATACTATACCGCCTGTATACCTGCATGTAAATCTGTATTGTCCTTCACATGGCACCTCCCAGGCGACGGGTATCATATGTAATACCTCCACCCACGGACAATGTTCCACGGCTTAGGCTACCACCATTTGGAGTCCCCCGCAATGGTTCTATACGCCCGCTACTCATACACTCTCAGACACCGCTGGCCGACAAGAAGAGCATTTCGGACAATTCTCATCCAAGGCATCGGCTGGGCGCCATGTCTCTCGCCCTCGACACAACCACGCGTCTCGAAGGTCGGAACACACCGGAAGGCATTCTTTACACTGGTGGAAGGGATGGACTAATCATATCATGGGATTTGGGACTTCCGTTCAGGCAGAGACATGATGGCAGGCACCGCAGAGGTCGGTTAGACAGGTGGGAAATGTTGACCGGGATGGGAGATGAAATACTCGCTGAAGAAGCTGAGGAAGACGAGCGGCGAGATGGTGATGTGCTAGGAGATGTAAAGGAGGGTGGAGGTCGAAGGCGAAGAGGCAGCACAACGGACCAGTTACCGTACGAACTCCAGTGGCAGTTGGACACCGATGCGTTGACATCAGGATCGGTGAGATACACTATTCATTATGGTCGTGCGTAACTGAATGCATCTCTTGTGTAGCCTTCCAGCTTCCGCCAGTGCGCACAAACCCATACAGACTGGGTAAACGATATCTTGCTCTGTAATTATAATCAGACAGGTAAGCACATGGGATGTGGCGGCGCGTAATGGGCTGACCACAAGCAGTTGTTTCTGCGTCATCTGATGGAACCATCAAGGCCTGGCATCCCCATGCTATTTCTCCCAGTGACCCCACTGCAATAGGGTCTCACGCCGATTATGCACGCTGTCTCGCTCTTTGGTATGTATCCCTCAAACATAATGGTTTGTGCTGACATGTGTTTAGTCGTGAACAAAATTGGATAGCTTCTGGCTCATTTGACCGGACTATCAAACTATGGGATCTCAGCCGAGCATCGATAACGCCCGAACCATTCCTTACCCTTAACCCGCCTGATGCTACTGCTCCCAAAGCCTCTGTATATGCAATAGCCTCCGACCCATATGGACACGCTATTGCAAGTGGATCTCCAGAACGTGTCGTCAGGATGTGGGACCCGCGCTCGGGAAAGAGGACGGGGAAGCTCGTCGGCCACACGGACAATATCAGAGCTATTCTGATGTCAGAGGACGCGCGATACGTAAGTTATGAAAGCTTCGATAATGATTTTTCCTCATGAATTTGGCCAGCTCCTCACAGGTTCTGCAGATGGTATGTAACTCATCGTGATTCTCCTAATATTTTCCTGAATATTTGTACCATTAGCATCCATCAAGCTATGGTCATTGTCATCTCAGCGATGCCTGCACACGTTTGCATACCACACAGATTCTGTTTGGTCTCTACATTCAACACATCCCTCGCTCGAGGTGTTCTACTCTGGCGACAAATCGGGAATTGTGTGCAAAGTCGACGTGGAGGGATGCGTAGATGTTTCCGACGGTACCTGCATCACCGTTGCGCGGGAATCTTCTGTTGAAGCTGGGGAAGGTATCAATAAAATTGTGACCGCGGATGACGGCCTTCTCTGGACCGCCTCCGGTAACTCGAGCATCAGTCGCTGGAGGTTGCCAAAATCCGCACCGAAACGAGTCTTAGATGAAGAGAGAGAAATTATTTCTGATAGCTCCGTTGCTACAATCTCGAGGAGACAAGTTTCCAATGGACCTGATTCTATACAGTGGTCTGCGCCATCGTCTATACATCAAGGTGCATATACATTTTTATGTCAAATTTTCACTACTGAGCTATCGACTAGTTCGTAGGGATGACGCTACAGCGGCGTACCCCAGTGTCCCTCTCGCATCATTTGTACGACTCACTTCTCCTGATGGTCCTTTCTCCCCTTCTTCATTCGCTCTGCGTGGACGCGATCCCGAGGTTGCAACATTATACTCTGCTGCATCCATCGCCTCCGTTCCCGGAGGACGTTCACCACTCCATGCTGCCTTCCACCACTCTTCCTCCCTCATGCCCCCCAATACCCTCCGGAGCATGAAAAGTGAAATTTCGATGGCGCACACCGATATTGATCCAGTGCATGACTCTCGAACAGCATACGAAGCTCGGGAATTCGCTGCCGATGCCGAGCCTCTAAATGCCAACCCAGATGCGGTGATAGCAGGCTCTCCTGGCCTCGTGCGAGCTATCTTGCTGAACGATCGGATGCATGCGTTAACGGTAGACACGACGGGCGAGGTCGCTGTCTGGGATCTCGTGCGAGGAATCTGCAGAGGTTGGTTTGCCCGTGAGGAGGTGCGTGCCGCGAGTAGATCTGGCAGTACTTCCGGCAGTGGGCCTCGTCGTGACAACGGGAGTGTGACAGGGGGTGACAAAGAGCGGAGTCCTCGTGAGGCGCTTGAAGCAGTTCGAGAGCGCATTGAGGGTGAAGCTGTCAGTTCATCTTGGTCGTCTGTTGACACGAAAACTGGCGTACTCACTGTGCACATCAATGAGCGCTGTTTCGATGCCGAGATATATGCAGACGAAGCTGGCTTCGACCACGACAGGCATTTTGGCGATGAACTCCGGTGTAAGGATATCCTCCTTTGTGTAAACTATCATCATCTAATCCAAATATACACTGCAGTCAACATTGGTAGGTGGGTCCTACGAAATTTGTTCCTCGGCTTTATTCGCGAGGAGCAACGCATTCGTCGTAAACGTGACACCCACGGTTCAGAGGCTGGTCACTCAATACACCGTGCTACAGCTCCGCAGCCACTGGAACTGAACGGGAACTCTTCGAGCTCCACACTGCGGCATTCCTTTGAGTCTTCAACAAGGCCGCCGCGAGCTCCTGTTAGCAGTGCGGTCGTCACATCAACTACTTGTCTACCCGCTGTCCTTCCTTCACTCCCTTCTTTGACGCGACCCAGCCCTCTTCTTACCCCGATGATACCGCTCGTTGCGCTGAAATCTCCCCCACCGCTATCCATCATTCCGCATTCGCCCCCGAACGATGCCACCCCAGTTCCTCGACCAATACGGACGCATGGCCTTGATTCAGTGACTTCACTCCAAAGCGCGTCTCGGGACGTGGATTACTTCTCTCCCCAACCCCATGCACGGCGCCCGTCTACGGGAAGCACTGCGCTGTCAGATGCCGGTGATTTTTCTGCATGGAGTGGTCCCTCGAGTGTTCTGGCAACACCGACACCAGGCACTCCTAGCGGCAGCGGGTTCATAGGACGTCTGAAGAGTCTTGGTAAAGGCACTGTGAGAAAAGCGACCACCGACGCGTTGCCGGGCTCACCTATATCTAGCCCTTCTGGCAATCTGGCTGATACGCCAATCGCTCCGGAGGTAAATATGGCGAATGCGAAAAGTTGTGTTTGTCTGACCGCCTATTTATCCAGGTACCTACAGACACCGTTGAAAAATCGCCTGTGCAGGCGCTCCTCGCAAACCCCATATCACCTCCCACGTCCAGCGATGCACCCACTCTGATGTTGCCTCCGACAATGACAATATTAATATCTGATGAGGTATATCCCGGATGGAGAACAGTCTATAGGGGCTGCGTGTCGACTACATGGGCAGACGTTTACAAACTGGAGTCAACGGTACCTCTGTGGCTCGCTGAATACCTGCTATTCAACAAAATTACAAGCCCGCCTGTTGTCAAGGTGTCTTTTGTGCTGTTACCCTGGCCAGGCACAGAACTAGGACATGAGCCACTGCCTGAGTTGCTCAATACGTCAGTGGATTTAGTTCAACTCGAGAGTAATCTAACGTAGTCTTCAAAAGGTCACAGTCCAAATTAACGTCAAGCAGGTTCCTCAGAGTTCGCAAGCTGACCCATCATGTGAGTGAATCTCCTGTGTGGGCGGTGTGCAACAACTGATATGAAATGCAGGTTCAAGAAAAGCTAGATAAGATATCTGGCAGTCCTATATCGACAGATCCTCCAGCACATGATGATAGCCAAAACTCGCATGATCGTGCTAGGGGTGAAGACCTGTACGAAATCCTCTGCAACGACTCTGTTCTGCCGCTGGATATGACTCTGGCTGCTGTGCGGCATTATTTCTGGCGCCAGGCTGGCGAGCTGGTGATGCACTATCGATCTAAAATTCGGACGAATGTATCGAGTGTTAATGTGCCTACTCCACAAAATATGTAATTCCCTGTAGAAATACTTATGTATGCGATACGAGATTAACGTGTCTGTTAGCTATAGAGCGCTGTTTCTCTTTCGAATTTCTTTACTTCGCTCTCGTATCCCATGGGAATTCGGGCCAGTAATGACCGACACTGTCGGTTCGGATCTCGTGGCAGTGATTCTCATCATCCATGGATAAAACTACATACATAGCAAGGATTGTACACCGAACAGTGGCAGCTCAGTGCTGCAGCGGTTGTCGTGGTCGACAAATCTTGGCCTCGGCCGATAGATGGACTGCCAAGGGAGCGACTATCATTTGCAATTGTGGGTCGTACTCGCGTCCGAGTCTACCCGGTCCCGTCACCGTTACCTTCTTTGCTGTCGGACATTGACTGCCAGTGAGCGCTGGGCATTGGGCAAGGCATCGAATTCGGGACCCTGTTAGAAGTCAGAACAAGCTTGTACTCAGTGATCAATTTAAGCCATCAATCTCGGATTCTCGATAAAAATCAAAAGTGGTCTCATTCTTACATCTGGTCAGATAATTTAAAGATCTGGCCACTCCAAGGTAACGTTTGTCCACTCTTTCGATATCCTACAGCCATACTTAACCAACGCCCAAGGATCTACCATCTTGTACCAGTACTCTTCTTGCTTTTAGCCTTCATCGTCAGCCAGAAGTACCGTGCCCTAGACACCGTCTCCCTAGCCTTGAACAGTTCGTCCATACCAGACCCAATCTTATCACCAACTACACATTCGACCCACACGCACACAATGTCGAAAGCAGACAAGCGTAACAAGTTCCTCGCCGTATTCGAGCGCATCCGCGAGGAGCTCATTGTCCATATGAAGTCAGAGAAGATGCCTGAGGACGCTGTGACGTGGTTCAACGAAGTAAGTGTTTTTTCGTGGGTTCGTGAATAGTGATGTTGATATCTGCTTCCAATCTTCCTGCAACCTGCTTCCTTCGATCGGCTAGAACCTCACTTACAATGTTCCGGGAGGAAAACTCAATCGCGGCATATCTGTCGTTGATACGGTTGCTATTCTCCTCAACCGACCTCTAACCGACGATGAGTACTTCAAAGCCGCCCTGCTTGGATGGTGCATCGAACTCGTGCGTCCAATGCCTTATCGGCTTCTTCCACGTTCAGCCAATAGTACTTACTTATAATTATAGCTACAAGCCTTCTTCCTCGTCTCTGATGACATGATGGATGGTTCTATCTCGCGGCGCGGTCAACCTTGCTGGTACCGCGTCCATGATGTCAAGGGCCTCGGAAAGGTCCACAACGTCGCCATCAACGACTCGTTCATGCTCGAGGGTGCTATTTACCACCTCCTGAAGACTCACTTCAGGCAAGAGAGCTACTACGTGGATCTCTTGGAGTTGTTCCAGGAGGTATGCAGCCCCTTCTGCTAAGTTTTTACCTTCTGACATGGACGTGCTGCAGGTCACATACAAAACCGAGATGGGTCAACTCGTCGATTTGATCACCGCTCCGGAAGATAACATCGATATTCGCAAATACAACCTCGACAAACACACCTTCATTGTACGGTATAAGACCGCATTCTACTCTTTCTACCTCAGTGTAGCGCTCGCCATGCGTATGTGTGGTGTCCCCGATGTATACGAGCTCAACGGAAAGACCGTCGAGCCATACAAAGAAGCCGACCGGATTCTCATCCCTATGGGCGAGTTCTTCCAGGTGCAAGACGACTACCTGGACTACCACGGCACCGAGGAAGAGATTGGCAAAATAGGCACGGACATCATCGACGGCAAATGCTCCTGGTGTGTGTGCACAGCACTCACGTACGGCACAGAAGCGCAGAAACAGCTCCTGTACGAGAACTACGGGAAGAAGGGTGCAGATCAGGCTGTGCGGGAGCAGGCTGTGAAGGACATGTACAACGACGAGCAGGGGCTGAACATTCCCAAGCGCTATGAAGAGTATCAGAAGAGGGCGGTGGCGGAGATCAATGCGATGATTGATCAGGTTCCTGAGCCTGGTGCGGAGGAGGTGATTAAGGGTGATAAGTTGAGGCGGGATGCGTTCCGTGTGTTCTTGAGCAAAATCACTGACCGCAAGGCGTAGAATAGGAATGTCCATGTAAAAGATCAATTACTGTAATTTTTGCTTGTGTTGGACTATTGGAGATTCATGGACCCTAGCGTAAGGCATAACTATTCATCGCAAACCATCCAACAACACCCACATCGCAAATTGTGGCGCATGTGGGACATACCTGATAAAGGACAACGGAAAGGTACTAATTTGCGGGCTTGGAAAAGTGTGGCAGATTAGAACTTCAGTGAGCATGAACCCATGGATAAGATCTGAGTCACCAGCCGCGTGAACTTTCATGATACGCACGGGCAAAGCGAAAATCATAATAACAATAATGCAAGAAAGCAGAACGATAATACAAGAGGGGTTTAGGGTACTGGAGTCTCAATGCACATGTTGCGGTGGATACGGGCCTGGCCCATGATGCGGTTGCGGTGGTAGGCCCTGGCGTGCTGGAGATAGGGGGAAAACTGACGAGACAGCAGTGGTTGCTTCTTCTCTGGATACCAGTAGAACCCATCAATGAAGAGCAGACGGAGAATGGACATGGACAAACGCACCCAAATACAGTCTTGATCAAGTCATCCAGCATTATCTCTTTCTTTACCTTTTCTTCCTTCGCCTGTGCCCTCGTGATCCTAGTATGGGACGACATCAATGCGTGAGGACCTTCCAGATAAATTTAGCGCACCTGAGTTCCTCGATGAGCGCCGCATGGGTGTCGAGCGCGTAGCGCATTTTCGCCTTTTGAATTATGTACATGACTAGCGCAGGCGTGCGGCCCATGATCAGACCAGTCCTAGGGTCCATGAGCCTCTGCAAATGCGGTGGAAGTCCATCATCCTCTCCATAGTCTTCATCGTCGTCTTCCTCGCGCGTGAGGGCCGAGAAATAATCCCCTCCACCCCCGATGCCGTTTTCAAGCTCAGAAGGCGTCTGTGGTTCGAGCTTGAAGGTGTTAAATGCGGACTGCTCGGGCGCGGGCGCGTTGGCTTGAGGGTGGGTGGGAGAGAGAGACCGCTTGCGTTTGCGTGTGCTTAGGGAGCCACGGCCGGAGGGTGGAGGGGGCATGTTATGTTGTAGTCGCATGTGCTTTGCCAGTGCGTCGGAGCGGGTGAAGGACTTGTCGCATTCTGGCAGTATTTGAGTGAGTGGTTACAAAGAGAAGCGAGACTAGGATAAACTGAGCTGGGTAACGATTGGGATAGAGAGGTGAAAGTATAAATGGCAAGAACGGAGTAGAGGCAGATCGGTGATCATCGTTCGATTCAAAATGGAAGAGAGAGCAAAATAGTAGAAGAAGAACTGAAGGGAGGGCCCGCCACTCACCTGGCCGGGAGCAAATGAACGGCTTCTCGCCGGTATGAGAGCGGATATGAGATATGAGGGCGAATCGCGAAGTCTGTGCGAGCCCGCGACGGTTGCATGTCGCCCACTCGCAAGTGTAGTTCGACTTGTGCACGCCAATGTGCGCTGTACACGTACAATTGATGTTTAGTCTCAAAGACGTAAGGATATGAACGCACTTGTGTGGATATGTTCTATGAGACTGGGGAGGTGGCTGAAGATGACACCGCAGTCGTCCCAGAGACATGTCATCGTGTCCGACCCTGCTGCCTCCCCATGCTCAGCATTTACAGGCCCCGGCGAGCCCGTTTGGCTCACGCTTGGTTGAACAAGTGATTCGTCTGATGAGGAGTCATCTTGTTGCACGGTAGAGTCTGAAAATACAGGAGACGGCGAGCGAACGTAGGCCCCGTACGACATTGTCGACGAAAGATGTAAGCGCTCGTTGGGCGGCACGGTGATGAGCCATTTAGCGATGTTTGTACTTACCAAATTCGGTGCTATCATTTCGACTTTTTATTGATTCTTTTCTTGTTCTCTTCTCGACGTTTATCGATACCTTGTTCACGATAAGCAGACGTTTCGGTGACCGTTCCCATATTTAATAGAAGCTCGAGCTACGAATCTCCGCAAGCCGTTGGTCTGGGGTTCACAGTAACTGCAGTTTGCAGAACCCACTTGACAAGTTTTGAACAAGGCCCCATCTTTAGCTTTGCCAACTTGGCAGATTGGCCTGGGGATATCATGATCATCAAAGGGCACAAGTCCAATGGTCAACCATGAAACGAGTCCGCACTGCGCTAGCCTGACCAAGGCAGTCGGGGTCTATAGGATTCTCTAGGACCGCCAACTTTTCATACCTCATGGCTCACAATAAATGCAATCATGGCAGCAATTAAACGAAGGGAGTGGATCGCTGGGGCTGTTGTTGAAACAAATAATCGGCACGGCCCTACTGACCCCGCAGATCGCTTGGGTTGTCGTTGAGGCGGGTGAATAGCGTGACCCTACTGATATTAACCTAACACACTCCTTTCTTCTTTAGCTTGACGGTCTTGGTGCCGTTCATACCTACTAGAAGCTTCGTGACCACTACTAAGATGGTGAACTGGAAGTCGCAGGAAGAGATCCAGAGGGATTCCAGTGCGTTTTGGCGACAATCACTTGGTTTTGCTGATCCGCTCTCGGTGATCTTCCTGAAGCTTATGCATGCCCTCCTTGGTCTATATGTGCGAGCACAACTTGTTCAAGTAGTGGTTATTGTTGTGATCTAATAGACGGCTCAGATGGGAATTCTTTGTCTCCCTGGACTTCGAGTGGGCAGTCCTAACGGGCAAGACGAGGTTTCGATGGCCATTGGTAAGGATTCTTTTTGGTACCTTTCTGGAATACATTGCTGGAACCGGCGTTCACCAGATCTTCTAAGTACTTTGCTAGCCGGTATCTTCTTTTGCACTGATCAGAATGTGAGTCCAACATTCTTTTTGCTTTATCGGCTCTCACTCCTTACTTGGAGCCGTAGCCCTGGATTCACAAAGGTACGTTGAGATATCAATTCTTCTCCACAAACGGTTTTGTTTCCCACTAGCGAAATCGACTGCCATGCACTGTATGCCATTAATCAGGCGAGTACTCATTGTGGGACTCACAATCGTTTTATACTCTTCAAGATTGCTTCGGAGATTCAGGTGAGTGCTGTGTGATACATACATGTCATCGATGCAGTAAATGGCTTACTATTATATTGGGTGCGTCATGGTGCCGCCGAAGTTCCAAAATAACAAGCATTAATGGGGTAGTGGTAACCTGGGTCGTTGCCATCGACCCGCCGGGGGTTCGATTCCCTCTTAATGCACTGGCGGTCTACTTTGTTTTTGCTGGTTTGTTAACCTCTATTTTTCTTCAATGACATACTGTACATTGGCGCTGAGTGCTGAATCTGAAGTTCTTAAATGGGTAAGTTGGAGGTTCGTTACTTCGAATCAACATGGGTGATGTCAACATCTCACAATGAGACTTTACGAGAAGTTCGACTGATAAACTTCTTCTCGGGTATAACTCGGTCATGCTTCTCTAGCGACTGCTATATTTCTGCCAGTCATAATGACCTCAGAATTTATTTCCCCAGTTTCCTGCACATCCCGCCATGTTCACCCATCTACTGGTGTTGCTTTGCGTGTCTGTCTCCGTGATTGCTACACCTGCTCCCGAACCCGACGTTGTAGTCGTCGCCAACGACGTGGGAGGCTGCACTTCGGGGTTCCCGGTGTGCTGTGCAGTTGTCAGTGACAATTATGTGCGTTTCGGATCCTACCTTCAATGGAGCACGTGAACTAACTTTACCTGCCTCCGCGTTGCATAGAGCGAAGGTGCAGGGTGTTTGATGGTGCCTAACGTGAGCGCGTGCAATAACTCAACGACGACCACACTCTGCTGCGAGGGCGTGCGTATTTTAAATTTCAAGAGTATTACTAGCATGTACTCATCGTCGACGTAGGTCAGCGCTATAAAGAAGACCGGAATAGCAGGGAATTGCACTGCTTAGTTCTAGAGATGTACAGCATGTATGCCAGTGTCTTCTGCGCCATTAGATAGTTGCAAGCAAATGATTTGCAGAATATGATATTGATATTATGGTAGCCCACGCCCCCAATCGCTAAGCGTAAACATATCTACTAAGAGATCTTCCCAATTCCAGACCAGTTATTTGTGACCCCATTTTTCTTTGTTTTGTGCGGGGAATGCCCCCCCCCCCCCCCCCCCCCCCCCGATTTATAAAATTGAGGGCAGCTCGAGATGTGTTTCGTTCTTGTGTGTTGGACATCAAACAGCTGATCGTGGAATGTCTATCGACGGCGCTCTGCGTTGCTTGCAGGACTCCTTCTCAGTATCGTGTTGCCACCACTGAGGGCCTTGTCAATTTGGGCTGCAGCCCCACCATAGTCTTGACTCATATGAAACATCTTGTCGTGGATCAACATGAGTACTATGGTTCCATGAAAATGAAATAAACCATCATCTATGACACTCCCTTCTTCTCCTCGATCTCCAGTTCACTCGTCTCCAGTTCACCCACGTCCACTTCAAAACTACCTTCCTCATGATACGGGACTCCAATACCAACATTCCCCGGGGGCGAGACCCAACATATCACCGAGAACGTGACGAATGATATCACAAGACCTGCGTGATCACCAAACTTTACTGAGTATTCAACGTTCCGTTTCATGGCGGCAAACTTACCGACGAAGAATGCGATATGGAAAATGCGCACCCACGCATTCCACGCAGTCGCGTCGCGGGTTGTCATGATGAGCCCGGGCATGGTTGGGAGGACACCAAGCACCCAGGCGAGTGGAGCGCGCCAGTGGACGCCATTGCGGTACCTTGGCAGGAGTAAGAGAAAGAAGATGCATTGGGATGTTTGCGCACCAGTAAATAGAACGCTCGCCGCCGATGTAGCAGTCCTCAAGCTTGATTATGCATCTCCTCACTACAAAGTAATCGGCGAGAAGGATCCCAGAAAAGGGAGCGACTAAATAGGCATGGTTTATGTGTGATGTATAAGACTTCTTTAACACGTACAGAATATTCCGAAGCCAGAGATCACGGTTAGGAAAGTTGAAGCATTGGACAGGTATTGCCAAGGGTTTGAAGCTAGCCCCAGAAAGGCGATCAGGTAAGCACCCCTCCTGATGTTGATGTAGCGTCTGAGGAAGAATATTTGTGTTGATCTGCACATGTGAGGTACAAATGCAAAATACGTACGGTACGACACCCCTACTCGTGTGTCAGATAGACGTTAAGACATGACAACACGGACGTACGAAAGATCCATTCCGACGCTCACAGAGTTGAGAACAATGCTAATGCCGAGCTGGGCGCATACACATCCGAGTCCAGCAAAGAAACTGAAGCAGTCAGAGAAGGAGCTAGAGCATATTTACGTATGACGTACATCGCAGCACGAACTGTCCGACGAAGAATTGAGCACCCACACCTACCGCGAGATCGTGCTTACCTCTTGGGGAGTCATTACTAAAGAAATGAATTAAGCTGTGCCCCGGCGGATGATCCCTACACTTACTAGTAATCCTGTAGAGTTGCGAGAAGCAGGAAAGGCTCCCAGATCAGACTCCCTAAAATTTCTTGGGCGCAGGACGTGACGATGATGCCGATCGTGGCACATACAATGATGCAAAATGGACTGGGAGTAATCAGCCAGGTTGAACCAAGGTGAATATGGGTTCTGCACGTACGCGCCGATGAGCTGAGATAGCGTGGGCGCATCTGAAGGGTCAGGTCAGTATGATGAATCAGAGTGTGATGAGCGCTGGACAGACATGGCCGGTTGGCATAGCGTGTCCAGTCGCTTTGTCCGACAGTCCCGCCACCCCTTTCCAGTATATTAGGTGCGCGTGCAACCGACGAAAGGGAAATCTCGTACCATGCACCAAGAATCGCGGTGATGCCGAATAACATGGCCCTATTGCATTGCTTATCAAAACATCTAACCGTATCTCAGGTCATGATCTCACCATCCTGTTCCACCGTGAACGGGACTGGCTTGCTCCTGAAACAAGGGACCGCCAGAGTGCGTGTTCGAGACTGCCCAGGCAAGAAGTCCTATCAGGCTGCATTGTAGATTAAGTGCGGCGCTGTGCGAAATCGGAATGGTGAGTGAGCTTACGTGCTGCCAAACATGACAGAGGAGGCTATGAATAGTTTCTGGAGCCGCTCAGGAGGGACGCGCATGATTGTGACGAAGAAGATGTAGTAAATGCTGCATATGGCATGTTAGATTGAATGGAATTGTGGCGAAAGGATGTATCGGACATTATGCCTATGAAGTCCTTGGTCAGCAGCATTCCTCCTGCTAACGTTTGTTTCCTAGGACATCGCGCGTGAGTGACAAACAGAATGTGACTTCATGAACTGAATCTGCTGACATGTGGGCAAATCCTAAAAACAAGATCAAATAAGCATCGCCCAATCTGAAAGGAAGGTTACGCACCAGGAATGATAGCGCCGATGGTCACCTATTCAGATGCGTGGAATGAAGTAAGACGCGCGAAGACTTGGGGACGTACCGCAACGGCTGTGTGAGATAGCGCAGTTTATCAACAACGGAACAGAGAACACAAGTAGAAAATGAGTTACCTTGTCCACCCCAGTAAGCCTGGAGCCCATCCCAGCTAAATGGACACATCTACCCTCGGCACTTGAAAAAGAAACTCGAGACTCACAAGATTGTCCTTGAGTTATGATATCAAACAGTGTACCCCAATTTGCCTAGCGCATCACTCACGTAAATGCACGAATAAGAACAGGAAAATAGGCGCCTCTGCCAAAAAAAATCAACATTATGTGGTGCCAGTTGCTGGATACTCACCGCATGCCCCAGCTGAACCTACACGCCACGGTAAAGCCTATGTGATGTCTTTAAGGTGTCAGCATTTCGACGGAATCCGTCCCGTAACCACAGCATCCCCACCTCTCTCCCATCCAACCGCAGGCGACACAAAGGACCCCAACAATGAGACCTCCGATGACGAGGGACGCGATAGCATGTTGCGCGTCTAAGCCATACGCGAGGAGTGTGCTGCCCGCGGCATACCCTGAAATGCAGAGACCAGAGATACACCAGTAGATGAAGTAGGACCAGATCTTGTAGGTGCGGCGCTCCTTGGGCATGGGGATGAGGTCGCGGTTGAGCCATGATGTGTTGGGCACTCCAGGATCGGTGGGTACTTCAATGTACTGGAGGAACCTGCGCCAGCGAGAAGGATGCAGACCTGTTTCCTTTGAGATGGTCATCGTGGGTGGTTAGTATGAAAGTCTCAACGCTGGTGGTGTTGCATGTGGAACTACTTGAGCTCCTTGGAGACGATTGATCCGAAGAACGTACTTCAGCTCCCCATTCTGCAGGGTAACGTTACGATTGCTCCACGTGGTTGCTCGTCTGGACTCCGAATTTCAATCCCGGCTCCATACTTAGGACTAATGAATCGATATCATCGGATTCAAGGGGCCCATATCATGAACGCATGAAATTTGAATCAGTACTGTAATGTCATTGGACGGTCAATTAATCTCTAACGCCCCAGATATCAGGCTCTTACATAATTAAAGTGGATTTCGAAACAACACCCCCTCAATATTTTTCCTTTTTTACCATTTTTTCTTCTTCTTATGTGTGTCCTCCCAGCGCCTTACGTGCGTGCGTAGTTCTGAGACGCTCACCACAATCAAGCCATCTCGTAAACATTCGTAGGCATGCCAGCAATTGATTAATGGCGCTTTTTCTTCTTACACCTCATCATGTAATCCTATGCCGTACGATCAGTAATCTTGCTCAGGAATGCCCGAAATACGTCCCGCCTCAACCTGTCACCCCTCAGCTCGTCCTGCGCACCAGGCTCTGGTACCAGCTCGATCATTGAATTAATTTCCGCCACAGTATTCTTCGAATACTCCTCGTAGTGCTTGGGAATGTTCAGCCCCTGCTCGTCGTTGTACATGTCCTTCACAGCTTGCTCCCTCGCAGCCTGGTCGGGACCCTTCTTGCCGTAGTTCTCGAACAGGAATCGTTTCTGCATGTCGGTACCGTGCGCGAGTGCTGTGCATACGCACCAGGAGCACTTGCCATCAATGATATCCGTACCGATCTTGCCGATCTGTGCCTCGGTGCCGTGGTAGTCGAGGTAGTCGTCTTGCACCTGGAAGAATTCGCCCATGGGAATGAGGATACGGTCGGCTTCTTTGTACGGCTCGACGGTCTTTCCGTTGAGCTCGTATACGTCCGGGACGCCGCACATGCGCATGGCGAGCGCAACACTGAGGTAGAAGGAGTAATAGGCAGTTTTGTACCGCACAATGAAGGTATGTTTGGGGAGGGTATATTTGCCTATGTCGATGTTGCCCTCGGGGGCGGTGATTTGGTCAACGAGCTGACCCATCTCGGTCTTGTAAGTTACCTGTGTGACTGGAGTAAGAGAGGCTCTATGAGGTGCAATGAAACGATGTTGTGTGTACCTCCTGGAACAATTCCAATAAATCAACATAATAGCTCTCACACCTGAAGTGATTCTTGAGGATGTGGTAGATCGCGCCCTCAAGCATGCATGAGTCGTTGATGGCAACGTTATGTACCTTTCCGAGCCCCTTGACATTAGAGACGCGGTACCAACAGGGTTGGCCACGGCGCGAAATAGAGCCGTCCATGATGTCATCGGAAACAAGGAAGAATGCTTGAAGCTATCAGGGTGTGACCATGGGTAAATAGCTCAGAACGAAGGTCGGAGAACGTACAAGCTCGATACACCATCCAAGAAGGGCAGCTTTGAAGTATTCATCGTCGGTTGGAGGGCGGTTTAGAAGAATTGTGACGGTGTCAACGACAGATACACCACGATTGAGTTTACCTCCAGGGACATTGTATATTAGGTTCTGTTTGGATGGGAGGTCGAGAAGATAAATTGCCAGAGGGTGCAGTGATATCACACCAGTGAGAATATATGGTATATGACAACATTAATGGTGGGCAAGATCAAAACGTAAACATTGGAACACGTATAACTAACCTCGTTGAACCACGCAATGGCATCTTCAGGCATCTTCTTGGACTTCATGTGCACAACCAGCTCTTCGCGGATACCCTCAAATACTGCGAGGAACTTGTTCCGTGTATCTGCATGCAGCATCGTGCACAAATAGGTAGCGAAGGGATTGAATGTGACACTGATGTGCGGGTGAATTGGGGCAGGGATTGACGGACACTTAGGGATACAGCGCTTTACTATAAGAACTTGATTAATATTATATGAGACGACTTTCGAATTTAAGAACTTGCTGAACGGAACGTGATGAACTATGTTCTATGACATTACACCGTCCTGTGCGCATGCTAGATGAGCGAATGACAATTCACCCGGTAATCATGAGATCCCGATGTTCCTGGTGTGTCGGCCGACTACCCGAACCTAGGAAGGGAGTAGCCTGAGGTTGACTGATAGTGAAACGTGTGAGCATGATGATACATATATACTTGAATCACGAGTCTTAATTAATGGAATGGAACATAGGACAAGTGAAAAATGGTCTCTAACTAAAGTTACCAAACTAGATGCCAGGACTCACATTTTACTGCACCTTCGATTCGAAGAACGAGATCCTGCTAAACTCGAATGATGACCAGGGACAAAATGAATTGACCGGTCACCACTCTCGAGACAGCATTCGAGCGATGCGAAATAAACATGGAAGCTATCCAGGCATGGTCGCCGCAGTGCGCACTGCGCGGCCCAAAGATGAAATAGCGAGATCTGTGTGGAAGTTGTCACGCGTAACGGAGATCAAATTCACGGTCACATCCGAAGTGCGTCACGAATAGAGCGTAACCCATAGCAGTACTTATGGACTGAACATAAATATTTTCAACATAGAGTCCCCATCCCCACGGGAAAAAACGGTTATGCTAGGTGCAATTTATGGATGGGAGCACTTTGTTGCCCACCTTTGACCATTGGGTTGGATTGGAACGCTAGATAAGTTTCATTGCATCATTTGGATGCGCGTCATAAGCATCACTGTCAGCCTCTGTATAGCTTATAAGGATCCCGCCGCCTCTGTTTTCTCTCCATCTCGCTCTCTTCCTGTTTCTACCGCCTTCGTATTTATTGTTCCCCCTTTGGCACGTCCTAGCGCGCATCCTCCCTCTTCTACCATATACTCATCTCCCCTTTGCATCGCTGCGACCGTGAGGCTGCCATCGGGTACGTGTTAGTCGCTGGTCTTGCCGCCGGTGTATTTGCTAGCTTCTCTATTGTCTGCCCGCCCGCCAAAGTAGTCTCTCCGCAGCGTCATTGATCCTCCGTCATTCAGTCTCAAGGAGCCATGGCTGTGTGGTATGCTTACAAGGCGGAGCTCCATATTTCCCGCTGACATTCTCTTATATTCCCGCCCGCGTCTTTAGATGTCTTTTCATTGTGGTTGACCACTATTTTTGCTATGCTTGGTGAGTTCTTTTTTTGGGTAAAGGGTTAACGCGTGCGGTGGTCGCAGGAGCGCGCCTGATGTATGGTACAGCGTGCATCAGCCGTGGGTTTTGTGCAGTAGGTGTGAGCCTGAGGCTGTCGTTCGTGATGGAGTAGTTAGTTGCTCGAACTGAAAGGTGAGTAATTGACTGTCTGCCGCCTTCGTCTCCGCCGCTCGCGTGCCACTTCGTTCTTCGGCCAATCGCTTCGTTCGCCTCTTACCTCGACCACTGTTCTGCGATTCTATGCACGAAGGACCACACATCAGTCATATCCCCTCACGCAAAATTCCACCTTGCACCGTTTGCGCTCGTCGACACTGCACGCTCGCACGCTCCATTCGTGCTATTCAACCCTCACCCGCACGCCACATGGCTGCCCTCCTCATCTTTTTTTTGCGCTGACACTACATTTTGGGCTCACCCGGCGGATCCAAGGTGCGTCTATGACAGGCGTTGTTGGCTACTACAACACATGTCTATAGACGTACCTTGAAGTCTGGGCACAGCCTTCCGTCCCTCAATGGTCAGGACAATTCTTGGACTGCTGATCACTGGCATCCCCCTAGAGATTGATGTTCCTGATTTCGCAGAGTACCACTGCACCAGAGAACAGAGGTGATCATTTCACACTGGCCTTCGTTTTCCTGCTTCCTACTCTCCGTCGTTTTCATCTCGTGACATGTTGTACCGAGCTATACACGCGTGTAGACATACCTTAGATTGTGTTACTTCTCCTTTTGACATTGGCGTGATTGGCTGGACTGAATTGAACAGGAGGCATCATTGGTGGCGCGATCGATCATTTTATTATTGCATCGAACCTGAAGGCCTGACAGATCGAACAACAGAGGGAGAGCAGTTAATATACGATTGTAATACACATGCTACATATGCTAGTGATGGCCGGTGACCTCCACAACACGCCCGAACCATTGTTGCGAATATCACGCAAGTGTAGCAGCTCTGGTAAGGAAAGCCTCCTCAATGTCTCGTCACCGTACCACGTACCAAGGTGCACTCCAGCTGAGCCGCCCGACAGTCCGGGACTCGCGGTAGACTCCTACAACCAGAACCTTCAAGGATGCAAAATTGACTCGGTAGGTCGGTTGAGGGCCAGTTGTGACGAACATCTGAATTGAACAAGGTATGAACAACCATTAAGTATGGGTATATGACAGAATAGAGCGTAGTAAATCAGTGTAGATAGTAAATTTTGGTAGCAAGAAATATTCAAACACTATGCTACGCCCAAAAACAGTTCCAGTTGGATTGGCTTCAAGTTCCAATCGAAGGACATAAAGTATACATGTTCAGCTTAGGCAAGGGAGTTGACGATAGCATCTACGCAGTCGAGTGCCAAGCCTTGCACATCCAACCTCTTGCTACAAAGGGGGTAGATGCTAACGAGCGATGTCAACCGACTTGAAAGCAGGGAAAAGGAGAAAACTCACTTGTCACTCGTCTTTGCAGCCGAGCAGGACAGGCCCACTTTGCCAGTAACAGAAGTATCCACATTTAAGAAACGGAGCAGCTGCGGAATGAAACTGTCGTCCGACGACAAGACCTGCCTGCAGTAGGTCAAGGTGTATTCAGAGTCGCACGACTCAGCGCGACGCGCCATAGATGGCGACTTGACATTGGATGAGGCGCTCTTGAGGCCGGTGGCAGCATCAGTTGCAAATGAACTCAAGTCTTGAGGGGGCGAAGACTGGGTGGACTCGTGGGTGGATGGTACGGAAGGCATGTGAACACCTGGAATGTGACCTTCCCGGGGCATATTGCCTTTAATCACAGTGACCTTGCCAGCGCCTTCCACTGTAGACTGCACATCAGATACTAGTGTGTCAGGATTCTCGGGCGTTGTGGCGCTAGGTTGGGGTACTGTGTTGTTGGGTTGAGTGCGAGCGTAGAAGGAAATGGATGCTGAACTACTGGGGGGCTTGAGTGTAGATGCATCGGGTTTTTCCGAGTCATCCTTGCTCGACTTGTCTTTGTCCTTCAAGTTAGAAAAGGCAAGCGGCGGCGCAGGAACGCTGCTGCGAGCAATAGAGGGATTTTTGAGCACCGAGCCGGTAGAGGCATCTACCTTGGGGAGTGTGTCTGTGACAAAAGTCTCACCCTGAGGGAGAGTGACGCCAGGGACGCTGGAAGTGTCCTTAGGAACTGTGGGAGCCTTCTCCTTCTCTGCGTCAACTTGGGGAAACTGGAGGGAAGGTTGGGCCTCCTCGCGAACATTGCGTACACTGGGGACGCCGGCGTAGTTTGTGGATGGGGTTTTAACATCAGAGGCGCTGACGCCGAGGACGTGGACGCCGGCCAGGGTACTAGGAATGGAGCCGGTTGGAAGGGCAACTGCGAAAGCAGCACTGAGGATGATCAAAAGAGCGGACTTGTTGAACATGTTAAACGAGTGTGGGTGGGTCGTGATCTGGGGTAGTAGCAAATACGAAGGAAGTTCGACTGGGGTGCGCACCAGGCGAAGGTAAGGTTTTTATATGCTCGCCATAGTGTTCGGTACGGTGGTTGTGTGCCACGCGACCCTGCAGAAAACAAGAACTTGATCAGCACCAATTCCGGACCAAAGATATAATCACGTACTTCCGTTACTTCCTTAACCAATCGGTTAAGGATGTGGTGGAGGTGGTGGTTGAACGTTACTTAACTTTCAGCACCAGTTGGGCCTAGCTCGAGCCTCAACTTTCGTGCGAAACGCTCATCAACGCGCTTTCAGGCGATTGGCTGCAGGGTGAGATATGAACAATTTGCAGGTGCAAAAGTAAGTGATGTCACATCATGCATCATCATGTTTGAAATTTTCAGAGCTGAAACGTAAAAGACGGCATTCTCGCAATTCCAAGGTTGTCGGAATGTCGAACAAAAAAGTACTAGCGCAGCAGGACGCACCACACTGTCGCACGACCGCCGACAACTTGAACGATGAACGATGAACGATGATCGATGAGTATTCAGGACAGCTTGTGCATTAAGTCATTTCGCACGCAATGCATATTACTTGGGCGACATGAATTAATCATTTACCTTAGGCTCTGTTTGGACATGGAATTCTACTTAAAAATTCCAAACGAAATTCAACTTAGCCGTCATGTGACTTTGCTCCCACGTCCCACGTGAGTGCCAGCAGGCAGGTTGCCAAGTTCTTATCAATACACCTCTGCGATACCGCCCATCCACTATAGAATTTTCGGCCACGTGAAAAACACTAAGCACGGTGAATTGCGTGAACAAACTCGTAGCATACTACAGAAAATCGTACTACTGTATCTACACCGATGATTTAAGGTTTGAGCCGTAGTTGTAAGATATGGCCATAATAGTGCGGTAATGGCCATGTGCGGACATTCCAAATTGCACGCTAAGTACTGTTTCCATTTTTGGGCAAAGCTTACACAACCTCGTCCAGCATTCGGACTTTGAATTCCTCATGCTCGCCATCCAAAATGAGCATACCGACGATCCAGGTGTAAGAAATACCTGGATAATGCAGGATAATTCCTGGTATATATTATTCTATTTACCTGGATCAAAAACTAATCACGCGCCGTGCATGAATAGGACAGGTATACATCTTTGTCAGCATTTATATTTTCCTTTGGATACTACCCCAGCCTTGCCACTGGTACCACTCGCATTCCACTCTATATTGGCTACAGGGATACATGGGGTGAGTGATAATACCATGTCCATGTATTTATTTTCCATCCGTTTACAGTGATTTGAATATGCCATCGAGCAGACCGTCAGATAAATCCCCCCCTCCTCAAACAGTGCCAGATATACCACCAGATGAACCTGACCAGCTGCCTGGTGATGCTAACGCCTATGTAGAAATACTGAAAAAATGCTGGGCAACAGGATCACGACTAGAGCTTCTGACATCACATATCCTGAAGTATGCGAGCAGCCTCGCAGAAAGTCAAACCCGTTGTGTCGGTAGGGGTTGGCCATGTCCGAGGCCAGGGGTCTGCCAGGGGTGCCAGGGGTCTTGCCTGGGCCTCGAGGCACTTAGATAGATATACTCGAGCATGTGTTGTAGCTAGTCCTCACCTATACCATCACCTTGTTCCTTGTGTTTGGTCTGTGTCCCATGGATCCCTGTCCATGGTCTTCCTTAGTCGTACCGACTCACCGTGCAAACGACTACCTAGATATCATTGTGAACGACTATTTCACGTGTTTTCATTGGAAACTCAAGGTCTCAGAGGAACTGCCATCCGACGTGTCTCCCGTATCTCACTGTTCTGAGACGCTCACCCCGTTAGAATCCCTTCAAAAGCAGCGCAAAATTACAGCCATGCGCAAGGTATTTTTTTCCTTTAAATTCTTACATTTTTAAAACAAATTGACGCTACAGACTCTACGTAATTGGTTTGACAACCGTTCCAAAGCTGTGCGCAAGGTCGGCCCCCGCATGAAACCCGAGAACAATCCATGGCCATGTCTTCTTTCCCAGTTGTCCAGCGTCTCACTACACAAGCCCAGAACCCTGCAAGCTCAACAGCAGTGGTCCAAGGATTTCTACGAAAGCATTGTGAAAGAAAGGTTCGAGGCACAGTGGGAACTTTCATCTTGCCCTCCGGCAGAGAAACCCTCGTTCCGCGAACATGTCATGCGGACTATTTTTGAGGAGCAAGAACCATCGGTCATCAAAAAATATGAAGCACTCGCCCAGACAGAAGGCAAAGAGGCGGTCAAGAAATGTAAGGCCTCGTTGGAAAGCTCTCCTCCTACTGACCCAGTTTCTCGTCAAGCGTACGTACAAACATAATCTTATGCCCAATAATGGCGGCTTAATTGTTTCCAGTGCTCTCGATAGACTTGCGTCATTTGCAGGACCTCTGCTATCTGGAATCTCATGTGCGCTGGGCATGCACGTCACCCTGATGGTTGGCGGACCCGAACCGCGCAAGCAAGGCAAAATTAGTGTAATCAGGTAAGTCGTGTGTTATCATCCCTTGAGTGTTTCTCAACGTGTTTCGTAAGCATGCACGAGGGTGTCAATCTTCAACCACAGCCGGGAAATTGGCAGACGGCTAACAAGGAAAAATTCAAGATCGTCACCAAGCTTTTTCAGGAATTTCTCAATGGCTGCTACAGTAAGTGACATCTTCGTTACCGTTATACGATTCAAATAACGGTATTTTAGCCGAAGAGGATCGCTGTGATCGGAAGTTTCCAGACACTCCCGCCAAAGACCTGGAAGATTCTGACGGTCTCCTAGCACATCCCAACTCTGACACCGCCATGGCAGAAGAGACGACATTAACCACATCGACCAATGACAAAGGAAAGGCAGTCAAATGGCCTGCCAAGAGCAAACGACGCTTGACAGCAGTTCACGACGACAACGGTGAAGTAACCACCGATACGGACTCTCCGGATGGATCGGATCCCGATGATGACGATGACGATCAGTCTCCAGCCGACGGGATATGGGAGTACCGCCGTTCTCAACTCCCCCACTCGGCAGCCCGCCTCACCTATGTCAACCGTCGCACTGGCAGCCCTATCACAACCAAGAAGGGCCCTTCCGATATCAATTTTAGGCATTTTGTTCCTTCCAGCAATGCACACACCAACGGAACTCTCATCCTGGCTGGGGACACCAACCAAATTCCTAATTCAGTTGGAGCAGAACGCAGTAGATCGGCACTGCCCTCGGATTCTGAACCACCTCTTCCTGAAGTGGCAAATTCACAGCCTACTCCCGCTTCCCCTTCAGAACCGCCTACGCGAGTTTCGGGGCTTCTTCTATCCCCTCGTGTAGACAACGCCATCTGCTCACTCGCTCAGGACAGTCAGAATGATGATATTGATTCACAGCCCACTCCCGTGTCCCCTTCAGAACCGCCTATGCAAGATTTGGAACTTCTTCTATCCCCTCGTGTAGACAACGCCGTCTGCTCACTCGCTCAGGACAGTCAGAATGATGACATTGGTGAGTCTTCTACCATGATCTGAGTTTGATCATGATTTAGATCGTATATCAGTGCTTCCCACCAATTGCCCTGCATGGATCCGGGAAGCGATCGAATATCTCACCGCCCCCCAACTTCCCTCTCGATATAATGCTCTACTCACAACTTTTTTAGAGCTTGAGAAGTCTTCTGGATTCTCGTCTGGGAAGGGTACTGCCTCTCTCAGCAGCAAAGATCGCCCACTTGCAATTCACTGGTGGATTTCCCGTGCACATACAGGCCAGCCGCCTATCCCCGAGAACTTCGGCACAGCATGCTGGAGTTGGTGGTGTGGGATTCAGCCCACGTGGGGGAACATATCGCCATCCAATGAAGTCCCTCGCCATAATGGTAATGATTGGAGTCTTCTCGACAAACCCAGGAAAAACGGCTTCTGGAGTGTATTGGCCGCGCTAAAATGGTGGGGTTGTGCTAACAGTACTGGATGCGACGACCCCCTTTGGCATACAGCTGTAGACGATGTAAAATGGGTGATGGAATGTATCACAGAATCTCGCAGTTCGACCGTTTCCAGGTAAGCAGCTTAGCGTGTTCTGATTAAGTCAATTCAACTGACATATTTTTCCAGCCCGGTCAAGAAATGTTCGGCACCAGAACCAAGAAGTCCACGTTTGTCGAAGCGTCTCAAATCCAACAGCCGTAAATGCCGTTAAAGTCTGCACCATCGCCAAAGCTCCCTCTAATCCCGATAGATCCGCACCCTTAGTACCTACGTTGATCTTAGATATATTGTAATTTTTTGTTCAAATCAACAGCTTGCACCTGCTCGTTTATGTCATGAATCTCGTTAGTTTTACTATCATAGTACACAAGGCAGCATAACTAGTAAAACGATCCCCTAACAATCATTTCGCTGATACATCAACTCGCCCAACTCGTAAGCGATCACAACTTCTGAAATCCCCGACATACTAGCATGACACAAGATGTCATCTAGTTGGGTTACCACTAAACTCATAGACTGACAGATGTCGTTACCTGCTTTCCACTCATCGCAAACCCCGCACATCTCCAGAATCGCATCCAGCCCTCGATGAACCTCGCAGTGTAGATCCTCGATAGAATTGATAGTGTCTTGAATAACGGTGATGTCACATTTTTGGGTCGTGCGTGTTTCTGCAGCGTCGTCAGGTATACTAGTAGTAGCGAGTAACTTCTTCAACACGCCCTGCACGAACTCAGTAGGTGACTTGATGAGCGAGACAAACACGTCTTTGGTTTCCTTTAAGATGGCAAGACACTCTGCAAGAGTTTGCCTGAAAATATTTTTGTAAGAATAAAATATACAACCGGAAAACTAAATTTAAACTTGCGGCTCATCCATCCCCTCTGTCTCTTTGTCAAAGTCAGAGTCCTGCGGCTCAAAAAGTTTTGCGACTCGCGCGATGAGTGGGAGGTCGCTCGCTGCTGGATCGTCGCATTTATTGGTCCTTCGGCATCTAGTCTTCGCTGTACAAGGCTGATGCCTTTGAGCATTGAGGGCCTCCCTGTGCCTGATAGTATCGAAACCAAGATAATTAATAGTGAGAAAGACTATGAACAATGCTTTGAGAACCCACCTAGCACAATATTTCCTGCTTTCTTCGCGTATAGCACGAATCCTCGAATCAAGAGTAGTATAGCAAGGAGAAGGTATTATCATCATGGTCTGTGATTGATGAAGGGTTACTTGGACGACGGTGAGGCGAAGTGATCTAAAACTTACGAAGCAATAAATACTATTACTTGGTCATGCAAATGGCAGGATTAGAACCAATTACGGCTCAGTGATGGCCATTACGGTCCTTGAACGCTAGCAAGACCTGTTAATCTTATCAGCCTAGTATGTCAGCATCTCCGAGCAAGCGATTGATGTCGCATTCTGTCATGACGGGTACATCTGGGTATGTTAGAGTAGGATCTAGTCTATTGAATTTAGCATGTGATCATTCAGTTGAACAAACGCAAAACCCTTACCTAGCTTTGACTGCAGAATGCATCTCGCCGAGGGTCAGTGGGTGCAAATATATGACGACAGAAGTCCATGGTTCTCTGGTCAATAGGATTGAGGCTTGTTGTGGACAATAACCACAGAACATACTAGTACTACGTACCTGGAGTTCGTCTTCTGTTAAAGCCCTTTTTAAAAGTAGATCTGATGAGTAGAATCTAGTAGAAAACGTTGTGAGATCATTGCAGTGAGTGGATCTTGACTACACACTGGCACAGATTTGAACTTGCATAGTTGAGTAGATCGGACTACTACTATGCAGCGCCAATGGGACTCCTCCACCGCAAGAAGCAATATCGAGTATATCCGACTAGTATATAGCACCGATGTTGTGTTGTAGTAAGAACTTGAAGCAGTGAGTAGATCTGACTGCACACTGGCACACAGATTTGAACTTACATAGTTGAGTAGATCATACTACTACTATGCAGCGCCGATTGGACTCCTCCACCGCAAGAAGTAATGGCGAGTAGATCCGACTAGTATATAGCGCCGATGTTGTGTTGTGTTGTAAGAACTTGAAGCAGTGTATAGACGTCTATAGCACTAGTACCAGCAATCGTGATAGCACAGTGATTTCGAGTCAAACTTAAAGCTACCGAAGTTCAATGTTTGAACACCCGAGTCAACATTCGACATTTAATATTCAATATTCAATGTTACTTTGATGGCTTTGGGGACGAGCCGTAGTATGATAAAACTACTAATACTCCAGGATCAGTGTGATACACTAGTAAGTTGACATGTAGACCAGACTTTTGACGTCCGAGTCAAGTCCGAGTCATCAAGTACTATGCCAGTGCTTCAATATTTCGTGATATTCAATACTCAACTGTCTGAAACATGCATGCATAGACAGAAAAAACCTTGCTATGATATTTTACAGTGGATACACGAGCACTTCAGTACAGTATGGACAAATGACTTGAGATATACTCTCGGACTATAGTACTATGAGCCTCAGCCATCCTCCGGCGCGTTAACATCTAAGTCGTCGGTTGGGACTGTGATATATGAAACACCACCTCTTTCCTCAATGTGTATCTCAGGCGAATCCGACTCTCTTTGTCCAAGATACAATTCCTCGAATACCATACTACGGATCATGTTACGAATTGCAGCAGATTCGTGATGGTCTTGCAGGAGGCAGAGTACCGCACGAGCAACCAAATCAACTAGCCCAACATCAGGAATTGGCATTGAGAAGACGTCAAAACATACCACAGCACGGCGGCATACACACTTTTCCAGTGCTGCCGCAAGGCTTCACCTCATGCACAATAGACGAGGTATGTCCACAGTGCATCTCGCCTAGGGCAAGAGTTAATGCAAGGCATGAAATAAAGGGAGAGACATACCACAACAGTCACCATTTGTACAGCAAGATGTGTTTTCCACATCTGCTTCAGTGGGGACATTCGCAGGTTGATTGGCGGGGGAAAGTTGGCTCATTGATGGATGAAGACAAGAGTGAGTGTCTGGAGCCGAACGTGAACGCGAGATCCCTTACAAATATGTAAGTCATATCGATGACTCAAAAGTGATGGCACGGTTACTATCAATGAGGAAGTCGCATGGCTAAGCTGGACAGGAGGTAATTGAGGCTTCTTTCTTAGTATTTTGCTTGTCATTGAAGAGAAAAAGACCTATTCGATGGCTCCAGCTACTCGCGCCGTTGTCAACAATGGGCACCAAACGAAAGTACCACGCCTACCAGGCTGATTCAAGTGATGATCAAGATCAAAATTTTGCTCATTCGCGTATGGTATGGTTGACAGCTGATCGGCGCAGACAGTTAACAATGCCAATCTCCCAAATGAAGCTACAGCCGACAGGTATGCAGAATGATGAACCAACAGCATTCTTTGCGGATGACTTGGAGCCTACTTTGGACATTGAGGCTGGCTGGAGTGAAGATGAACGCGGGGAGCACGACAGTCAAGAAATCATCAACAAACCCTCGACCAAGCGTTACACAAATTCAGTGAGTCATTCAGGCAAGATTCTAAATGATAGACTTACCATATCCTGCATAGGATGCTCCGTTACGAGAGTGGATGGGATATGACGGGTGTGTCGGTTATCGAGAGGAGTTTCTCCTTGAAGATCAGCGACTAGAGGGTCGTGGCGGTGCAGGGCTGCTCTGCTCATGCAAAAGATTAGATGAAAATAATCACCCAATACCAAGCTTATTCCGGTGCGAGGAATGCTTTGGGCGTGACATAGTTTGCCAGGAATGCTGCCTTGATCACCACAAGCGCTTGCCATTGCATGTCATTAAAGTCAGTAATTCAGGTTATAGTGAACTCAACTGATCTTGCCTAACAGAAATGGAATGGTCAATATTTTGAACGTACATCATTGAAGGACATAGGCCTGCGCGTGCAGTTAGGACACTTGGATATGACATGTCCATGTCCTGTACGCGGACATATAGAATTCATTGTTTTGCACGTCAACGGAATTCACCACGTGAATGTTGACTTCTGTGCATGTGACCAACAAATTTCTCACCACCAACAGCTCATGCGATGCGATTGGTTTCCCTCGACAGTTCATCAACCTCAAACAGCGTGCACCCGTCGACTTCTCGAGCACTTCTTGCTGCTTATGTGGTCTAGTAAAGTCTCCGCTTTTGAGTTCTACCAAACTTTAGAGCGTCTGACAGATAACACCGGTGTTTCTGTTCCAAAGGTGAGCCGTCATTCGCCTTTTGGCAGCTAAATACTTAAGTGTTTCGTTTAGAGTCGCTATACAGCGTTTATGCGGATGGTCCGGGAATATCGCCACATTTTACTCTTGAAGCGAGGTGGGCGAGGTCATGTGGAAAACGGAATCGCCAATGTACGACAAGGTGAACTCGCGGTACATTGCCCTGCATGCCCACATCCTGGAATTAACCTACCAAGAGGTTGGGAGACCGTAGAGCCCTCCCTAAAGTGTGTATTTCCCTCTTCAGAGTACATAATATTAATGTCTCGCTTTGACAGGTTCCTCTACTACTCAATTATCGCCATGGACGCCAACTTTCGTCTGAAGAACAGAACTCGATCGTCGGATTTGGCGGACCCCGGCATGCATACCGGTCTTGCATATTTTGTTGTGACTAAGCCCTACAGTGCCCATGTGTTGCAATTTGCCTCCCAGAAAGATGTACGTCTACACTGAAATTCATGCACTAGCCAGTTCCTCTAACTCTAACATACACAGGTTAGTACATGCAGCGGATTTAGTGCTCTGGCACATGCCGAGTCAAAATTTTCGAACGGACTACGGGCCACAGGCGTCGGGCTCTGCATATGTGCACATCATGAATTTGTGCGCCCCAAAGGGGTGGGTGATCTGCAAAAGGGCGAACGGTGAGATTCTAATCGACTTGTGGGTTCTGTTCACTTACGTGCAACGTGCAACTAGCTTCTGCAACATGGATTTCATTTTTTTTTCAACTATCATCCCCCTTCTTCTTTTGAATGTCGTCATCTCCTACGATATTGCTTGCCAATGGAAAATCAACCTCCTCGACAGGATGACCAAACTTCCCGAGAAAATGCATATACCTGTCGCAGTCACAACAACATCATTCATGTTTGGGATCCCAAAGTTTCACGCCAGTGCCCATGACGACGGCTGCTCTATTCCACATTCGCTCAACCTCATGCCAGGAGTAGGGCGAACAGATGGAGAAGGTGTTGAACGGAATTGGTCGGAGATGAACCGGGTCGCAAATAGCACCAAGGAAATGGGACCTGGTGCCCGACATGATACCCTGGATGACCATTTTGGTCATCATAATTGGCGTAAATTTGTTGGCCTTGGTAAGCCCTTAGTAGTGCCGTCTCATTGGGTCAAATACTGATATAATCTTACTAGGTCTTTCATTACGAAAGAGACTCCTAATTGCGGTCAAGGAACGTGATCGTCAACAGGCCGCATTTCAAGAGTTCAATCTCACAGTCAGCACATCATATGAGAACCAGTGGACTGCGATGGTCGAGAGCTGGGAGGCAGACAAGACACAGCCAAACCCATTCACAAACAAAGAACGTGGTGCGCCCTTTTATTTATTTAACACAACCGTATATTTAATGTGCATTTTAATTGTTTAGGTGTATCTGAAGCTGATGTATGCGCCCACTTTGCTGAGCAGGATAAGGCTGCTGCTACGGCTGGAAGATTTCATCATCACAACATGAGCCTGAGCGTATTTATTGCATGGGGTTTATCATTAGAAGACTCGCAGTACGTATCTTTACATCCTCGAATGAGATATTTCTGATGATCTATGTAGAAGACGTCTACGCTTTGAAATAATTAATGGGACGCTGTCCTCATATCAACAAGCAGAGTTGCAACAGCGCCGGACTTCACTTCTTAAACAAATCCATCGATTTCGGTCCGTGCAGGCCATCTACATGGTCGATTTAGAAATTTTGCTTGAGCAAGACGACGACGGCTCTTTGGTAGAAGCCGAAAACACCATTCTCTTGCTGCCATCCAGCATTAGCGCTGTGATTCGGACGTCGACTTGCCGTGATGATATTACCTGCATCGAAGAGAAACTTCGCAACACTCAATGCCACGACTGTCTCCACAAACTCCGAAATGCCCTGCGTGCCAGAGTTCATCTCATCAAACATAGGAATAGGGAAACCCGCGGTCAAAGGGCCAACACCCGTGCAGCATCCATAATTAGTCGCTTGGATGGCAAGATCAAGATGTTAGCTGGGAAGTATCGCACCGCTCACGAGTGTTTGATTGCGTTACGGGGACGTGGTTCATGGGAGGGTGAACTGCGGCCTCTCAATGCTCACGATGTTCAGGGCCCGAGTGAGGATGTCGGATCACTAGAGAATCCCTCTGACATCATTGGATCCAATGGATGCAAACAGACCAAGAAGCAGTTGGCTGCTGCCAGCAGACGTCTCGGACAAGGCTTCATGCAAGTCTCGTGGATATGGACTTCGGTTGGCATGTTAGGGGATGACGACAATGCCGGTTTGAATGATGGTGAGTATTTTAATATTAAATATTCATCGTTATCTAATTCATTCAACCATGGCAGCACTCCGCGTGGAATGGGCAAAAGCCTGTGCACGCGCCTTACGCTGGAATGAAGAAGTTTTACTCCTGAAGGAAGAGATGCGGCGCACACGTACTTTTCTTGAGTGGAAAGCCAGGTGGTGGGAGAATCGTGCAAAATTTGCAGTGGACGACAGGCTATTATCGGAAGGTATTGCAGCGTATGCTTTTCGGCAAGCAGCGCTGCAGCATAGGCTTTCCATTTCATTTCTACAGCTCTGGTCTACTTCATTAACGACTCAAGATCATACTTCCCAGCCGAGTGTTGACGAGGACGAGGACGTCGTCATTCACGACGAGGCCTACGACGATGCGGAGGATGATCTGGAGGATTGAAAATTTTCGAGACCCAATTTGGATATGTCATGCTAGAATAGGATTTGTTGCCTGCTCCTAAATATTGATATGTCGCACTTGAATAAGATTTGTTGCTTGGTCAATAAACACTAACTTAGGGTTAAACCATAAAATATATTTGAAGTGTATATCGAGAAAAACATAATATAGAGCAATATAAAGCTGCAGTACACCCTGACTAAGCCACCCAACGAGAAAAACAGAATATACAGCAATATACAGCTGTGGTATACCTTGACTAAGCCACCCCATATGGGTGGTGGTACAAGTCCAGGGAAATGGGCATTGGCCCCGGGTGGTACTTAGTGTGCGATTTGGAATGTCCACACATGGCTATTACCATATAACAAGGGCAAATACTACAACAAGTGGTGAAGGTTTAAGCCACTTCTCGGCTATTTCCAAGTCACGCTCATCAATCTCTAAGTCCAACATCCACATCATGGACTTCTCAGACTCTGAGTCCACTGTGTCTCGCTCTAATCGCTCTGGGGACTCCACCAGCGGAGCAGCCAGCTCTCAAACCAAGCCGAAGGGCCGCAAAGTGGCAGCTCATTGGAAGCTGGAAGAGGAGGTCTCCCTCCTCAAATACCTCTATGAGAACAGGACTGGGACTGACGGTCTCACCTTCCCCAAGAAGACATACATGGGAGCTGCTGCGCACATTGCACAGCAGTTCCAAAACCAGAAGGGCGGGCCCAAAACCAATGGGGTCTGCAAGACAAAGTTTTCCGCGCTCAGGAGTGCCTATTTTGCCCCTTAAGCGATCAAAGTTGGTGGATCAGCATCTGGATTCACATGGATGGTTGAGAAGGGGGCAACTATAGATGAGCACACCACTAGCGCTTGGGCAGGGTATGTGAAGGTGAGTACTGCACTTCCTGTCATCACTCTGGAGCCTAATCTAATTTTTTTCAAGTCAAATCCAGCGGCCAAACAATTCAAGTCCAAGGGTTTCGATCATTTCGAGATCTTTGATCTCTTAGCATCCGGCACAAAGGCCAAAGGTATCAACGTCCTCTGAAGATCAGAGGTGAGCAGATCGGGCGAGGGGGTGCTAGTAGATAGAAAACAATTCTAACTTCAGTCTGGTATTGGGACTCCTGGTCCATAGTACTGTACCTAGTAGATAGAAAACAATTCTACTAGTAAATGTTAGGGCGCTATCATAAATCTGAATGGAATCAAGTACTCACACTTCAGTCTGGTATTGGGACTGAAGTGCTCGTGTGGTAAGTACAAAGTCTATAAGGTAAAATTGTTGCTATACAAATATTAGTGTCGCGGGGGATCGTGGTGAGACATTGGATGCTAGACGTCAAGTGCCACTCGACGTCACCTGTCAGCACCTGGTCGTGCTCGCACTACATCTCTGTTCCTGTCTCCATCTCCGTTTCCACTCCCGTTGACTCTGCTAATCCCGATCCCAACACTCCCCCTCGAGCAGGACCAAGTGTCATCATGCTTCTAAGCTTCTGAAACCGGGGTCGAGGAAGCGGCTTCGTAAACGCGTCTGCTATGTTGTCATCAGTTGGACAATAGCGAAGTTGGAAGGTCTCGTTCTTGACGTGCGCGCGAATGAAGTGATAATGGATGTCGATGTGTTTTGTACGCGCGTGGAATTTGTTGTTGGACGCTAACGCGATGGCAGCCTGATTGTCGCAGTAGATTGGCGTGGAGGTGAGTGGTTCGTCGTACAGTTCCTTGAGGAGTAACTGCAGGTAAAGTACTTCCCTAGCTGCAGCCGTCAGAGCGATGTACTCTGATTCTGCTGTGGACAACACTATAATGGGTTGCTTCCTCGAGCTCCACGCGACGGGGCCGCCGTTCAACATGATGACGTATCCTGACATCGAATGGCAATGGGGCTGGGAGGCCCAGTCAGCATCCATGTATGCCTCTAATCCTCCATCCGTCCCCCCTAACATTATCCCATAGTCAGCCGTACCCTTGAGGTAGCACATCGTGCACTTCGCTGCTTCCCAATGCGCCCGTCCAGGGTTATGCATGAATTGGGATAGTGTAGCCATGGCGAACACAATATCGGGCCTCGTGCTGGTGGCAGCATACATGAGGGACCCAATACCACGCTGGTAAGGTACGTCCTGCATGTGCGCAAGTGCGGTGTGGGTATCTGGGGATTGTTCTATGGTCAGCGTGCTACCAGCATCCATGGGGATGACGGCGTTCTTCGCATCGATCAGATGAAAGTGTTCGAGAATCGTGCTGGTGTAGGCGTGCTGGGAAAGGGTTATGGTATGGTCGGGTCGAGAACGTTCAACTTTGAGGCCTAGCAGCCAGCCAAGCTCCCCTAAGTCTGTGATGTTGAAGTACTTACGGAGTTGGGTTTTGAACTCGGTGATATGGCATAGGTGCTTCGACGTGACGGCCATGTCATCGACCGACACAGTGACGACCATGTGCTTGTCGGCCTCACGTACATAGTAAACGGCCTGATCAATTTGCGAACGCGTGAACCCCAACTCCAGGAATACACTTGCCAATTCTTCTGACCACTCGAATCCCGCCTGCTTCAACCCATACAGACACCTCTTCAACTTCAACACCTTCCCCTCGTCTCCATCCTTCAAGTACCCGGGAGGAGGTCGCATGTAGATGTCCTCCTTGATCTCGGCGTGCAGGTACACGCTCTTGATGTCGACTTGGTGGACTTCCCAGTCCTTCTGAGCGGCCATGGCTAGAACGGTGCGTATGGTGGCCATGTTGGAGGTTGGGGCAAAGGTCTCCGAGTAGTCGAGGCCGTGCTTCTGATGCTGGCCGTTTGCCACGAGTCTGGCACGCAGCTTCAGTTTCTCACCGTCTGGACCACGTTTGGTGGCCAAGACATAATGGCAGGGTATGACGTTAGCATGACGTGGTACGTTTACCACTTCCCAGGCTCCTAACTTCTCCAGCTGACTAATTTCGTAGTCTATGGCCTCTTGCCATTCTATTGCGTCTGGGCCGTTTAACGCCTGCTGGAGAGTCGGTTTGGGCTCTGCTGCTGCTAGAGCCCACTGGGTAAGTGGAGCGTCGTCTTCGTCGTCGTCTGTGGTCGCTAACGAGGCTGACTCCCCCTGGTGTAGGGTTTTGTAGTACCCTATGGGAGGCCTTATGCGAGTCGCTCTGGGGGCAGCTGGTTCTGGGAGTGGGGTGTTGACCTTTGGTGGGGTAGATGGAGTGGGTGTAGGGACGTGCTGGTCGATACTCATTGGCAGTGGTGCCTTCTCCCCCTCGAGCGGTATGTCTGCAGCCACGGTTACTGTCGTGGGCACGAAACTAATGTTCCGTTCTACAGAAATACAGAGCTTACCCGGCCAGAACATGCGGTATCCCTTGCTCTGCTCGTCCACACCTATGAAAATCGCCTCCTCCGCCCTCGCCTCCAGTTTCCCTGTGTCTTGGAGGTGGACATACACCTTGGCGCCAAACTTGTGGGCCTGGGCCAGATTTGGACGACGACCGTGCACTAGGTCGTATGGGGTATGGCCTGGTGTGGCCTTGGACGGTAAGCAATTGCGCAGCCAGCTCGCATAGCTAACTGCTGCGGTCCACAGGAACTTTGGCATGTTGCACGCCAGCAACATCGCGCGTGTCAACTCGACTAGCGTCCTGTTGAGACGTTCGGCTATGCCATTCTGCTGGGGAGAATCGTGGATGGTGAGTTCTCGTTTTATACCTTGAGACACTAAGTATTGATCGAACTCAGCGCTCAGGTACTCTCCTCCCCTGTCTGAACACAGAGTCTTAATCCTCGCGCCGTCGTGTTGCCTAGTGAGTTGTGCCTCATACTGTTTGAACGCGCCAAGAGCCTCACTCTTATGCTTCAGGAAGAGGATCTGCGTCTCACGGGAGAAGTCATCGGTAAAGCTCATGTAGTGTGAGCACCCGCCTATGCTAACTGTCTGAGCAGGTCCCCAAGGGTCCGTGTGGATCAACTCCCCATACGACGACACCCGTCGTTTCGACTCTTTTGGGAACGGGTGCTGTTTCGCCTTCCCCTTCTCACACGCCTCACAGAACTCTGGTTCTGAGGCGGAGTCTAGCTCAATGCCCTCCACCAAGCCCTTTTCAACAGCGGACTTCACTGCTGAGTGTGAGACGTGTCCTAGGGCACGATGCAGTTCGCCTAGGGTGAGTTTTCCCTTTGCTAACGCTGCGTGGTGTTCACGCTGGCCTGCCACAGTATACAGACCATCGACATGCGGTATTTCGGCGATTACCTGCCGTTTGGGGCCTGCAGACAGGATCTTGCAGTTCGTCCCTTCAAAATGGACAGCTAGCCCAGCTGCTGCGATCCGGTTTGTCGCCATGAGTGTGTAGCTCATGTCTGGCACGTGTAGTGTGTCCTTGAGGGTGACTCTTGTCCTCTTGGATCCCAGAGGTAAGTCTATCTCTACATCACCTCGTCCTATGCCCTTGATTACTGAACCATCTGCAGTTCTGATGTCCAGGGGTGGTTTTAGTGGGATGTATGGACCGAAGTCAGCTCTGTTGGGGCAGAAGTGGGAGGTAGCGCCAGAATCTATGATTGCTGTGTGGTTCTTTGCAGGTGAGTCCTTCTCCCCAGGTGCACTGTCTACTGACGCAAATGCATAGTGGTCCTGGGAGTCAGTGGTGGCTGCTGCTGTTGCTGCAGTCTTGTTTTGCCTCGCTCTCTTCTGACGAGGACCCTGCCCTTCCTTCCTGCCTCCCTTCCTCCAACAGTCACTCTTGTAGTGGCCCTTCCTATCGCAGTTGTGGCACACCACATCTGCATTCTGCTGGTTGGAGTTACCAGTCTCGCGGCTCCTCCCTTGGCCTGCTCTAGCTGTAAAAGCTGAGTTGTTGCCCTTCTTCCCAGCTTGACGCTCCAAGAGCTGGCGATGCTCGTACTCCTCGGTGACCACACTGATCAACTCATAGGGGGTGAGTACCTTCTGGGCTATCTTGGCCACTGCGTTTATTGACGAGACCAATGGGCGGTAGGATTCGGGCAATGAGCCCAACATTATCGCGTAGAAATCGCAATCCTCGATACTCGCGCCCATCCCCGCAAGCAGCTCTTGGAGGCATAGTTGCTCCCCAAAATGCGCCTTCAAATTGCCTCCTTCCTCACATCTCAACTCCTGGAGTCTGCGGCGGAGGTCTATCTGGACCCATTCCGTTTTCCCTTCATGGATCTTACACACCTCGTCCCAGATAGCGGCTGCACTGCCTAGGTTCTGGACTCGAAGTAGTAGCTGGTCGGAAATGGTGCTGAAGATCTGTAGTTTAACCAGTGGGTCCTTTTGCTGTTATTCGTCTATCTTATCCTCTAGTTCCTCTAAGTCCTCGTCCATCGGCTTAGTGCCATCCGGCTTCTTTAGTATTCCCGTCGACGCATCAACATCGAAGGGAGCGGGCTTTGTCTTACGACCGTCGGTATATCACATCAGGCCTCGAGCGCCAAGTGCTGTTAACATTCTTCCCTTATAGGTTATCCAATTCAAGCTGTCGTCGGCGAGCTTTGGGATGTTGAACAGTGCAGAGTTGGTGCTGGGGAGCGTAGTATCCATGGTCGAGACAGGGCTCATAACCTCTGAAGATCAGAGGCGAGCAGATCGGGCGAGGGGGTGCTAGTAGATAGAAAACAATTCTAACTTCAGTCTGGTATTGGGACTCCTGGTCCATAGTACTGTACCTAGTAGATAGAAAACAATTCTACTAGTAAATGTTAGGGCGCTATCATAAATCTGAATGGAATCAAGTACTCACACTTCAGTCTGGTATTGGGACTGAAGTGCTCATGTGGTAAGTACAAAGTCTATAAGGTAAAATTGTTGCTATACAAATATTAGTGTCGCGGGGGATCGTGGTGAGACATTGGATGCTAGACGTCAAGTGCCACTCGACGTCACCTGTCAGCACCTGGTCGTGCTCGCACTACATCTCTGTTCCTGTCTCCATCTCCGTTTCCACTCCCGTCGACTCCGCTAATCCCGATCCCAACACGTCCGTCGCAGAAAAAACGGGGCGACTCTGTCGTATCTACCACCAGCATGCCTCCACCTCCCATACCATCTTCTTCTAGTGCTCACCCTTCCGCTTCTACCAGTATCCACTCTTCCAGAACCCGCTCTTCTGGAGAACTCCACCTCCATGAGCTTTCTATGGCCACTGATGAAATTTCTGCCGGTATGGTGGTCCCCTGTATGGCCTGTCTTCCCACCACGCCTACTGCTCTTTCCACAGTTCCCTCTACAAGCCCACCTTCAGCATTGACAAGCGCCAGCCCGCATTCCCTGCATTCAGTGCTGACGAGCGCCAGCCGGGGCAAGTGCAAGGCGAGTGTGCTCGGTTCTGATGTCGACGCACCATCAGGAAAGCGCTGTCGCCCGCCATCTGCAACTGCCAAAGCCCAGCAGGAGGGTACCACAGCGATGACATTGCTTGCCAGCGCGGTGGCCTCCATGAGCAAGAGCCTTGCTGCACCCCCTGTTATTGCGGCCCCTCCCGTCCCTCCTGTCTCTGACTTCGCATGTGCCATTGAAGTCCTCAGTGAGGCCATGTACCTGTTAGATGACGACAAGTTGGACATGACACAGTTGTTCATGAAGGACAAGGATGAGGCCACTGTGTTTTTGTATCTGAAGGGCGATCATCTGAAGGCCAATTGGGTGCAGAGGAAGCTGGCTGGGATGCGCACCACAAATATTGATTAATCCACCTTACATACTATGTTCTCGTACTTGCAAACACTCCAATGAGATTCCATATGACATATGACATACAACCAGTATTAAACGGGAACAGGGTTGCCTTGTGCTACACGGATAGCAACATAATCCTCCCACATCTCCTGAGCAATGCGGTCACGACGGCAGTCAGCTCTCCACCTCTCTGAAGCATCTGCAGGGCCATCACCCAGTTCATTCAGCTCGCCGCCTTCCTCTTGGTCATAATATAACAAATCTGCGGCATATTCATCATCAAAATTATCAGGGTCGTATCTATGAATGAAGTTGTGCAAAGCACAGAGCACATCGGGGACACGTGCTTGAACATCCATCTTGTACTCTGGCAGCAGCTGAAGAATGCGCCATTGGCGCTTGAGCACTCCGAAGATCTGCTCGATGATATTGCGAAGTGATGCGTGTCTGTGGTTAAACAGCTCCTGTGGGGTCCATGGCCTAGATATATGTCAAAAAAAAGATATAATACTAATTTTTTTTTACTGTGTATCAGCCTAACACCACAGTATGGCACTAACAGCGCATCACATGTGCCAAATCCAGCATCCGCAAGCAGGTATTTGCCTGGGGGTAAGGCAAAGTCATGGGCACGCGCATCATTCCAGAGTGCACCATCAGCAACAGAGCCATCCCAGCCGCAAAGCGAGTATATATATAAAATTGTGGTCACATGCGAAGAGACAGTTTTGGGATAAGAATCCCTTGCAGTTGCGCATGGTGGAGTGTTCGCTGACTGAGGCGAAGATGCGGATGTGCATGCCATCTATGGCACCAATACATTCATTGAAAAACCAAAAACGAGGGTCATCCAGAATCAAGGAGGATACAGGGGTGTCTATGGTGGGTAACTGAACTTGTGAGGAATAGAATGGGTTGTCTGAGAAAAAGATAAGCAAGTGCTTGCAGTACCTACAAAAAAAATGAGTGCAACATTGATACAACTTGGACAAGGGACTCACCTGGAAATGGTGTCAGGGGAGCGCTGGAATCACTCACCAAGATGGTGAGTCGAAAGTCCGGTTACACAGGCGTACAAAAAATCCCCAGCTGCTCCTCTACTGAGACGCCATTGCGAGACTGATGGATACCATTTTGTTGGAGAATCTGAACCAATGCTTCAAAGACTTCGATGCTGATGCCAAGGTTATGGCAGATCCTATCAGGGTGACCTGTCATTAGTTCATAGATCCAGGCTTCACCAGACAAGGCTGATGTGTGGTAAGGAATGCAGGGTTGTGATGCTAGGAATAACAAATTGTACAGATAAACAGCATGTGCAGCAATGCAGGTAATGATAAAAGTGATACAGCATCAACGGACATCCTCTTTGAAGCATTTCTGCAACATAAGTTGATGGTTATCCATGGTGTTGCATCGAGTCAGTGCGCTGGATCAGCCATATACCCCAAGCCCTTATCATGATGGCAACCTGCCTGCTGGCACTCACGTGGGACGTGGGAGCAAAGTCACATGATGGTGTCATGCATGCTATGCAGTCCATACCATGACATGTGTGCTATACAAAAGATAAGGAAGGTATAATGAACTGTACTCTACCATATCACCAAGTGATTCTATCATTCAGTCTGTTTTCTGAAGCCTCATTTCTTGTGTTTCATTTCTCATATCAGACGCGGGGATTTTCATGTATTTCTATTTTGTTCTATGACCTTCTCTTTCATTCTATTTTTCTTGGCTTATTCATCAGACTTTCTCACTAGCTGACTGATCATGTTTGTAATCAGGTCATGTGACTGGGAAATAAGCTGATTTGTAAGGATTCAGCCTGACTCATCGTGTTTTGTCACTGATTCGTCATGGTTTGTAAGACTTGCAACTGTATTTATAATCTTCTTAGTAACCAGGATGACTCAGCTCACCAAAAGGCTTGGTTTGTAAGCACAACCTTACCAATCCATGAGATGACTCATGCCTTTGATTTATCATGCTTTGTAAGATACATGTATTATTAGTAAAACAAGCTGACTCAGCACACCAAATGGTAGGGTTTGTAAGCACATTCTTACCAATCCATGTCATGAATCATGCTTAGTAATCTGGCCTCCAAAAAGGTATAAAAGGAGCCCATTTTACACCCATGCAAATATAGCTTCCCACTTTACACATAAGTGCAGGCCATTGGTGCCTTGAAGACATTGAAACTTCCCACTTTAAACCTATCCCACTATTTGGAGAGTGAGATTAAGGCAAGACATAGTCAAAGTGCCGGTGAAGTACGATTTAAGTTAAACTTCCACTCTAAACCTATCCCACTATTTGAGAGTGAGATTAAGGCAAGACATAGTGAGGGTGTAAGTATTATTTCAACAAAGTAACTGCTAGTTATACGATTAACTAGGTTGCTCGCTATTACTATTTTATTGAGCTAAGCTCCACGTATACTTAACGAATACCTCTCTCTTTTACGGTTAGAGAGACACGAAACAGGAGAACACGACAAAGTTGAAACAGACTTTCATAGGTTGAAACACAACCTACTAGGGTGAAACATACCTATCATATTTCTATCCACGACAAATCCACAGTTGCATTTCTATATATAGTTTCTTCAAACAAATAGAGGTAACTTGTTTACTCTTTGACCACCCACAAACGACACATTATCAACCGAGAAGTAAAAAAAATCTGTTGACTGTGGACTTGAGGAGCTGGCAACTTTTAGTCTTATGAAAGTGTAGTTTTGATTGTCACTGCATTTTTACATGCTTCTATATAAGACCCTCAAGTAACAAGACAACGGCGAAGTTGAATTTCATTTGGAATTTTAAAGTAGAATTCCATATGCAAACAGAGCCTTAGAGCCTGGACAGCTGCTGTTTATTTCAGTTTGTTTCTGTATTGTGGTGTGGCAATGTGTGACTTGCAGTGACAATCAGTGACGTGTTTGTGGCATGTCCTTGGCTGGCGGTGGTGCCGGGCAGTGCTGTCCACAATCGGATTATCAACTGTGACTAACAATAAGGTTGACTGTCCAATTCACAACCTTTGTGCTTCACTACTCACTCCCAGTAAGAACTTGCTGTGACGGGAGAGGGCAGGGTACATTGAGATGTGATCCTGAGAAGAAAAACACATGTAGGCGCATCTCTCCCTGCCTCGCCCTGTAGCCAGACAAAAAAACATTAGCTGGGGCAGTGTCTCTGGTGCTCCCGTGTGTCGAAAATATGTACAGAAATATTGTAGCATATCCATGTCCTCCACTTACAATATACTCAAATAGTATAAGATCTGCTAGTGTGCTCAAATAGTGTCAAATCTGCTGTTATTTCTGATACAACAGGTATCATAATTTACACTATTCAAAAGCAGGTATAACTGGATGGAAACCAGCACGAAAAAGTACAAAAGCATGCTGAAACATCAGATAACTGTGTGGAGGTAGGACTACAAAATGGAGAGGGTATGCAGACAGGAATAGGACCAATAGAGAGCATGCAGATGAGAAAACATTGGTGTCAAGGCAGGAATAGGATTGAATAGGTAGAAAAGGTTCAGTGATGTGGAGCATCGAGGCAGGATCAGTATAGCAGGCCTTCACAAACACCCTTAGTCCAAGCGTTGTCAGCAACCTGCAGTGGCCCTTAGAATAGTAACACATGAACAGTAACAGATGCACCAATGCAGTTGCTTCATCATCATACTTCTGAAAAAGCAACTCGATCAGTCAATAGTACATAGTAATGTGAAAGAAAATGACCTACCTTGCTCTGGTCTGGCATCAAATCCACGTAGTATACGCAGAACTCCTCCCGGCTCTGTCGTCCCGTTCATCTTCAATTGCTTGAGCCAGTGCGGTGCGCACAAGTTGCTACACCAAACTGTTAGTAATGTAACTGATTAATGCACCACGACTGAACGTACCATCCATTTCTAGTGGGGATCGGGCACACCTTTGCCTTGCCTCCAGTTTTGGCGCCTTACTAGTCGAGGCCTTCATAGAATCAGATGTGTTAGTGGGTGTGGACTCTGAGATGGGAGGAAGTGGAGGGAAGCTGATTTGAGCAGCAGCAGCTGTGAGTGCGACACTATAACATATTGTGAGCATTAACAAAAACAATCTGGTAGACAACTTACAGTGGATTCACAACTTTGATAGACTTTGGTGCAGGAATGGTTGGTGTGTTCTCCTTGTCTTTGAGAGATCTTGTAGGAGACAGGTGGGCTGGCACTTGCTGTTTGAATGGAGATCATAGTGCCGGGAAAACATCGGGAGCAAGCACCGGGGGTGCAGCTATCTCGGGAATAGCTTCTGATACTTCCTCCAGAACTTGAACAGGTTCCGCGGTGGCTCATCAACATATTGTAGTTCATATCCGTCTTGGGACAGGGTTCAAAGATGAGGGGATGAGGACAGGCCTTCAGGTAAAGACCATACTTCGGGAGTCAATGACAATGCTGGTGTTGGTGGTAGAGTGACATCAGTCGTATCAACTAGGGTTAGCTTCAAAGACAAGGCATGTATGAAACAAAAAATGATGCACCTTTCATTTTCTTCGTGGGGGCTTCATGTTTAACATGGTATTGTTGTTTCTTCCCTTTCGAAGAGCTTGGCTTTTCATTCTCGTTGCCGTTGTTGTTATCATCGCTCCTCTTCGCTTTGCAATAGTTGCCAAAGTTGTCCAGATGGTTTCATCGACACAAAGAATAAGATGACGTAGCAAGGAAGTCAAGTTTCCAGCCATTGTGAGCGAGCTTAAAGATAGGATGCGCACTTTCCATGATGGAGTTCACCAACTGAGTTCTGGATGCTGTGAGTTTTCCCCAAGATGATGGTGCTAGATTATGGGTGGCAAGCTCAGACCATGCCCCCCACAGCGACTTGCAGATAGCTTCAACTACGGCTTCAGATATCGGGTTCCCAATTTCGTCCTCCAGAAATGGCAGTTTTCTGTGATCACTTGAAGTTGCCTCCAGAGAATCCAACCAGTCAAGGTAGTCAGATTTGTTCCAGAAGCGAACCTTGGAATGCGTCTGAGCATTTGGGCGGTGGGGATCACATTTTGGTGAAATGGGTGTAGGTTTGCTGACGAACTGAAGTGGGTCAGTGACTGGGATATGGACAGCATTGGTGAGTGTTTGAAAAGCAGCACTGTCAAATGTGAGACTGGGTCTAAATCAAACTCGTAAACCAATACGTATGTGACAGTATTGCGTTCAGCCATAACTTTGAGGATTTGCATCTCCAGAGCCTTGCAGTGTTCACACAAGGCCTGAAGCTGCTGATTATTGTGCATATATGCACCCTATAATTTATATTGTTAGTTCACAGACTCAGTGAAGAAATTATCAGGAACCAAGGCACCCGTTGGAACGGGGTCAGAATTGGTTGTGGGGTAATATATGGATTCCTGATGTCAGGCAACGGCATATGTCCAGAAGACAGGGGTGCTGGTGATGGGGTATATTTACCAAAATGTGGATTCTGTGAGTTTTATCTGAATCAAACAAAGACCTGCCATGAAAATTAAGAGAACCTCCAGTGTTGCTGGAGAACATCCTGGCAGTGTGATGGAGGTATGAGCTACAGAACTTGCACATACCAGTGCAGTGATATAGAATTGTAACTCCACTGGAAGTATCCACTTGAGATCTTGGTGTGTCACTGTTGCGTCGCATTCACTTAGAAACTCACATTGGCTCTATTATTATGTCCTCACCTATTGTCATCAATAAAACCAATACCATCAGTGTGTGCGGGGATGTTGTCTTCTTTGAAGTTGATGGGGTACTACCAAACTGAAAGACCTATACATTCAAAGTCTTGTTTGATGGTCCTGGAACCAAGGTGTGTGTTAAGACCGTGCTTGAAAAGGCGGATCCGGAGGGCTTGGCTTCAGCTTGTGCGCTGCACCCCTTACCCGAGTACTTGCCCTTAACTTCAGATGGTAGGGTTATGGGGTCTGGACCGGCGGGTTAGCTTAGTCCGGGTGTCGGAGAATAGAGGAGGACTACCGTAGACGGATCTACAGTATAGTCTTACGGGGAATCAATCCCTTAGACACGGAGAAGGACGGAGGACAGGAATGGGCAGAGTCTAAGATGATATTCAAACTGGAGAAACTACTACGGGTGTACAAGGTATTATATATTATGGACATATGCGACGGGGACGAAAACAGCGGAGATCCGGGTCAAAGGGAGGAACATATGGAAAGGCTAAACTGACAGGTGTAAGGAAAATACTACAGGAACGATCGAGGAATGGAACACAGATGAAGAGTTGAGTGGATCTGGGCCTAGGGGTTATGATCTAAAATGTTTCCAGACATTAACTGTCAAGCAGATCCGGCATATAGGGGTTTAGACAAAGGGACTATACTGATGGGGTAAGAAGCATAATCGAGATAAGGGACAGGCCCGAAGAACCGGCCGTTAGATTAGATTGGAGATAGAGTTCAGGAACACGGAATATGACAGTGTGTTTACTTTGTTTCGTCTACATCTAATATAGTATAACTTTTAGACCATTCTTTTCTGTCTCCAAGAGGGAGCAGACCCAGAGGTCACCATGTGGTACTTTTTTCATATATATTGAGTGCAAGGTACATATGTTACTCGTATATTACAGTGTGAAGACCAGTGAGACAGTGAAGGCTGAAGAGACTGAAGAAGATACAATTGTGAAGCTCAAGGAAGAGGATATGGTGGTATGTGACAGTGAAGATGTGAAACTTGAGCTTGATGGAATAACGCTGCCATGCATTCACCTTCCTCAAATATCTGGCAACCCAGATCCAACTACCAGTGCAATCATGCTCACAGAGATGAAGCCTTGGTGCCATATTGTTAGGCCATTCTCTCTGTCGCAGATCCCAGAACAGGTAGCCAAGTGTGAAGACATCAGGCAGGGTAGGACACATCCCATCAAGTGGGCTGGTTTTTGGGTCACCTGCACAGTTCCCTGGTCACAAGCAGCTTTCTTCTTGCTAGAGTCCACTGAATCTTTGTATTTTACTGTAATTGCATGCAAGTTACATGTCGCATATTGTGCTCTCATTATATACTTTCTAGATGCACTCACTCCACCATGTACTGCAATGTGAAAAATGATTCAACAAAAAAACGGAACTAAGTGTGATTTCTATTTGACTACTCTACGTCTCTGTCGTTGTCGTTGTCATCCTCATCAATGTGATTGATACCAAGGTTCAAGATCTGTAATCTGGGCTTCTCTAGCAAAAAGAATCGCTCCTCGATGATACCAGAAGGTAGTTTCGGCTTATGTGGAATCATCGCTATGACACTGATGATCTTCTTCACAGGAACAATACAGATATTATCAAGGCGAGAGCAGGAGGCCACCGTACGTGAGGAGAGTTGGAGAAGGGCATTGTCGGGAAGAGAGTATAACTGGATGACTGTGATGTCCGCAAAACACCAATCTGTGTCGTCAAGCAAGTCTGCTTTGATGGCCAACCAAGTAAAGTATAGAACTTTGCCATATTGTTCCTGCCCACGGTATTTTAGCTGTAGTACTATCATGTCAGTAGTGTATTTAGTATAAGTTTAACAAAACATACCTTGATGTTGTGAGACATACAAATTTGCTCAAGTTCTTTGAGATTCTCCCTCCACGCTGAGCGTGCCACTTGGCCATTAGGTAGAAGAAGGCGAGCCCATCTTTTGATACGAGGGAGATCATGCTCATGTCCAAGAAAGTTGGAAATTGCTTGAGGAGGTTCTCTGGTTGGCAACATAGTGTACCTATCACATTTGTGAAGCAACACATAGCCATCTCCCAAGTCAACAACTCCAGTCAGAAGACCTCTAGGAGGTTCATAAAGCTCAGGTATGATGGACAGGAGAGTATTGACTTGGCAGCGCCGAACACCTTCTTTCGAAAAATTAGCATAAGGGCAGGAGAGCTGCTGAATCTCTCGACTGAGGCTTCTGATCATTCTCTCCATGGTCCATTGAGCATAGCATATCGGAGGGCCTTTAGGTATGGTCTCTGGTATGAGGTGGCTCGTCTGGTGAATGCATGGTCGAACGAATTGTAGTTGGTCCTCCTTGAGCTGATAACAAATCAGCTCAAACTCCCGTTCCCACACACAAAGAAGGATGTGGGCATCTGTGAAATCTTCAGCAGTTATGCTATGTTTGGCACATCAACTGGAATCCCCGCACGAGCTTGCAGTAGTTAGCCCAGTATAACTCAGACGATATGATTGTGTCTTCATTGTTGAGGACCAGGAAAAAACTGGTATGAGGGGCATGATCATTGGCCGTATTAAGTTTTTCTTTTCTTTTCTTTTTGAGGGTGTGACATACCCTTGTGTGTTGATTGACAGGTTTTCACGGATGGGGAGAGGCCCAGATTCAGTGACAGGCATTGTTACAATAACATACTTTGGACTGTACCCCCTATCTTTTTCTCTCACTGTGTACTGCCTTATGATGTCCTCATCATCTTCTTGTACAGCATCCTTGATCGCCGTCCTATCTCTTATCTCTTATCTTGTACCCTGTACCCTTACCATTGATTTGGTAGCCTTGCCCTGAAGTATCTCTTACCTATAAGTAGTCGATCCATCTGTCCTGTAGTCCTTAACTTGAATCTACTCAGTATTCTGATAGACCTTCCTTGAGCAAGATCACTCTCATATACGATTTCACTTAAGGCTCTTCATCTTAGTGTCTATACTCGATTGATACCTTTAGCCTTGTCATTACTGACGATTCTTGTCACCAAGTCTTGACACCAATGATAACAATAATGAACCTCTGCATCATCTTCATCTCAGCCGAGACTTAGTACAGAGCTCTTACCTGAGTCTACGCTTTCAGCGTAACAGGCATGTGGAAGGTGAAGCCTGAGATTACTGGCGCACACGGAGCTCATGTTCAGTCTGTGGAGCATGTTGATACCATTCTTCGAAGTGCTCATCTCATCCCCGTCTTTGGCAGTGGTCCCCTCCCCGATGGTTTTCATTTTGCTCATTCTCTTGACATGTTCAATTCTTACTATGTAAATAAGTATGCAGATCATCATGCACATGAAATTGTGTTCTGAGTATACATGTTATATCTAAGCACACAGCAAATTTTTCAGCTCTTCTAATTGAACCTTACATTCTGCATCACAGTGAGTTCATTCAGCATTCCAGCATGCTTCAATGAGCCCTTCAAGGTAGTCAGCAGGGACTGTGAGAGTGTCAACTTGGGGGCTCGGGAATTCAGGTGTCTTGTGCTTGTCGAGTATTTCGAGATATTTGGGTGCTGTGCGCAGTGATAAATAATATGGTCTGCTAGAGGTGGAGCCTTGTACTGTATTCAAAAGGGTTGTAGGGATCATTACAGAGTTTGAGACGCTGGAAAAGATGACTGGTGAAACTTAGGTAAGTCACAACATGGTGTTTTCAAGGACTCAGAGTTGACTCACAGTTTTTTTTGTGAGGGGCACATCCTTCTGTGTGACATTCCTCGTAATCTGAGAGTAGCATGCCAGATTTGGTTGGACTCGGAGTTGGGGGTTCAGAGTGCGAGCTAGTAGTATACACATCTCAGTAGCCCTACTAGTATAGAATGAAAATTTCCCCTTTGCTTACTGTTTGACTCCGAAAGTCTTGGGAGTTGCGAGATTTGATTTGCAAGACTCAAATGGAAGTGACATAATGAAAAGTAAATTGATGGATCAAAAAGAAGCACTATGTACAAGGAAATCATGGTAGGGAGTAGCTAGTAAATCTCAATGAAAGTTTTACTTCAGTTTGGCGTGCGTGAGAAGCAATCACCCTCCGGGCCACCGGGTCATCCAGGTCACCGCCAGGACGTCCAGGTACTCACCAAGTGCGCCCAGGCGCCTAGTGATATGCAGGGGTATGGGTAACCCGCGGGTTTTTGGAGGGTTTTTTGGAGGGTATGGGTAAGGGTACAAAATATTTAACCCGCAAAAAACCCGTACCCGTGGCGGGTAACCCGCGGGTATTTGTAGTACATAGTGTAGAGCTTGATCAGGCAATTTAAACGGTGGTCTGATCATGCAAAACCGTTGAGATTTGAGCAAGATATGATCATTATAAGAAAAGGACACAAAATGAAAGGACAGCTCATACATTAACCAGACCTCAAGTGTTTGACAAGATAATCAAGATAACACTAGCTTCAGATTAGACACCTAAGTCATTTAACAACATTCACATTTTCCTTAACTATGCGATCCTATCTTGTAATGCTCAAATCTTGCTCAAATCTTAACCATTTGACATGATCAGACCACCATTTTAATCGCCTGATCAAGCTCTACAATATGTACTACAAATACCTGCGGGTTACCCGCCACGGGTACGGGTAGGGGTGTACCCCTGGCAAAAACTTTGTACCCGTGAAAAAACCCGTACCCCTGGCCAGGGGTACAGGTTTTTGTGGGTAGGGGTAGGGGTACAGCTGAAAATACCCGCGGGTTACCCGTGCAGAACACTACAGGCGCCTGCACGTTTGCTGATGCTGTACAGAACCTGGTAATTTACTGATGATCCGAGTCAAATATGATTATATTCAGACGCAAATCAGACATGTGGTTTAAGTTACAGCGTTTCTGTGCACCTCCGGAACCTCGAGTTTTCCAGTGTCAGATAATGTTCTGAATTGAGGATCTCTCGCGACTCTAACACCTCGGAATCTGTGTCATTTGCTATGTTTGTTTACATACTGTTTACATAGTCTTTTCGTATCCCTTTCCAGGTCTAACCAGTTTCTCACTTCCACAGTTGGAAAAGGTGAAGAGTGCGAATGCAAAATTCATTTGTAGGTCAGTTTAGGGCCGGTTGTGACGAACATCTGAATTGAACAAGGTATGAACAAACATTAAGTATGGGTATATGACAGAATAGAGCGTAGTAAATCAGTGTAGGTAGTAAATTTTGGTCGTGAGAAATATTCAAACATTGTGCTACGCCCAAAAACAGTTCCAGTTGGATTGGCTACAAGTTCAAACCGAAGGACATAAAGTATATCTGTTCAGCTTAGGCAAGGGAGTTGACGGTAGCATCTACACAGTCGAGTGCCAGGCCTTGCACGTCCATCCTCCTGCTACAAAGGGGGTAGATTCTAACGAGCAATGTCAACCGACTTGAAAGCAGCGAAAAAGAGAAAGCTCACTTGTCATTCGTCTTTGTAGACGAGCAGGACAGGCCCATTTTGCCAGTAACAGCAGTATCCAATAAGACCTGCCTGCAGTAGGTCAAGGTGTATCCAGAGTCGCACGACTCAGCGCGACGCGCCATAGATGGCGACTTGACATTGGATGAAGCGCTCTTGAGGCCGGTGGCAGCATCAGTTGCAAATGAACTCAAATCTTGGGGGGGCGAAGACTGGGTGAACTCGTGGGTGGATGGTACGGAAGGCATGTGAACACCTGGAATGTGACGTTCCCGGGGCAAATTGCCTTTAATCACAGTGACCTTGCCAGCACCCTCCACTGTAGACTGCATATCAGATACGTCAGGATTCTCGGGCGTCGTGGCGCGAGGTTGGGGTACTGTGTTGTTGGGTTCAGTGCGAGCGTAGAAGGAAATGGACGCTGAACCACTGGGGGGCTTGAGTGTGGATGCATCGGATTTTTCCGAGTCATCCTTGCTCGACTTGCCTTTGGCCTTGGAAAAGCCAAGCGGCGGCGCAGGAACGCTGCTGCGAGCAATAGAGGGATTCTTGAGCACTGAGCCGGTAGAGGCATCTACCTTGGGAAGTGTGTCTGTGACAAAAGTCTCACCCTGAGGGAGAGTGACGCCAGGGACGCTGGAAGTGTCCTTAGGAACTGTGGGAGCCTTCTCCTTCTCTGCGTCAACTTGGGGAAACTGGAGGGAAGGTTGGGCCTCCTCGCGAGCGTTACGTACACTGGGGACGCCAACGTAGTTTGTGGATGGGGTTTTAACATCAGAGGCGCTGACGCCGAGGACGTGGACGCCGGCTAGGGTCCTAGGAATGAAGCCGGTGGGAAGGGCAACTGCGAAAGCAGCACTGAGGATGATCAAAAGAGCGGACTTGTTGAACATGTTAAACGAGTGTAGGTGGGTCGTGAATTGGGGTAGTAGCAAAAAGACGAAGGAAGTTCGACTGGGATACGCACCAGGAGAAGGCAAGGTTTTTATATGCTCGCATAGTGTTCGGTACGGTAGTTTTGCTACGCGACCCTTCAGAAAACAAGAACTTGATCACTGAGCACCATTCTGGACCAAAGATGTTATCACGTACTTCCGTTACTTCCTTGACCAATCAGTTAGGGATTGTGGAGGGGGTGGTTGAACGTTACTTAACCTTCGGCGCCAGACGGTCCTGGCTCGAGCCTCAGCTTTCGTGTAAAGCACTCATCGACGCGCTTTGAGGCGATAGGCAGGGTCAGGTATGAACAATTTGAAGGTGCAACTTGAAAATGAGTCACACCAGCGAACAAAGTACATAAGTACGTGATGTCATCATGCATCATCCTGTTTGAAATTTCAGAGCTGAAACGTAAAAGACGGCATTCTCGCAATTCGAAGGTTGTCAGAATGTCGAACAAAAAAGTGCTAGCGCGACATCACGCACTCTGTCAATGACCACACTGTCGCACGATGAGCTTGTGCGCAAGTCATTTGGCACGCAAGGCATATACTTGGGCGACATGAATTAATGATTTAAGCCTTGAGCCGGTGCCACGTAGCAGAGAAGCCTATCATTGACAACAGTTAGTAATACGGATTACAACCGCTGGTACCACCAGATACCAAGACATCCTACACATATAACCCAGAGTGTGTAACACGTCGTGAACAGTACGGAATATGAATTCGAAGTTCATCAGCTGGCCAGATACATCCGCATCCATCGCATCTCTCTGCGTCTTCATCCTGAAGGGGGAAATCAACGAGTTTCAGTGTCATGCTGCCTATGCCTCGCAGCAACTCGTCACATGAACTTTGTTGGGTCGAAGAAACAACTTTTTGCTCCAAGGGTAAGAGCGTATTATCTGTCAGTTCAGAGAAGTAGCAGTGGGGAGTATTATAGCGATGACTCGGCCAAAGATACGCATCTGACTGAGCTCTGGCAAAGAGGTCGTCATAAACATGCATTGGTGCCGGTTGGATATCAGTGAGCGGAAGCAAGTCTTGCGACAGTCGATTCACCACGAGCCTGTCAATGTCATTTAAACGACGTTTGTTAAAGCGGCAATGTGTATTCCACTTACGACGAGTGAATGCTGCCGGTGGGTGTGTTCCTGTCTGCGTGTTGGTTACTATCAGCCATTTGCGACAAGCATGTATGTGGCATGCAAGACGTGCTGCGTGTCTGCATGGCGGATAGCTATCAGGATATGCGTGGGCGCATGTGTCATAACAGCTTTGACCCTCCAGAATCCATATCCCGGCTTAGGGTCCAGATATCGAGCCTGAAACTCCGATGGCACACAAAAAATACCATGGCAATTGGGCAAGTTGGCTGCGAGTTTGTGAGTTTTGAATGCGGTTTTAGCCCGGGCCGTATATTAGCGCTGCACATGCCAGACCTGCTGACATAATGGTGTCGCGTCTGGCTTGCGCGTCGATTGACCTGTTGTACCAACTCTACCATGGACCACTTTCCAACTAACTGGGGTCGTCCAGTAAGTAACTGAAACTAGAGTACAGCGTGCAGCACTGACTTCTTCTTGCAGAGAAACGACGCATTTGATGCATATGCTACCTACCCCATTCACCAGCGTCCATATAATGGTCCAAAGGATACTTTCGCCGATGGCGTACAGCGAACACAGTAGGTCTATTCTATTACCATTCTTTCTTTCCATCAATGAGGCTTTGTATGTAGACAACCAATCGTCACTGGAACGAGCGTGCTGGCGATCAAGTACAAGGATGGTGTCATGATGGCCGCTGACAACCTCGGTACTTTCATTTTCAAGACATATCGTCCATCCGCTCATCTATTTCACAACAGCATCATACGGGTCCCTTGCTCGATTCAAGGATATACAGCGTCTGCACCAAGTCGGCAATTATACTGTCATCGGTGCAGGAGGTGACATGTCGGACTTCCAGTATATTCAGTATATCCTTGAGGAGTTGTCCATCGACGAGATATCAGCACAGGATGGACACGAACTCGGTCCGATCGAGATCCACGAATATATGTCCCAGGTCATGTACGCGCGTCGGTCCAAGATGAACCCACTTTGGAATTCCCTGCTTATCGGAGGATTCAAGGACGGCAAGAGGTAAGGCTGTGCTACGTATTTCTCGAGCATTAATCAACTATTGTTCAAGGTTCTTGTCGTACGTTGACCTTTTGGGTACGACATATTCTGCCTCGACGCTTGCCACCGGGTATGGCGCTTTCATTGCCCAACCACTATTACGTAAGGCTGTCGAAGGGAGGGAGGACGTCATTACTGAAGAGGAAGGTCGAAAAATTCTTGAGGATAGTATGCGTGTGCTGTTTTACAGAGATGCCCGAAGTTTGAACAAGGTAAATTTCCGATGATCGTCGTTCTCACCTCATCAATTGACTTCTTGTTCAGTTCCAAATTGCTACCATCTCTAGTGCAGGCGTGTCCATCAGTGATTCGATACAGCTCGAGACTGGATGGTCATTTGCAGAAAACATCAGGGGTTATGGTGCCCAGACACAGTAGCTTGTACGCGTGTATCATCAAGTTTGATTCGTCGTTATTCTAAATCTATGAGACACACAATGGTCCAGCAAAGTCCGGCAGCGCCAACCTGAGGTTACGCTGCCACCTCTCCTTCATCGCAGAAACTGAAAGTTTGAAGGTATTTCAATGGTCCTGTCACGTTTGAGTCCATCCATTTTCCAGAGTGCGTCGCTGACATCCCATTTAAATACACGACCGAGACGCCGGAGGATAGCACTTACCATAGGGTACGCCCGAGCAGTCCAGGTCCAAGAACAAACGCACTTCCCCGACTACGCTGCTTGCCTGGGTAACTATCGAGCTCAAATTGCCTACCAACCCCGAAGGGACCGGTGCGCACGCGCATGGCATATCCTTTCCCTGCTCCATCTCCAATGTCGAGCCACCACAATTCACTTCTGAGCTTAACAAAATACGGAAGGACGAGCTCGTGTTTGTGTATGAGCACTTCGCGAATACCGAAGTAATGAATGCGAGGGTAGCAGGGAGTATGAACTTCATGATAGCCTATGGGGGGCATCGTTAGTGGAAAATCCACACCATTTGGACACCTATAGTCTTACTGGTGCGTTGGAATACGGTTAATCTGGGAGGTCCACAACGAGCCAAAATAAAGGTGGCTCGGGCTCGGGCAATGTGCTTTAATACCTCTTCAATACCTCTTCGGATCCCGCATCAAGGTGGAGCGGAAGATGCTATGCGGGATAGCGTGGCTGCTGCCAAGGCTGTTGGTTGTGAGTCTTCAGCTCAACACTTGCGTATTTTCCACATATCGCGCACTGTCGTGTTCGAAGAGGGAGGTCCTGAGTTTCACTTTCAAGTTGAAAGTTGCTGCTGTTATTAGGTAACCCACAAACGGGTAAAGCGAAAAAGAAAATCGAAAAGAAGTGATACCAGTTTCGTTGCCAAATTGCCCTTCATGCAGCTGGAACGGCAGATGACACTTTCTAGAAGTCATCCAACGTAAGGACTTACGACGCCCATGACCAATAATGAAATCAAAATGTCTCTATTGTTATCCTCATATGCTACCTGCCTAGTGGTCGGAGTTTATGGTACGGCGGCGGCGGATCCCCTCCACCACGGTGCTGGTAGACACCCGCTGGCTCAACCGCGCTACGATTTGTATGCGTGACATTCGACGCAGAGTAGTAATGCCGCAGGTGGTTCGTGTGGCGCATGTCTGATGACGAACGGGGTACGGTTGCGTGTTGCCGGTGGGAAGGTGGTGCCATATTGTCACGAGGAATGTCCCCTGTCGAACGTGAACCATGGAGTGTGCGTTTGTGCCTCTCGGTGCGAGAGCGAGGGTTAGATCGTTTGGCTTCTTGTGCAACGGCAGAACGCTGCGGAGACATAGGTGAATTTGTAGGACGGTGGTTGTTATTGGCAGAGTGCATAGAAGAGTTTGACTGCTGCTGGCGGGGAATGCGCGAGGAGGAACCAGATTGTGGAGATTGCGCAATGTATGGGCTGGATGGGTTGCGTGGAGGTCGTGAAGGGGAATCTTCTGGAGAACGCAAAGACGTATTGGATGGCTGGCGGGAAGCAGTTGGGACCGGCAACGGGCGCGTATGGGTGCGTGAAGGAGAGGACTTTGGACCGACGGGCGAGCGTGTGGAGGATGCCTCCGTTGGAGACACCACCAAATTGTTCCGCCAGGATATGTCAATGACGGACAAAGGGACTGACGCATTCGCCCGTGGCACAGATGCATTAGTGTATGGTGCTTGGTTGACGGGCTCAAATGGCCGGGGCCGCGCATCTTGCCCTGCAATCAATCCTCGCTTCCTACGTCGGAACATTACCACAGCAAAGCACAGAACGGCAAGGATCATAGTCCCACCAACTGATGCGCACACAGCAATGATGATCGTGTCTTGATGGCTTATCTTTACAGTGCCATTTGATCGTGCGGCAAGGATCATTATGCCGGCCCGTTCCCTCCGACTCCCAACCTCACAAGACACTCCGCTAGCATCGACGACTTCAACAAATTCGGTTGCATGTCCAAATACACCAGATCTGTGGAATGAGACAAGATTAGTAGAGATTTACTAGCGGGATCCAATGAATGTAGAGGAAACCACTCACGAATCACGCACGGCAGCTTTAACGGAAAACAAAATACACAGGCTTACCCTTAGTCAACAATCTCAGGTCCCCGAGGATTCCGACGCACCTATAGTAGGTCCTCTTAGTGCGATGCCGCTATTTATAAACGAAACCGGGCTAGACTCTTGCGGTGCATAGAAGTCCTGCAGAAAGGGGGCTCCGGGAGATGCGAGCATGATGGTGTACGGTGGGACTCCGCCTGAGATTGATAAATTCCAGGAGTCGCAAGGCTCAATTTGGTCGACACTCGTTATGATCATCGGAGCAAATGCGGATGTGGGAAGTGCGGGAAGACAGTCTGAGGGTCCCGCTGCGAAGATATCTCAGTGTGTTTCTGGGGGCATTGCGGGAGAAATGACCCACATGCAACCGTGAAGACTGTGGGGAGGACCCCACCTGAGTTTCCCAAGGAATCAACGAGAGCCAGGAGCAGCTGAGACCCTGTATAATACTGCTCCGTAATCGATTTGAACATAGGACTGGTTGTACGAACCTGTTGGGTGTTTCACTTGCCACAGACCATCTTCATGGATTTGCGTAGCAGTCAGCACCCCACCAGCTTCAAAGGCAAAAAGAGTGTATGGAGACTGTCCGATATAGCCATCCAATGACGAAGAAAGCGAAATGTACAGGCTATCACAGACGGTTAGACTGTCCACCGTGACTCGCTCGAATTCCTGGTCGAAGTGAAAAAAAATAACATACGAAAGAGAACAACTTAAACTTACGTGATTCGTTAAATCCCAGGAGAAAGTTCGGCTACCCTCTGCAAGGCCTAGGAGTACATGAAGGAAAACGCATATCGCCAGGCCTTGAGGAAGCAACAAGACCATGACTTTTGGGAGATAACAAGCTCCAAGGACCAGCCTGAGAGGGCCTCAGCTCTGCTTAAGGGTACCAATCAAGAGACGCCCGCGTCTTCCAATTAGAACTTTTGGGTAAGGAAAGGAAAGGAAACAGGAACACATTTGACCGAGAAGTTTCATAAGGAATCTCGGTAATTGCCACGCGATAAATACCTAGATTTTATGATAACCGAGACGATCCGAGAATTGCGTATTCTCGGTGCATGCGCCCGGCGGTGTGGCTCAGGTTGGAGCGATGCCGTTGTAGCGCTCAGCACAGGTGTCTTGAAAAGAGGCCTTGCACAAGATTCACCGCCCCTCTGATCGGCTGGGGGCGATTGTGGGCAATAATTGAGCTATTCTCATTGGCGTAGACTACCTAAGGAGATCATTAAGGCAGTAGAACGGGTCAAATGGACTCACGAGTTGTCTAGAACGCTGGCGGTTCCTGGTAAGATGTGAGCAATTCTTAGAACAGGCATTTCCTTCGGGACACTCGGTTCGATCGGAGCAGTACTGATTCGCAAGTACTGAGTACCATGCACATTGCACCGCCCAGCGGGCAGTACACAAACCCGTGCATATGGGCCAGCTGTAGCAGTGCGGGCATAGGCTACTTACACATGTCACACAACTCTTTGATATCACCGGCACGTGACTGACGTGTTGTTGGCATATGCATATTGACTGCCAAAACCTGACTAGTAGTACATCTCTTGCTGTTCCTACATTTTCAATCCCATCCTATAATTGTTACTTTGCCTTTGTGGTACCAAAAATTCAAGCTTCAGTATTGTCAGTCACCGGAACCTTGCAGTGCACTACAAATAGCATAGATGGCTAAATATAACATTTCATCCTGAGATCCAAGCTGTGTATCGAATTGTATCACTAGCTACCATGGCACTGACCGCCGCAGTGGAGGATCGCATGGTTAAGAGGCGAGTTGAGTGGGTACCAGTACTTACATGCGCCTATGATTAACGTCTGTTGTTGGTTTGTTTAAAATTCACGCCAGGATGCCACGAATGTATTCTCATTCGTGTCCACTCTGTACACACTGATTGGCATGAGAGTATCAGATTTGCCGGTGAAATTTTCGTTACTGGAGCACAATATGAGCAACCTCTCAGGGCTTGCTTGTCTTCAACAAATCAAGTGGCGAGCGCGATCGCAAAATATCATACACGTAATGGTTTACAATACTTCTCTGCATATCTGTATTACAATTTAGAGCTGAGCGATCACAACGTTCGCAGCGGTGGAAGTGATATTCGCAGGCTGATCTTCTACCGTGATGAACTCGACCGTCCCGTCTTGGGCCACGATGACGTAGCGCTAAAGAAAATTCAGTACAGCACGGACTCTTGAGCAACAGAATGAGATAACCTTGGATCTAGGTGAGCCAAGAAGGCCAGAAGCGTCGAAGAGGAGTCCCACGCCAGAGGTAAACTCCCCTTTATCATCCGCAATGAAACGGACGCCTAATCCATATCACAGTGCGATGAAGAGATGATCCTGTGGTATGAATAAATATAAACTCCTACCTGTACCCTGTGGTGCAAGCTTTTCTTTCCAAGCCCTGGAAATAGGTTGGCTGAGTATATGCGCTCGGATACACATATATGCGCTCACTTTACCACGAAGGCATCATTTACAGCAACGACATAGATGTTTTGCACGCCCTTGGCTTTGAACTTGTCATAGTCTGCGATGTACTGCGGGACCTGGGAGCTGCACGGCGGTGTGAACGCCCCGGGAACGCCGAGCTGTTATTGCACATAACATGAGCCCCTGGCACAAAATTGGCATGGGACCACGTACAATGATATTCTTCCCAGAGAGATCGAGCGTAATGGCGTGCTCGGGATCTTCTTCCTTTACGGGCTTCTGGGGGATCGGCTCGCCTGCCTCGATCTGGGCAGCGCTGAGCATCGTGGCAGCGGCAGAGTGCGCGGCCTGTGCAACATTGGTAATAATGGAAGCCATGGCGGTTTGCGCAGATGAGTTATATGTAGGTGATTGAGGAACGATAAGGACTCAGGAAATGTTGGAGTTGAACTTGACGCGATGACATATTCAAATTGGGGCGTGACGTCACATCAAGTCTAAGCACGTGACAAACCAAGGATGTAGTGAATTTGTAAAAGATATCACCAGCGCACTTTCATTCGGAATTGTCGCAACCTTGCCGAGGTTAGGAGAGATGCCCATGGACATGATGGAGAAATTCACTGATCACCACAGTACGTAACAACGTAGTTACTTACACCCTTGATATCAAAGCGCGCAGTGGGATTTGACTGGATGTTAGCACTGCGCCTTGGTCATAGTAACTAGGCTGGGCAATCAAAACGTGATGTTGGTTGAAGGCCCGTGCGGAATCGCAGAAAATGATAGAGGTATATAAATGCAGATGTCGGTATACGAGACTATACTTTGTACCGACGACCTGTCTTTGTAAAGAAAGTTTGGAGGATATACACCTGAAGGCTAAAACATCATTCAGCTGTAGTCGAATTACGCAGTGGGTTACACTTACACGGCCATGCCCACAATGCCTAAACTCTCTAGAACCATATACCAAAACAGGCGACTAAATTGCTCGTGAGTAACCGAGTCGCAAAAGGTGAGAATATCCACCAACTTTTGTGTCGACCTGACCAAGGAGAACCCTCTGTTCTCTCGTGTATGGAAACTTGGGAAGCAAGGTCGGCATGCATGATGATCACTTGAGACAATAGCTGAACATACTATTTTTGAGTACGCTTGATGTTCAAAAGCAGCGAGTTCAACCGGAATGTGCTCTCCTCCAGTGCACTGGTGTGATCCGCCACCTGTCCAGGCTTAGCAGGTGCTTCCCTGCGAGGCTCGCTCTCCACCATGATGTCGAAGTCAACTAACTTCACCGTGAGAGTCGACATATCATTCTCGAAGCAGAACGAGTACTCTCCGACGGTGTTGGCAGTCAAAACGTAGTCGCCTTGCCTTTCGCTTTTGCCGTCAATTATGACCTTCTCATTTGGATCCTTGACGTCGAAGTCTATGTCGAACGATCCTCCAGATTGAACCTAGTTTGTGGGACAATGAGTATATGAGCTGGCACAATACTGCTTAACGTACTGCAAAGTAAAACTTCAAGCGGGACGTTAGCATGACTCAACAAACATGAGCACGTCGTGCTCACCCCAATCTTTTCCCCTGCTTTGTCTGCATCAACATAGAAACATAAACGCTCATTTGCTGCAATGGCAGTAGTCAACGCCGAGCTTCTTGCTGAAGGAAGAAGTGATAGGAAGAGAAAGCAGTTATACAGAACAAGTAAGAGAATCATTGTTGGAAAGCATGTATTAGTTGCGCCTGCTGGCAGTGCTTGGTGGTGACCTTGCCGCTGTGCCGGTGTCGAATTACGGACTCCGCGAACTCCGAGGTATTAGAGGATGATAGCAATATTGCCCGTGCATTGCACTGTGTTTTGACCTTGACATATCGTTTTGTCTTGCTCATCTATAGTACTGACAGTGACCACGCTGCTGAGACCTGCCCTCCTGGTGTGTACCGTCAAGTCAAGATTATCATTAATATTGCAATAATCTGACCCATTCGCTGGCATCGGCGAATTGAATTCACTGACAAATATTCATAGAATCAAAATGCGTTGCGAAGTCGATGGCTCTCATTACTGCCTCAAAGTGTCCTCGAGTGACCCTCCTAAAAGTCCAGTAACACTCCAATTCCAGCGCGACAAATACACACAGGACGCTATGACTACATGCTCCGATGCTTCCGCTGTATCTACAGCGATGCGACACTCCACCATAGGTTCTGCTCCTCCTAGTTCAGGAAATGACACCCTCTTTCAGTATCCACGAGCTGAAAGTTTTTTTCGATCCATATCAATGTCATCTACTCCTTTGCGCCGCTATGGGATGTCGTCTTCTTCGCTCGACTTCCAACAACTATCTCGCGTGTATTCTGCACCTTACACTGAATCCTGGGTGGAGCAACAGTTGTCCTCTTCGCCGAGTCCCCTTCCAAAGGTCCCGCCTCTACCCCGCTGCGGCCTGTCACCTTCTTCTTCTCTTAATGCTGAAGGAACGCCATTTGATCGACATTTCAACTTGTCACAATCGTGGCACAGCTCCGATCCGGATATGTCTCCCATAGCTAGAAGGATGTCTGACGACAATGCACCTGTGTCTCCACATGAAGGCGGACACTCATCACATCGGTTTTCTGGAGGATCTTGTGTCCCAACTCCGTGGTCACTGATGGAGAAGCTTCCTTCTTTACTTTTCCCCGGTCCTCATACATTCTCTCCAGGCTTCACTTCAAGTCCTGTCATGCATTCTAGCGAACGGTCTTGGTCTCCTGTCTCCTCTCTCTCTGCGCTCACCCCCCTTTCGTCTCCCGAGCGTCCCCTTAGTGACAATGTTTCTGGTGATTGGTCTGGCGCTTCTCCAATGCGCTCGCCCGTTTGTGGAGAGAACTCAACTACCGATCGACATTCGAAAGACAACTATGAACTAGATTCTACTTCCCGGGGCTCACCTCGCACTGCCAGCCATGTGGTTTCCTTGCGAAGTCCCAAGCATCCCCCTCCGGATGACCACGATGAGAAAAAACCTTCACGCCGGTCAAAACGCGCACGTACCTCTGGTGGCCCCACTGTTGTCGGTCTTACTTCTCAGACTCAGGAGCCCCATTCTTTAGGCATACCATCACAGCGTTGCCTTCCCTCAGAAGTTTCTCGCCACTCAGATTTTCCTTTATTCTACCGACGTTATCCTATAAGCTCGTATCTGCAACTTGATGCCGAGGAGTACGTCGTTTCTTGCCTGCTACTTGATGCTCACAGTGTGCAGAGCTCCCCTTTTCAATCACTTCAAACATCCTGGCGGTATCTATAACCCTCCCCGCGATCCACGAGATCTTTATACTCCCCGCTTTGTCAAAGGCAAAGGTAGGTCCAAGATAGGGCTGTGTCCCATCTGCATCGAAAGCCCTTTGCGCGGTGGACGGGGACAAAAAATATGGTTATCAACAAAATTCTCTGCATTCAAGTGGTCACTTACTTTTCCCTCACAACCTATACAATCATGTTAACGTATTGTTTTCAGGGCAATTTCGCAGTCTCTCTTTCATGATGTCATTTATCTTTTTTCCAGCTATCATATGCAGTTTGCGCACGGTATGAGACGTCCAAATGGCTGTTCGCCCACTTATGTTTTTCTTCAATTTTTAGGAGTCTCAGCGACGACAGGATACCCATTCTCACCTCCAGTGTCATACAGGACAAGTAGTCGCCGCCAGCCACTCAAACTTGAGCGATCGGAGATTCTTGAAGGAAGGTGTCATAAATGCAAGAAGTGGGTTCCCGTCGAAAGTATCAAAGATTGCGAGGTGAAGGTATGAAATCAGTCCGATCTCTCTCATGACATTCCTGATTATTGCTGTCAGGTCAAGGAACTGTTCTGGTAGGGCACATGCAAGGCACGGCACGGCGAGCAATGGACTCACTTCTACTTCTAGGTGGAAACATGCTGCATCCTGCCACCAAGGGTCTCAGGTACCAGGGGACGATGACTTCTTTGAACAAGACGATGTTTCCCGTCGCTTAGAAGAACTCGGACTCTGAAGCATCTCTTTTCTCTTCTTGTGCTGTAATATGGACTGTGCTGGACTTTCAACTGTATGTATATCGCGTATCGCTATGTGGACATCGAACATGCATGCTGTATTTTGTCATGGCTTGTAGTTACCTTACAGTACGGACAAGCTAATCTGAATGTATTTTTGGCCACTACCACTGTGATATCGTCTTTTGGTTTGGCGGCTCCGAGACGTGTTGGCGCGACAATATACTCGTTGTCGTTGCAATTTGTGCAACAAGAACTTCCACATGAACTTGTGTTCGCGTTCTCGCACGTGACTTTGATTGCTTTCGCGTTGAGTACTAGTGAAAGCCTGCGCGTCCCTTCGTACGCACGACACACCTTGACTTGATTTGCTGGGTTGAACGTTGCATCACGGCAGTCGTAGCCAAGGACTTTGCATCCTTCATTAGCCCAAATTCCTCAAACGCGTCTGGCAGTGACATTTAACATCCCTTCGCTTGAGTTTGGTGCTCATGGTCGATACCGTACTCTATTGAAACATCAGGCATTGAGGAACTGCCATGTCCAAATCGACCTCCGAGGTTGATGCACTTTATGCAGAAATTCACTGTCGAATGATCGAGAATGGAGAGTGGGATCGGTGGGTATTTTTTCGATGCAATTCCCGGCTGCTGAACATTTTACAACATAGAATATTGCATCTGATGTCCTCTAAGTTGTCTGAAAGCGGATGGACAGATGATCTTCTGCACCGTGCCAAAGGTATGTTTGCCTGTCCTGTTGTTGTTGTAATCCCAAAATCAACACGTAACCAAATAGAAAACAGTAGAACCATGGATCCGCTTTCCCTTCAGACGATCCTGCGGGAATTGTTATCACATGCGCAAAGTGCTGATTTCCATTCGATCATTCGCCATCGTCACTGACTCCTTCCATCATCCCCTAGCAAGCGTGCCTCTTTCCGTGAAACGGGAAATCACGACTGTTATCAAGCAGTTTGTAAAGGAGCAATTCGAGAAGTAGCCAATACACCTCCCATGACACCTTCTACTTATCTCATGCGAACGCTTTCATGTAACTTGCCCATAATTATATGCCAGGGGAGCTAAACGAAATGACTTTGACTATTCGAAAGCTAGGCTCCCCGGCATTTTCCTGCGGTAACCGTGATTGGATTACTTCTGCGGGAAGCATCACCGCCGTTATCAAATCGATATACCACGATGTCAACATCTTCTAGCGTCTCAGCATTGCAACTGAGTGCTATGCGAACAGATAGCTCCGCACTAACAACTTCGCTTTGGAAAGAGTCAGGAAGAACAGGCGATGGAACCTAAAGTACTCACAGGACTCATCATGCATCATGATGTGCTAGCGAATGTTTTCATTCTTCAGTATTTTGATGTTCACAGCTCCCTGCACGGCTACCTATAGCTTCTTAACAGACCTCGTCATCAATGTTCTTACCAGATTCTCGAGCTATCATTACTTGCAATGAGTTGGGTTATCTATGAAAACCCAGCAGAACTCCCATGAACCCCTGTCCCTGCAATTCAACGGACCTTCTGCCTTTCGATGATCACGGTGCTCAATCACATCTGGGCGCCTAGTACCCACCACTCCGTCCCATATTCAAGTGACAAGGATACACATGTAGAATATGCTTAGTGTCCTTACAGGGAAGCGGTATAGAGAATGGTCCGAAATTCACGCATCACCGCGGGGTTAAAAAAGTAATGCTCGCTCTCGCCAAATGACGGGTGAACGTTAACTGCCATTCTTTTGCAATCTGTTGCCGGACATTCAAGAGAATAAGTTATATGGCTCAGTTTTGAACGTATGTAGGTAAAGTATCCCACTCCTCTATGACCACTCGCAGATGTCGTCCTTCGAGGACACTCGCTTTTGTCGGGGCCATCTCAATTTTGAGCGCCTCAGTGGGTGATCGGATGGGGTGTCAAAAGCTGTGGGACGACAGCTTGGCTTGTCGCCGTTCAAGCTAGTGACATTAATGCGCATGTATTCGAGTTGGAGTCAACAATAAGCCTGTTCGAGACACTAGAGTCCCACTGCTCAGATGTACGTCTCGCTGGAGTCCGGAAATACGGCTAGCCGATCGAGGAAAAGGCAGGGTAATAGGCGGAGAACAACAGCCCAACCTGCAGAAGCAGAGGTGTGGCGTCAGCCAAGCTTAGCGCTCTCTATTATAAATCCTTCTTGTTTCTGATACGGTTAAATTAGTGTCACCGTAATGTACGCTCTATCAGCAAAAGAAGGCGCACGTACTGGTTTCTCAAATAGAAGGCGGTGATTAAGCAACTGCTGTAGGGAATCCGTGCAGGATCACATTAGCTACATTAACGCTGTACATATAGCGAGGAAGATAGCATTGAGAGAGCTGAGCGCTGAGCTATGCCAAAGTGTGCTAGCGCCTCATTGGTGCTCTGCGCATTTAGTCTGAATCAGAAAAGGAGAGTGTGGGACACGGAGCGTGACGCGTCGCGACACGGTCTCGTGATTTCTAATTCAGGAAGAACTGTGGAGGTCATTGCCGAAATGCCGGCTGACATAAGCATCCACAAACCGAACTTTCAATTGAATATACGCCACTTACAGGTTTCTCTGCCCCACATTCTTCGCATATATATAGGGCAGCTTGAGGACGACTATCACTTTGAGGTGCTAATTACCTTGCTCATCGTTCTTGACGTCGTCGAGATTAATATTTTCTCTGCAGGAGGTTATCATGGATTTCATGTTCGGTGGAAAGTACAGACTTGAAGAGGAAATCGCCATTGGAGGATGTGGTAACTCTCACTATCTCTGCTCATCCGCCGCTGGTCCCCCTGATTGCATATCATGTTCAAATAGGCTCAGTGTTTCTTGGAGTTCATACAATCGCAGGGAAGGAAGTCGCAATTAAATTAGAACCAGCTATCGCGCGCAACAGTCCCCTCAAGCAGGAATCCAAGGTCTACAAGACCCTCATGGGTGGCCCCGGCGTGCCATGGATCATGTGGTCGGGAAGGCACGGCGATTACAATGTTATGGTGATCGATCTGTTGGGCCCATCCCTCGAAGACCTCTTCAAGATGTGCAATCGTCACTTCACAATAAAAACAGTGCTGCTGCTTGCGGATCAACTAGTGAGTTTTCTTTCTTATCTGTGGTATCGCCTCGAGTGCGGTGTATGCCCTATCTACTGTTGCGCGTCACGCATCTGCATTTTGTGGCCTAGAGCATCTTTTATGACGCCAAGCGGTGTCAGACTTTCCTTTTTTTAGCGGTTTTCTCTCAGCATGACTGACGCCTTCCCAACAACCCAGCTATCCCGTCTAGAGTTCATCCACTCGCGAGATTTTGTTCATCGCGACGTCAAACCTGCCAACTTCGTGATGGGGACAGACCGCGCAGAACATTTGGTCAATGTGATTGATTTTGGGCTCGCTAAGAAATTTCGAGACCCGAAAACAAGCGCCCATATCCCGTATCGACAGGACGACCATCATGGTGTGGGTACATCCCTCTTTGCATCTCTCAACGCGCATAACGGCATTGGTGAGTTATAGTCAGCTGTCAAAGCGGCCGTAGTTGACCTAATGACTTGGTAAAGAGTGCTCTCGGCGTGATGACCTAGAATCTCTTGCTTACATGCTGGTTTACTTTCTGCGGGGAACATTACCGTGGCGGAAAATCAAGGGTACTACAGTCGCTGAGACGTGGGATGGTATACGAGACAAGAAACTTGAGGCTTTATCAGTTCTCACCGTGGGTCTTCCTGTGGAGTTCGACATTTTCTTCAACTATGCAAGAGGGCTTGAGTTCGAGGACCTCCCGGATTACGTGGGACTACGAGATTTGTTCAGGGGGCTGGCGAAGAAACTGAAGATAGAGTACGATGAGGTGTACGATTGGACCCTACCCCCAAGGCGGACCACGAAGAGATTCTGTGAAGCGTGTAACGCGCGACGATGATGGGAACGAGGACGGGGGTGGTTCTATTCTAGCCGTGAGTACATTCCCACTTTATGAACTTGGTCAATCAGCATGTTCATTCATTTATTTGTTGATCAGACCTTCGAGCAGACCACGTGGCGGCACTCATGAACTGGCATGACGAAACCCTTCGATCGCATACAGCCGCTATTACGTTGTCCTCGTTTGTGAGGCACTTATGATGAACGTCGGCCTGATACTGGCCATCCTTTCTCGAAGTGGCCGACAGCGATTGTTCAGCGAGCTTAGGTTCGTCTTAATATGGTCTGGACGTTATCAGAACGTATCGTGCTGAACAGTCTCCTCACAGAATTTTCCATGCTGATGTTGCACGCGTTCATGTCTACTTCAAAATTGGATGCATAGCTCCAGGCTTCTGCACTGCGGAGTTGCATGGGTTATGTGGAGGTTTGTATTTGTATTTGAAGTTCCTCATTCCTTACGTTATTTGGTTTCTATGAGTGTCTCGTACTTTACTGCTTGCTGTCATCCCTGCTATGCCATGCTTGAGAATAACTGGAATAGTATGCCATGCCATTCGCCGCTTAGTGATTAGTTGTGTCGAAAATGTGCAAATTTTAAAGATAGGCACCGTGTCTGGTTGTAGTCTTGTAGCGAGACATCTTACATAAACACCTGACCTTTCAAACCATCAAAACGCACGAGAGTCCCGTGCAGTGAGCGAATGTCTTTATCATTCACAGTCGGAGAGCGCATCTTGTGCTATCATGGTCCCCTCGTCTACGAGGCTAAGATACTAAAAGCAGAGACGTGGGACGAAACCAACACCAAGCTCTCCACAGTCGGCCCCCATTTCTTCGTGCACTATAAGGGATGGAAGCAGACGTGCGTCGTCCTTTGTGCTTGGGCTATTTTGTTGCTCACCGCTGGCTAGGTGGGATGAATGGGTGCCTATCACACGACTGCTCAAGTTCAATGACACGAATGTACAGCTGCAGAAGGCATTGATGGCGCAGGCCAGCGCGGCTGCGTCTACCTCGGGGTCGTCCTCAAAAGGGAAGGCCCATAGCGGGGGTGTGATGAAGGACGGTAGCTCCTCGCGCGGAGGCGGGCTTGGGCGCAAGGATGGTAGAGGAACAAAAAGAGGGAGAGAGGAGGTAGGTTTGCTTCTTATACAAATTTGCCTCTTGTTGTATTCTTTGTATTGGTGCTGACACCATTTTATAAAAGGACGATAGCAGCAAGAAGCCAGAGATGAAACTCAATGTCCCAGAGGTGTTGAAAGTACTGCTTGTGGATGACTGGGAGGCGATCACAAAGAACAGTCAGGTAGGATCGTGTTGCTGTTGCGCATCAGTTGTATATTGATGACCTGAAAGCTGGTAACCGTACCACGAAGCCCAACAGTCGTTGAGATCCTTCAGGAGTTCAAAGATTATGTGATAGGGCTCGGGAAAAGCACAACGTCAGCTCATCTATCGAAAACACTCAATATTTTTGCTGACCTATGCGCCATCCTATCTTCCAGCCTTCGCGAGCCTGAACTTGTCCTCCCAACCATAATTTCAGGACTGCAAGTCTATTTTGACCGCTCACTCGGTGCAAACCTTCTCTACCGCTTTGAGCGTCCACAATATGCCGAGATCCGCAAGCAGTACGTCACGGGTCCCAAGGTGCAGGTCGGCCAAGAGAAAGATATGAGTGCCATATACGGAGCAGAACACCTGCTTAGGATGCTCGGTGCGATCTTATATACATGAAGTATTCATCGTCAACTGATGAGTTGTTCGGCTTAGTGAGTCTACCGCAGATGGTCGCCAGTTCTACGATGGACGCGGAGAGCGTCGGACTAGTGAGGGATTATGTCAACGAGCTGCTGACGTGCGTTATTCCACCCTTCTGTTGTAATTATTCGCTGAGATCTGGCGAAGATTTATGGTGAATGACCGCAGCCGGCTGTTTTTGACAGAGTACGAAAGTTCAAGTTTGCAGTATCAAAATATCTCTCGATCATAATTCATTGACGTTGTTCCTGTGTACATACCATTACTCACGATCTTAATCGCCTACGTTAGCTTTCGATCCGAACTTATGCAACCATGAGGTGTACGCTGGTCCACTGTATCAGTTCGACAAGAGGAATACAAGAACTCGACGCCGACGTCGAGCACGTCATTGGGCAGCTGATCGCCGCTGGGAAAGAGCATGGCTCTGCCCAACTTGTATCTTTCCTCTTAATTACACTGCGTCTCAGAGACTTGACGATGTACGCTACCACTTCTTATTTGCTTAGTTCAGTCACTGCCACCAGGCAAATAGCACCAGGGTCAATTTCTGCAGCCAGCCTGAGCTTTATCCAATGGAACACGCGTGCGCCTTTACCACATTTGCGGTTTCTCTTCGTCACTGCCAGCTCATCAGCCAATCGCTCGCACTAACGCGCACATGCGCGTCATTCTTGGCAGTCCCCTGTATCCCCCTAAATGCTATACCTCTATTCGAGTTCTATCCAGTATCTCCCCCCTTGTCTCACCCTCACGATGGATACTAAGTCTAGAGTCTTAGACGATAGCACATCCGTTACTAGCTCACCTCCCTCGTATGACGCAAGCTCTACGTCTGCCTTATCAGCAGATTCGGTCCAATGCAAACGATTTGCATTTCCCTTTTTACAAATCCAAGCAGAACGTCGTGCCACGGTTCTATCTCGCATCCGTGATCTTGTCCCCTCTTCACAATTGCACCCCTTCTACTATCGCGTCAATTGTCAACTTCTGCGCTGTTGCTCTCTCAGCATCAGGGTTCTCCAACTTCCTGCAACAACACAGTATCGAGGGATACACGGCGCCGTGTTGGGCGATTGTAAATAACTGGCAAGATGATGCCCTTTGGGCGTTTGATAAATTCATTTCCCAATATCTATATATCGGCTTGTCCGACTTGCGTCTTGCATGCATGACGGTAAACGACCACGTCCCAAGAGCGTGTTGATCAATTCATCATGTATCAGCCGAGGATATATCTTTGAGACACATGTTGGGTTGTCCGCGAGTTCTAGAAACGCCTGCGCATTAAACAGTAATTGTGCGCAGAATTAGTTGCCAGTGGTATGTGATCCATGTATTTTATTTTCCTCGCACTGACAAAAATTGCTGATTCCTGCAGGGCGTATATATATGGATATTGTGGTTTTATATGGGGGCGAAGGGGATATGGCGCGCTGCGTATTCTCTTGCTGAGGAAAACCTTCCGGTATATCCAGACGCGGTCCTTCTGATAGAGGCACACCGAGTATGCACCGAGGCTGCCTGACTGCGCGCCTCCAGCTCCTCTACGCGTAGAATTGAATTTTTCGTCGTGCAAGCTTGTACTTGATGTGTAGGTTTATTGTTCTGACTCATTCAAAGCTAACGCGTATGCTGGTTTCTATTATTCCTATGCAACAGCCCTTTGCTTGTTGGCTCATACGCAGATCTTACAGTTGCCCGGACATTGAGTCCGGTAAGATTTCCAAAGTAGCTTGGAAATAGTTAGCTGATTAGATGATGGACTAGCGAGTCTTTTCCCTTGAGCATTTTTTGTTCAATCACTTTCGCAGGATGCGCTCATAGTCCACTGTTATCCGTTCACATCTTTTGTGACGTTTCTCCTTGAACTGACTGTGTTGCTGTAGCGGCACCATATATGTAGATTTCGATGGCAGCCTACATGCGAAGCTGGAGATGAGGGTAAAAATGCCCTGCCAGGTCAGGTCGGTCAATCTATCCCTTCGATCCAGACATCCCCTCAGGGTGTTCCATCCGATCCAGCTGACCACGCTATGTTGTCGTGATGGAAGCAGACAATGCCAGCCCAACCTCGATGAGCTAACGGCACGGTGTTCGAATATGTATTCGGCCAGTTTCTACCAAGCAGGAAAAAGAGGAAAGCCGTGCCAGCAAGGAAATCACTCAAGCTAATCCCACATTCATGGATGGTCTCGTTTCATTGTGATCATAGGCTGATGTTTCTCTGGTGAGTAGATCGGCAGTTCATTTGTGTCCGTACGAACTTGATCCTGGATGAACTCCGTCATTCAGGACGAGCCGCCAAGAGTTCTACAGCGGTGCTGACAAACACCTTGTGAAGCGAGTGGATTTCATGAGCTCAACGTGGCCGGATATGATGTAGCGCAGCAACGACGAACCCGAAATATGATTGCAGGCACTACAACACATATGTGAAACTTTGAAAGTAAACATCGCCAGACCAAACGCCCTGAATACTATCATCACACAATTCAGCCCTTTGGATACCTATGCTACCAATTTGCCACCGCTCTTTGAGGAGGTCAGTGGGCCGCAGAATGATGCAGTACGCATAAAAACCATTACTTTCCTTCTAACTTCCTCTTATAGACGGGGGTCATTTCCATACCCTATCAACCATATTTTCGTGGAATGCCCGCACAATTGTAGGTTGATTTTAAATCACATCCCCCTGCAGTGATCCTAACTTGTTCGCAACTTCATTGAAGGGGCGTAGCGCTACCTGGCAGTGCAGTAGGATAAGTGGACACTATGGGTTGAATGCAAAAAGCATTTGGTTATGAACTTCGGCGAAGCCAGCAACAGAGACCCAGAGGGGTTCGGCAGACTTGACTTGACTTACCTCAGATCATTCATAAATTGAAATATCATCGACAGCGCAACACTTCTCAAGAATACAATTGAAGTATTCCGGGAAATCATAAATGTTTTTAGTGCGTGTCCCTTCTTTCAGCACCCAAGATTCACTTTACGCAGTGATTCGTCGCGTACATTTTTGATCCGAGTTCCTCGAGCTGTAGCAGTCGCTTTATATGGCGATAAAGTTAAACCCGGACGATCGACTTGGCCAACACAATCATGGATGTGGAAACTTGATCAATACCCCGAGCGAGCGACAGGAGCAACGCCCCATTGGGCCCGTGCGCATGATGGATCCTTTAGGAGCGACATATAAGACGGTCCTCAATTACTAAAGCCAAAGAACCACCGCTGTTGTTGCACTCATCATCGCACTAAGTCTACCCCAAATATGGCCCTCACACAATTTATTTACGATCCATTCACTGAATTTGATCGTCTTTTCGACGATGCATTTAGTTCACGCTTCCGCCCGGACCGCCCCGACTCCGACGAGTCTCGCCCCACGACAATCCGCCCAAAGTGCGTGCTGCCTCCACGGGAACGATAGTCTGCACTCACATCTTTCAATACATAGGATGGACCTCATTGCGAAACCAGATAACCAGGTTGTGGCGAGGTTCGAACTCCCCGGTATGAATCAGCAGAACGTCAAGGTTGAAGTGCACAATGACCGCCTGACCATCTCGGGCGAGAAGAAAAGCGAGGCTGGCGAGGGTCAGTTTGCAGTGCGTGAGCGCTCTTATGGAAGCTTTGCTCGAACCCTGCAGCTCCCGGAAGGAACTAAGGTACGATCACACAAGATGATGGGTGGGCTCGTCACTGATGTGACACGCTTGTCGCAACCTAGCCTGAACAAGTCCAGGCGCGTATGCAGGATGGCATCCTGGAGGTCACCTTCCCGAAGGCACCTCCGGAGCAGGAGACGAAAGCAATCACTATCGAGGCACCCACCGAGTCTACCAAGCAGACAGGTACGAAGAAATGAATCCAATTGAGTCTGGAGATCTAGTCATGTAATTTTAGCTTTCTCTACATGGTTCCGTGTTTATTCTGTCGCTTTCAATATATATCTGTATCGTTAGTAGTTTCTTACTTTCTTACAAGTAGGAACGAATGTGTACGTAGTAATGCGCAACTTATTGACCTGGCTTAGCTTATTTTCTCACGGGGAGCAGAACTTGAAATCGTGGATTGTTGTCTGAAGACACTTGAACGCAGAGATGGAGCTAGGAACGAACTTTGCTGCAAAGCTCGAGCCATTCCTTCTCATCTCAAAGTCAGCAAAGGGCGCAGCAGCGGCCAAACTGATTCAGGACGCCACATCAGCCCAAGGTGTATTTGTCTTTGCGGAGCTCCTTGAGCTTCCCAATATTCAGGAGGTATGTCATGTTGTTTGTATCTCTGGTTGATACTCCTTATATGTATTCCGCGAACAGCTGGCAAGCAACGAGCAGCATGCTCCTTTCTTCTCCCTGCTTCAGGTATTCTCGTATCGGACATACAAAGATTACCTTGGTCTGTAGATCATCATCTCATACTCGGTCAGTGCTGACTGTCAAACAGCAAGCAAGGACTCGCTGCCTCAACTAAACCAAACTCAAATAATAAAGCTCAAGCACCTGTCCATCGTATCGCTTGCCGCCAACAGACGCGTATGTTCAGGTATATCTCAGCAGTTAATAACCTAACACCCTTACAGATCCTCCCATACTCTCTCCTCCTTCAAGAGCTGCAAATGCCCACCATCCGCGACCTGGAGGATCTCATAATTGATGCAATATATCTTGACATCCTTCGCGGGAAGCTCGATCAGAAGGAGCAGCAGCTCGAGATCGAGTACACGATGGGACGAGACCTCGAGCCTGGAAAAGCAGAGGCAGTGCTTGCAGCGCTGAAGACATGGTGTGTTGTGTTTTCTTCCAGCTCCTCTTGTCCCGACTAATCATGATGTTTTTAGGGCCTCGACGACAGCTTCAGTCCTTTCCGCATTAGACGATAAGCTCGCGCAGATCGCTTCTTACAGTGTAGCTGTTGCTGCTGATAACGAAGAACACGATAGAGCGTATAATGCTACACTCAAAGACGTGTCCAAGGACACGAAAAAGCGAGGGCCGTTGACAGCTGGTGGGAATATCGTGCGAGGTGGCGTCGATTTAACAGACGCGATGGATGTAGACGAAGAGCCGAGAATGAAAGGACGAAAGTGAGTTCTGTTTTCTTCGAATGCGAGTTCACCCTCGCCTGCTACCAGTCAGCCTATTATATGCTTTGCTGAGGACTGGCGGATATTTCACAGGGGCATGCCGGCGGAGGCAATATTAAAGCAACAAAGAAAGCGCAACCGATTTTGATTCTAGGTCTAGATATATGCACTGTGCAGTGTATATCTCAGCTGCATCATTCACGATTCACACTGTAACATTAATTCATACGTGCCGCACATTAAACTTATCTGACTGACGCGGCCGGTGAAACCAAACACGTTAGGTATGGGCGTACATGATTGGACGAGGGTGTGGCAAATCAGGTGTAAATAATCGAGCATCAACCACAAGTTTTATAAGTAAGCAACTTGATTTCCCGTCGACACACCTCTTCCCATTTCTGCCATTATCATCCTGGACAGTCCTAGGAGTTCTCATAGTGGTTGACCGGGCCCTGCTGCTCGCTCGCCATATCTCCACAGCACTGAGCTTCCGTTGACCCCAGAATTCCGGACAATCGCGCCCCAGATGTCGGAAGCCATGCGGTCCTGGACTGTATGGTTAGATTCAGTCGTGCGTCGGGACCCTGGGGAATGAGATCTGAGGTATGCCAACAGGTTCGCAAGGCGCCGGGAGAGGCTGGCGAGCTTTATTCTGGAGAGCCTCATAAGGGCAAACCCACTGCTCGTACAGGTTTGTCGAAGAGTAAGTAAAGTGACGTGCAGCCGCATGACGTATGGCAATTGACGCGCGACTTCCAGAAGAAAACGGAAATGGACTGTGGTTCTTTCCTTCCACTGAAAACTGAGATTCTAAGAGCCTGCCCCCGTACGTGTGGTGAAGATGAAATGATGCCAGGGGCTCATTAGGCTTTCAGGCCTGGTCACTGCCGTACATTGATGCACCAGCGCATGCTTGAGGGAGTGCGGGAGTTAGCATTGCGGGTTTGCGTTTGGTGCAGTATGCATACCTGGAGGGCATTGCCCGCTGTTCTTTGTGCACCGGATTAATTTTTGTAAGCAGCACCCATCGATGCGATATCGCCTCGACAACGTCCTTGACTCGCGAGGGCACAAATTTTGCCTAAGGCGGACTTGAGGCGGACGAGAATCTTCTGTTGATGAGCAATAAACAGGCGTGAGAACCTCTTATGTCAGCAGATGTAAAGTCCTTAAAAACTGCAGTCGGTTGTTTCAACCCTATGCTATTTTTTGTCCCCAACTTCTTGGTCGACGGCCTCTGATAGGTGAGATTTTATAACTTTTGCCGACTTTTTACTGTGATGATTGTATTGCTGTGCACCAGACCGAGTGTCCGCACGTTGGAGATAATTACCCTGGCCCTCTATTTACGCTTGAGGGTCCTGATCTACCATTCTTTTTAATCAATCATATGTGTTGAATCACAGCTGACAATATTCCACCACAGGTATCCAGAACATGCTATGATGGGATGTTTGCGACTTTCTGTATCATATTCTACTTCCCTCGTTGTATGGAGACCAATCTCACTACCGTAGGCTATACCAGCTCAAGTTAATATCATTATCATCGCACAATCAGATCAAGTTGTGTTGATACGCATGTTGATGGATTTCGCCCTTGTAAGCTGATCGTATCCTGTGACTGCATGAGTTGCCTGAGCAGGAACTGAGTCAGTGGGGACACACCGAATTTGCTCAGACTGACGCCACGTCCACTGTTCTTAATTCCTGTCCAGGCCAACGCTGGGTCGAGCGAATCGCATCTTGAAGTATGGGAGTCAGTATGGTATACCAGTGATTTTGACTAGGAATCCGCACCTGTTGAGAAAAATTGTTCCAGCTTGCACCTGGTCTGCTAGGTTGTTGAAGTCATCCGACGACTTGGTCCAAATAGAAGCGGTAAGACCGTATTTCGAGTCATTCATGAGTTCAATCGCTTCAGCATCAGATGAGACCTGCTAAAGCTTATTGCCAATTCTCACAAACAAGACCGATTAAAATCACCTTCTGGATGCCAATGACAGGCCCGAATGTTTCTTCCTGCATCAAAATTAGACAAGGCTTTCAACCATAGAAGGAGGATCGACCTTCATGATGTCCATTGCTGTTGTCGGAAATTCAGGAAAGTATCAAAAGACATAAATACATCACAGAACTTACTGTGATTCACATCGACCAGGACTTGGGGCGCAACAAATGTAGTGCCGCTGTAAATGCTGAATATCCATTTCTGTCGCACAAACGTTGACTCACGGTTCTGCCTTTGGATACAGGTTTTCGTGTATCAGTGCTTTTGCGCCCATTTGCACTACAATATAATTAGCCAAGGCGCATAAGCACTGCAATTTGTGGAACTGATAGCACTTGCCTGCACTAGAAACCTGCTTACGAATTTGCTCTGCACTAGCGATGCTAATCACAGGGCCAAGGGTAGTTCCCTTGTTCGTAGGATCACCCAAAACGAGTTTCTGGACTTGCGTTGCAATTACATCAATGCATTCTACAAGAGTCGCGGCTTGCCTTGGCTTCCTCGACATATTCATCCACGAAGTTGTCATACACGGACTCATGAACGTAAATCCGCTGTTCAGCTCAGGCAAGTAATACTTCGATGTTGAAAGCAATCTTTCTTACCTCGACTGCACAGCAACTCTGCCCGGCGTTGTACATTGCACCTGCGTACGTCGGTAAGAAAGCAGCATGGTTGTACAATTTATTGACTTACCATCGACTAGCTGTGTCACTGCATCTTTCAGGTCCGCATCTGCACGAACATACGCGGAGTCCTTGCCTCCGAGCTGGACTTTGATTAAGCGACTCAGTACTTCCAACGGCGGTTAAATACGGCACCTCCAAACCAACGCCCTTGAATCCATCAGCAGCGACGGCTGCCATTTCAATCGCTTTGCCTCCTGCCACACTGCCTGTGAACACGACAAAATCAACTAACTTATGCTGTACGATATATTGAGTAAGGGGCGGCGAGAGATGCACGACTTGTATGAGATCGGCCGGAAACCCAGCGTCATTCAAGGCTTCCTTGAATCGTAATGCTGTGAGAGGTGTTTGGGGAGAAGGCTTCAAAACGATGGCATTTCCGGCGATGAGTGCAGGAAGTACTGAATTGATCATGACAAGATACGGATAGCTGGAACAGATGAGTCTTGAGTATCTTCAAAATTGAACGATACTCACTTCCATGGGGCGATGACGAAAATGACACCGAGTGGAACTCGCTTAATTGAGCGACTGAAGCCAGGTTGATCGTCTGAAAAGGTCACGTCTGAGAGACACGATTCAGCAATGTCGAGCATATATGTTGCGCGTTGTAGAAATCCTTTAAACTCCCCCCAACACTGATCAACGGGCCTATGTGTATGCCCCGAATCAGTATATTCGCAGTATTTACGCGTCAAGATATGCACCTGCCCATCTGATGGCATAGCTCTTCAGCGAGGTTATGATGTCCAAGGAGACCATGGTCATATGTTGCTGGTGCTTCTCGACTAGCAAGAGCAGAAAATTTCTCCTAGAGGGCGTTTAATGTGGTTCTGCAAGCACCGAGAGGACACGGACAATGAATTTGCGACCTTTCGCGATACGGTCAGCTAGCGTTGTCTTGATCCACTCTTTTTGAGACTGTGCTGCACTTTCCAGAGTGCGGTCTAGATCCTTGGAAGCGGGATATGTTTCTACATGGTATGTCTGACCATTGTGAGGTGAGACAGTTGTCTGAACGTGGAGATCGAATGAGCTGGACATGGCAGATGATAATGCTCAGGTCAGGCGCCGGCGGACGACTGTTCTGAAATCTTCTTGACTAGGCAATTTCCCGAGCTAAACAGATCTAGAATTCACTCGAGTGTATTAATATACATGATCCGGGGCAGGCCTAGGGTTTTCCGTAATTTTCTTCGTAATTTAAATATTTCACCCGATTCAATCATATTTATTCATGGTATACAATGTAGTCCCCTGTCCTCTGCCATCCACGCGCACACGCTCAAAAAGTGTTTCGTACTCTGCTTCACGATGCACAAGATAAAGTTTGAGTCGGGGATCACTCCTTTTCTAGTATATATCATATTATATGCTTTTGATACGCTTCCATACTTCTTCTCGTCATTTTTACTATTATGTAATTACAGAATTATAATATTTCCCCCATCCTCATTATGTAAGCGATGACGGATGCACGGCGCGTCCTTGGTGAAATATCTCATTTTTTGTCAGGATCATATCTAAATTCGCTATGTCGGTGCTGGCTTCCGGCTCCACTAGGAAGTTGATAAGGGTCACGTGGCTATGAGGTCAGTCCTATAAGACGTAGCTCAAAATCATTTGCTCAACTTTGGAATCACCCAATTGTAACATGGCCAGCACCATCTCCGCAGATGTCGTGCCTCAAACTGCGTCTCACAAATCGCTTACCATCGCCATGCCTGACGATACCTTGAAGCGTAGCGTCCAGGATCCAATCCTCTTCGAGTGCGCTTGGGAGGTTGCTAATAAAGTTGGAGGCATATATACAGTGATCAAGACCAAGGTCCCCGTGACTGTGCAGACGTACGGTGATCGTTACACCCTCATTGGTCCCCTCATTTACAAGACAGCTCCTATGGAGGTTGAAACCCAGGAGCCCACTGATCCTGCTTTAGTCGCAACACTCCAATCCATGAGAGCACAGGGTGTGAAATGTCTTTATGGCCGATGGCTCATAGAGGGTGCTCCCCGTGTCCTACTCTTCGATACGGGAAGCCAATATCACCGTATTGACGAGTGGAAGGCCGATCTTTGGAATCTTGCAGGCATTCCATCTCCCCCCAATGACCATGAGACAAACGAGGCCATCGTCTTCGGCTATCTTGTGGCATGGTTTCTCGGCGAGGTACGCGCTGAATCTGCCTCAACTGATTCCTTCTTTGCTTACCAACGCTCAGTATGTTGCCCACAAAGCTCATACAGCTGTAGTAGCCCACTTCCACGAATGGCAGGCGGGACTCGCCATCCCACTCGCTCGAAAACGCCACATTGATGTCACTACCGTTTTTACCACACACGCAACCCTTCTCGGTCGCTATCTCTGTGCTGGAAGCGTCGACTTCTACAATAACCTTGCCTACTTTGATGTTGACCATGAAGCTGGCAAGCGTGGCATATACCATCGCTACTGTATCGAACGTGCCGCTACACATTGCGCGGACGTGTTTACGACAGTCAGCGGAATTACTGCATGGGAGAGTGAGCATCTCTTGAAGAGAAAGCCGGATGGAGTCCTTCCAAATGGCTTGAACGTAGTCAAGTTCCAGGCTATGCATGAGTTCCAGAATCTTCATGCGACTTCCAAGGAAAAAATCAACGAGTTCGTTCGTGGGCATTTCTATGGTCACTACGATTTCGATCTCGAAAACACCATTTATGTACGCCGTGCACGCTCTGCTGGATATTCTCCAACTAATCACGCACCACCAGATGTTCACAGCTGGTCGGTATGAGTACCGTAATAAGGGCGTCGATATGTTCATCGAGTCCCTTGCTCGTCTCAATCACCGCCTCCAGCAGAGTAAGAGTAGGACCACAGTCGTCGCGTTCATCATCATGCCTGCTGCTACCAATAGTTATACTATTGAGGCCCTCAAGGGTCAGGCAGCCATGAAGCAGCTGCGCGATACCGTTACCGAGGTACAGGCCCGTGTCGGCGCACGACTGTTCGAGCACGCTGCACGGTTTCACGGCGAGGGTCGCACAGAGGTCGCACCTGAGGACCTTCTAAGCGCAGAGGACCATGTCCTATTGAAACGTCGCATTTTCGCACTCAAGCGACACACTCTTCCCCCGATCGTTACGCACAATATGGCAGACGATGCGAATGACCCGATCCTCAATCAGCTACGTCGCGTACGTCTCTTCAACACACCAGGAGACCGTGTCAAGGTCATCTTTCACCCCGAATTTTTGAACTCAAATAACCCAATCCTGGGTCTCGACTATGAGGAATTTGTACGAGGCTGCCATCTGGGTGTATTTCCGAGTTACTACGAACCGTGGGGGTATACTCCCGCGGAGTGCACCGTGGTACGTCGTATATTCATTGTCTTGTGGGATTCCGGCTCATTCGAGTAGATGGGTATCCCTAGTGTCACGACAAACCTCTCCGGATTTGGGTGCTTCATGGAGGATTCGATCCATAATCCCTCTGATGAGGGTATCTACATTATTGACCGACGCACCACCTCCATCGATGACAGCGTCAACGCGCTCGCGGACTCGATGTTTGACTTTGTGAAGAAAACACGACGCCAGCGGATCAACCAGCGAAACCGCGTCGAACGACTCTCACCACTTTTAGATTGGAAGAACCTGGGTCTTGAGTACGAGAAGGCCCGGATGCTTGCGCTTCGGAGGGCCTACCCTGACGCATTCATTGGCGCTGACGAGGACAACGGGGAAGACGTGGAGTGGGGCTTTGGAGAATTCCCAGTTTCTGTCCAAGCTAGTCCAAGACTGAGAATTTCAGGACTCATGACACCAGGCGATATTGGAACACTTACAGAGGATGTGGGTATCCTTTTTCTAAGATGAGTTGAGATATGCTGATTGCGCCGTAGATGCAACGCTTGGAGACCAGTGATTACAGGGGGCACTGGCCGCGTACTGGGGAAGATGAAGAGGATGAATACCCTTTGTAAGCGTTCTCCCGCCTATTGGTATTTTACTCATATGTTCCTGCGCCCAGCCCTCTCGTCATGAAAGTGCGCTCGCGCGCCTCATCTGTGATGTCTGGTGCAAGCACGCCCGGCGGTGGGGCATTCAAGAGCCTCAGCGAGCACGATCTCCAAAAGGCGGACGCTGCGCTCAGCCAAGTGAACGGAGTATCTGCCACCTCTCTGATTGCGTAGGTGGCGCATCACTGGCTGAGTGTACGATACAAATCTAGGCTCTACGATGCCGAACGACTCAAGCTTGGTTGATTGCTTGGTGCTTCCGAAGCCTTCATATCAAGAATGCATGCATGCTCTAATTTTCTCTAGATACCTTATGTCTGCCCTGGTTTTTGACTTCCAGAAATATGGTTACATGCTCACGCCTGTCTGTGGTCATCATCTTCATATCATGATGCATGTTCAATTATCTTCCCATTGGTATTCATATCTGCTTTTACGTCTTTTGTTTCCATGTACACCCTAACCAAAACGCTACATATCCAGTAGCACACATGCGCATTATGGACTATACGTTTATGTACCCAAAACTCCTTGATTTCAATCAAGTCCCAGAACTTGCATTTATTGTGGATGCAATGTTGCATGATGAAGAGATATCAATATTTCAACGGCGTTTGGAGGGAACAAACTCTGCTCGTGTACATAAAGCTACTCTTGGTCATTTATGTAATAAGAACATTGTATGATCGTCGCAAATTCAACTCGGACGAGTTCTCGCTTGCTCACCGTCATGTCACCCATTCCTTTGATACCGTTGATTATCGCTACTCTGCTCAGTGTGCATGGATTGCGTTCGCGGTCACTCTCTTTCTCCGGTGCGGTGACCGCCTTCGTAGTTGGCTTCAGCATTCTTGCAGTGCCTGTGCGTACCATTGGGATCACTCTCATCGTGTTCTACTTGATCGGGTCCAGAGCCACCAAGTGTAAGTGTTAAATCCAATGAACCATACTACCGTCATGTCTCTTAACCACTAACTTCAGACGGCAAGAAGCGAAAAGCTCAGCTTGAAGATGACTATCAAGACGCTGGCTACCGATCTGGCGCACAAGTTCTCTGCAACTCATTCACCGCGTTTCTTGCGAGTGGAATATGGTGTCTTGCCTTTGCGCCTGACACTTTCCCATGGAGTCTAGTTAACTCTTACATTGATTCAGGCTCGGTATTGGTTAATATTGTGCCTTACCAAGATGGTCAATGGTGCCCAATGGACGCAACAGTATCAAGTGGATGGAGTCGCGCACTGATGTTTGTGTCACTTGGGTAAGCTCCGCCCTTCTATGTGACGCATGTTGTTCCTTGGCCTATAAATACTGTTCCACCAGCCACTTTGCCTGCTGCCTGGGAGATACTCTCGCATCAGAGCTCGGTATCCTCTCTTCCCGCCCGCCAATCCTTATCACGACGCTAAAAACTGTTCCACCCGGTACAAACGGCGGCGTCTCACTCGGTGGGACGCTTGCCAGCTTATTTGGCGGTTTTTCCATGGGTGTAACAATGTTCATTTCACTCATTGTAGAGAATGCACACTGCAGAAGCAGTTGGTCGACTATTCTCCCGTCACTCGTATTCTGGGGTAGTGTAGCAGGTGTTTGCGGAAGCTTGGTAAGATTTCACTAGTGTTACAACCGTGACCGTGCCGTATATTGATGCACATCACTAGCTGGATTCGTTCCTCGGAGCTACCCTACAGCGCACACGCTACTCAGTCGACAAAAAGCTCATTCTTACTGGTCATTCCGTGCTACCTGATCGCGGGCGGAGAGATACTGTGAAAGTTATCAGTGGACTCAATTTATTGACAAACAATCAGGCAATCTAATATCATTCTCCCCTGTCTTACTGCTAACTGTCCCACAGGTCAACTTGCTGTCATCGATAGGGACTGCGCTCGTTGTTGCAAGATTTGCCTCAACGTCAGAGACATGAACACCCCCTGCTTCATTTGTAAACACTATCTAATCATAGATGCATACCCTACCGTGTAATTTCCCTCTTGACAGGAAGCTACTAAGATTATTCGAGTCAGCCTTCTGTATGCAGCGACATTGGCTCTAAGATGTGACTGGCCGCACTTTGCATTCTCGGACATGCCAAGCACCTCAGTTTCCTCGCCTCGAAGACCACTTTGATATTGTTTGAACATACAGGTGAATATGCCAAGCCAGAAGATAACCCGGTCGGGGAATGGGGTGTTGTGATGAGGTGATCAGAGACCTAAAATCTGCAGTATAGGCTGCAGGAACAGATCGCGACGTAGTAAAGTAAGATTCGTGATTATGTATGAGCTAAGATGATAACTCATACCACCAAGTACTACCAGTCTTCGAGAGATCCACTAGTAAAGTTGTTCTCTGCGAACACAATGCAGGTACTGGCATGCAAGTGAATATCAATACACCACTTAGACTGCGCTGCAAAGTCATAACTATCACATACACACGTTCGTAAACCTGGCAAAGAATATGGAGAGGAGGGATTGTGTTTGAAGTTTGAAGCCGCATCATTGTGGCCCACAAATGACTTGAAAACTTAATTGAAGTGCTTGGAAGAAAACCTTGAACACCTCGACCCCAGTGGGCGAGTACCAGCGACGCATTTGTCTGACCTCTCCGAAGTGAGAGCGACACACATGTGTGAAGAGTTGATGCCCAATAACTTTGCGACACATGTGTCTGAATAGCAAAACTTCAAACCGCCATGAGCGAGTGACACGTGTGCGTCTATAACACGGCAAAACCCCACGGGCGAGTGACAAGCCGCATGCGTCTGTATTGCACAAAAGAAGACTTTGGCAAAGAGCGAACTAGTGACGTGCATAATGCATGACGTATTGAGGTCCACGTAGATGGAGTTACCGCACGGCACTAGTCCATTACTTTGATGCGCGCTAGCGGCCTGCAGGAAGATGGGCGGTTCACGGTAAGACGTGCAGCTGCCAAACCTGGCATCTTCCTTGAGAATATCTTGTACGCTGAATAGGATGTAGCATTAGTATGCGTGAATTTTGCTTCATGACACATAGATAAACGTGTCACTACCTGGTGCCATGAAAAGTCGCTATCAGATGCACTTTGTTCACGAAGTTGAGAGGATATGGCTGTTCGGGCTAGCTCCGGAGGGCGAAGTCTAAGAACTGCTGCAGCGAGATGCCATCTAGTGATTGAGCTCAGTGCTCATGAGTCTCATTCCTCGCTCCTTAGATTGAGTCTGCGACCGAGAGGTTTAGAAGTGCGCAGTGAGTAACGCTTGTAGTATGGATTTTCTGACAAGGTTCAGGCTGTAGGAGGTTGATAGTGTCGGAATGGGATCCGAAACACGTTCTAAGAATTGACGATAGCGATTAAGACTCATGATAGCCACTGGCATGTGATAGCATGTGATCCATAAGTATATTATTGTTTGAGCAGTGAGCACATGGTCAAGACACTGCCAGATCATGCTAGTGAATGCGAAGCCTTCCAGATTCACCTAATCCCCGGAATGAAGCCCAGTCCAGAACACCACGGGCACAAGGATAAAAGCATACTTTGAACTATTGGAGTTCATACAGACACCTTGTTGGAATCCAGCTCCTGCCCACTGAATATTCCTTCCCCCTCTTTGTATCACTAGCACTGTACATAGATTGCTATGCGTTCGCTTACATCTCTTCTATTCATCTTCGATGTGCTTACGTCTCTGCAGGTCTAATCATCCGCGACGACCCTGCCGCTGTCGGCGACTACGTCGCCAACTACATTGCCAAACGGTATCGAGGCTCATATCCACTTTTCCTCGCCTATGATTCATTCCTTTGCCCTAGCATCAATGACTTTGCCCCGACCGCTAGCAACCCTTTCGTACTCGGTCTCCCAACCGGCTCCTCTCCTATTCCAACTTACAAAGCCCTCATCAACAAAGTCAAGGAGGGCAGCTTATCGTGAGTGCTGAATAGTCTGAATTTACTCAAGTACATTTATACATGATTCCAGATTCAAGCATGTCGTCACTTTCAATATGGACGAGTATGTCGGCATTCCTCGCGACCACTCAGAGTCCTACCACACATTCATGTTCCGCGAATTTTTCTCCCATAGTCCGTCCAGTCCAGTCACCCTCGCTGCAGGAATCTGTACTAATTTCATTTATGCAGTCGATATTCCCCCTTCCCAAGTCAATTTACTGGACGGGAATGCCGAAGACTTGATCGCGGAATGCAACGCATACGAGTCCCGCATTAAGCAGGCCGGTGGTATCGAGCTCTTCCTGGGTGGTATCGGCGAAGATGGTCATATCGCATTCAACGAGCCTGGTATGTCTCATTCCTTTCGCCACTCGCCTCCCTTCTGTTCCCTTATGTTGAATCTGTCTTCTCTTCCGTATTATCCGTTCTCTTGATACTTTCATCGACTTGAATAATGCTCATGCCCATGAAAGGCTCGTCCCTCGCCTCCCGGACCCGCATCAAGACACTCGCTTACGACACCATCCTCGCCAACGCCCGCTTCTTTAATAACAATGTTGCCGCTGTCCCCCGCATGGCCCTCACAGTCGGTGTTGCCACAGTGCTTGAAGCAAGGGAAGTCGTGGTTGTGGTCACGGGCCAGAGGAAGAGCTTGGCTCTTAGCAAGGCTATTGGTGAGTCATAGTTTTAGGCTATCTTCGGGCTCATTCATTGATAATATGATTTTTGTCGTGGTGTACACTCACATACAGAGGACGGCGTAAACCATCTTGTGAGTAGGCCCCTTTCTAGCACCTAGCAGAAACCCTACATTGACGTGACACTTAATGCAGTGGACTCTCTCGGCGTTACAGCTCCACCCTTGGGCGTTGATTGTAGTCGATGAAGATGCTACAGCTGGTGCGTGCTGTCGTTGTGACAACATAACATGGCTGACCTTCTGTTAACTTATATTTACGGATAACATTCTGTCGCCCCTCACTTCACATCCCTCCCTTCTTGCCCACCCATGGTCACCTTATTCTAATGTAAAAACAAACTGCGGAACCACAACCCAGAGCTGCACGTCAAAACAGTCAAATATTTCAAGTCGATTGAACGTGTGCAAGATGAGGTGGAGCAACGGCAGGCAGAATTGAAGGCGAGAGGCAGGGAAGAGCATCAGGGGCAGGTCGGCAGTATGGAGTGATGTTGTCTGAATCAGCAAAACCCTAACTTAGTCGTAGTACCGTAGCCGAGCATAGCCGTTCGTACTACTACTCATCTGCAAAACCGGTGATGTGTTACCTGTTCCAACTCGGGGCTTTTACGCTTAATGGCTCTCAGTTACCAGCAGTATACCGTAAATTATAACCGAGAGACCCCGGAAACGTCCGGAACGGTCCGTCTATGTTATTCCCTTATTATACATTGCCCTGCTTATGTACTCCACCCCTGTTTATGCTTTACAGTAGAGTTTTTCTCCTGTAAAAATCAGATTTCAGTTCCCTCTTGTGCTTCTGAGGCCTGAGATATTGTATATACTATTCAAAGGTTGCTGTAGATCATATTTTCAAGTCTGTACAGTTAAAAAAAATATGCAAAGCTATTTGTTATTTTTTGTGTGCATACTACATTTGGTGCTTCAGGGACCTTTAGAGGGCCAAAAAAGCGGTTGAATAGACTCATATATACTCAAAAATGTATAACTACTTGTGCCAAGACATTCTATCATTGAAGGGACAAAAATGCAGATGTGTTTTTGATATGTTTTTCTTGTATTATATGTACAGGTTTCTGGAGCTTGTGTTGGGACAAAAATATGCAAAAAAAGTGTTCTATTGTGACCTATTGTATGTACATAGCATACACTGATACATCTCTACAGTAAATAGGTTGATATGGTATGGTGGTGGGCAGGAATGTACTGGGTGTGGAGTGTGGGAAATGTTGAGATCCAGAGATGACCGGAAATGGCTATGTTTTGGGTGTAGTGACACATTCCCACAGTCTAACAAATGTGGAATTGGTTGATGATGGTGTTGGGGGGGTTTCGGGCTCCGGATGCTCGGACTTGAATGTTACCAAATGTCGGAAGCAAATGAGGCTCCGAGTTGGAACAGGGCACCACATACTCCTGCAAAACCACTGAAATGAACACTTAATTTACACGTGTTATGAACACTTAGACTCTGTTCGGCCAGGACAATTTTGCCCAACTTTGCCCGATTTCAAACAACCAAGTATCATTAAGTAAGCACGGAGCTTGAAACTGATGTCACGCTGATTAGCGTTCTCAGTTGAAAATGCGTGATCGTGACCGGGGTCGGAGTTCGAATCACAGAGGTGGGATCACACTTTGCGCTCCAAGACTTGTCCCAGGCAGGCCCCGAATCACGGTTTTTCGCCCTCGATCACGGTTTTGGCCAGGTGGGATCACACTTTTCGTGGAGCTGATCACGGTTCTGATCACGGTTCTTTGGTGGGCAGGAGAAGTCTTCTCCTCGGGGATTTCCCAGCAGGGGCGGGAACACGACCTTCCCGCTCCCAAGGCCTTCACTCCTAGGTACCAACTCTCTCCCAGGTTCCGTCCCTTCGCGAGGATTCCCAGCAATCCGAATCGCACTCACCATTCAGCCTGCCTGACTGCCATCAATGTTTTGCAACTAATCATTCGCCAGGCCCCCAATTTGTGCGTCGCACTTTTATCATTATCGGGTAAGAACACTCATTCTTTTTTGCAGAAGATATCTGAACAATACACATGCGTTCTTTACAAAAGACACCAGCATCCACCCTCAGCCTTCGAGTTCTCTGATCACACAAGGTCGAGAGGGTGCGAAGTCGGCAATGAAGACCTCCACCATGAATAGTAAGTGGGTCATCTGGTTTTCGCTGCGATGCCGCCATTGATTCGTTCGCGATGGCATGCAGACTCGCTGAGATGATGCATAATCTCATGGGGACCTTCCTCAATCCCCCATGCAACATTATCATTCGCTTTCTGGACACACACATTCCATAGTCTCCTCGAGGCCTTGAGATGTGGAAGCTGGCGGAAGGAGATTCATTTCACGGTACTAGACTGACGACATTAGATAGATTACATGGTCACTATGGTAGCTGAACAATTTATTAAAGCAGGAACAGAACACATTAGATTGGCTCGAGTTCGAGGGGCAGAACCGTGGCTCGCCCTCTCTCATGCGGGCGACGTGTCAGTGCTAGCAGCAGTCATTTGCACCCGTTTCTTCTTTGGCTGAAGTTTGGAGTGGAATTGTGGGACTGACATAGAGCTGCGCTGCTCATCCAGAATTCGAACGGCTTCTGATGCGTGATTGCCGGCGTCCATCGTGGAGTTGATGTGCGTGATGGAGAACATGAATTGCGACCACTGTCGCCTCACCTAAAAATCATGTTGCAGATGAGAGAACAGCAAAGGAAACAGAGACCACTCACATTGTTGTCATTGTGTGGTCGCCAAGTCTGACGGCGCCCTTTGCGAGTCGAGCGGTCCTTTGTTCCTCCCCACTCTTGTTCGATGAGCTGGAGGGGTGGCGTTTGACTGACACTGTCAATTATTGTGCCCTCGTGCCAAGCGGCCCAGAGTTGTTTGATGGTTTGGTATCCACCAAGGTTGCGAGGATGCCAGCAGGCCCAAAGGAGGGATGGCTGCTTCACCATCTCAAAGATGGAGCTCCAGCTGCAGTTTCGAGCCGTGAACTGAGGGAACTGTGGTACAGACGCAGTGACGGGGTCGCAGAAGGCCTCAGCTGATGGAATGATGAGATCGCGACCCGAATGGAAGTCGGGAGGCATTGTCGGCAAGAGAGGCAATATGTGGAAGGAGCAGCCACCGTGGACAACAGTTACTGGGCTCATGATGGGCTGCAGATGCAGTGCAGGTGTTGAACCTTCAGCAGCACGAGCTCCACACTTACCAGTCTGAGGTGCTGGAGGAGGAGGGGGATGCCAGCCCACATCTCCGACTCCTTGTTCTGCTGCTGGGCAAACATTAGCACCCGCAGCAGGCATGGCGCCATGGCCAGCATTGGATGCAGTCACAGGCGAAAATCTGGCTCTGTCGCAGTTCTTCGATGGAGAGAGTGGCTCTGTCCGTCGAAGAAGCTGGTTGCAATGGGAGAGCACGGTGTTTATGGTGGTATCCGACTGGTGTTGCGAGTTTGTGAGAGATACAAAGGCACTTTGTGTGGCAGCCTCCGCAAACGAACTGCTGATGGAAAGGTCAGATTGTGCAGTGGCCTCGAGAGCTTCCCTGGCCCTTGGCCACTGCCGAAGGAACATCTTGGCCTCACTGGACTGCACAACATGCAGCCATTTCAGAAGGGCAGAGTCCGGGAACGGGTGGTGGATTGCAGCAACAACCTTGCATGAGAAGATGAGTATTAGACTTAGAGACCCTTTTCGGTGGCCTTCGGAGCTCACCTGCCAGAAGTAGCCACGGAGGAGCTGCAGCAGCTCGAGGAAGTTGACAGTGCCGTAGTTGATGTTGGGTGCCTGTCGGAGATTCGCCAGAGCATCCTCAGCAAAAGGAAATATTTGCATCTGTAGCTCAGCCGGGACATCAGTTGTTGCCCATGGAACATTGTACTGCTCCCCAACATAGAACCCAGCCAGGGCACAGACAGCCTGTCATAGTAGAGAAAAAGGTTGAATTCACGTTACACAGCCCACAAAGATGCATACTTACTGATTTTGGGATCTTTGCAGCGTACGTCTCACAATGTGTGTTCCCCTCCCAGTGGCCAATGGCATCGACTTCGTCTGCATGTACCCTAAAGGCTGTCAGTCGAACTAGGCTCTCGAAGAACATGCCAAAAATCACAGACCCCATGTCCTCCATCACACTCGGCATTGTACAGCGAGCAAGATGCAGCTTCTTCTTTGATGTGATTGTCGTCGGGCCCAGCATGGTTGTATACATCTTCCGGAGAGCATCACCACTCGATGGCTGTCCGACGTGCTTTCCAAACATGAGTTTAACCTATGCGGAGCCCTCAGCACGGCAACTCTGATATATTGATCAGAAAAACAACCTGACCTCACGCCATGTGGCTGACCGCGACCAGTCCCAGCCATTGACCTTGCTCATCAGGCCCTCTTGATCAAATTGGTAATGGAGTGAGATTGCGAGGGCCCTGATTGGGCACTTCAGTGGGTCCTTGTGCGGGAGCACAAAATTGTAGTCGGGCTCTTGTATCTACAGGCAGGCAAAAAAGCAAGTGGTAAATACACCAGAAACTCAGCCTGTGAGATCACAGATGCTCACGCCGGGCTTCACGACCTTGGTCTCATGGTAGAGTGACAGAACCCCAAAAAAGAACTGCCCACTCCCACTTCTCCTCCCATCAGCTGTTGTATAGTCCGGAACAAAGACTTTGTATGGCTGGATGCAGGATAGCAGAAGAGTGACGAGCTCGTCACCCCAGTTCAATGTGGTGCATTGCCACGTCCAACACTGATGAGCCTTGATGACTGACAGCACTGATGGAGGCCAACAGGTGGGTGGTGATTGGTGTGAGCACAAGCACGATGACAGAGGGACTTACATTGAGTGAGGGACGTGAACACGGACTTCTTGACCTGCTCGAAATGTTCGGGAAATAGGTGGGAGTCCAGGATTGTGTTCTCTGTGACATCAAAGTCTTCACGCCTGGAAGTGAACATGAACGTCAGTAGAAAGCCGCTAATAAATGCACAGAAACTCACTCGAGGCGGAGGCGTTGTGCTTGAACCATCAGCACTTTGTAGAAGTCCGAGATACGTGGGGTGAATGCTGGTTGTGCCTGCGCGAGAGACATATCATCATCGACCTGGCGGCGTCGAACCCGACCAAGCATTGCCATTGTCTTCTTGAGGGAGCTCTTAATATTTCGGCCAGCAGCAAAGGGCACTGATGAGCACGGTGCATATGATTGGAAAGAAAACTCACTGCAGACAAAGATCCATTTGCATGATCTTGTTCGCCACCATTTCGGGTGAGCAGTTTGCGGGTGCCGGTGTACTTAAGGTACTTGATGATGTGGTGTGCATCGATGATCACATCCGGGACTTGTCCCGATGCAATTGCGATGGTCAACCAGCGCTAGTTAGCAGGAACATCAGATTGCGGCCACCAAAAATGACGACTTTATTCGAGATTTACCTTCCATATGTTGAGGACACTTTTCTCAGTTTGCTGTCCACTTTTCCGCCGCGTGCTTATGATAAATTCGTCGACCTTGCAATGACCGTCAGTTGGCATTCCAAGTTCCAGGAGAACACACAGCACTGACCCATGCTCTCGCGGTGTTGATTGCATCCATGCGCTGGCCTGGCAGCAATGCCCACAATCAGTAAAAGTTCAAGCGCACGGATCACGGATCATGATGCTTACCGCTTGCATGAACCAGCGGTTCATCGTCATCTTGACCGTCAGGAGCATTCACACCAGCATCGTCGATGTCGTCTTCTATGCGGCTGCTTTCGCCACTGTCAAATGCATCTTGGAATGAGCGAGCGAGCTGGCTCGCATCGTGCACGGCAAGGGTGTCGATCTCATCAAGCCCCTGGGTGGAGAAGGATGACTGGGTGGGGCCATCAGGCCCCACTGTAGATGGTGCCAGGGCTGGTTTTGGAGTGCTGTGAGGGGGGAAGGGGTGATGAAGGACGAAAAAAAAACGAGACAAGCTCCACATGGACACACCTTTGGCATGCCTGGGATGGAAGCCGTGCCACGAGGTCGGCCTTCCTTCCTTGCACACTCAAGTTCTGCTCACGGCACAACTGCTGGAGTTGCTTCACCGTCATTTTGCTGTTGACGAACATCCGTTGTCAGCATCAACATGTTTTGGACAAGGAATCCACTGACCTGGTAAGTACTGTCTCCTCTGGACTCACTGCACGATGGCACAGTGTAGGGATTAGCTATGCGAGTCAAATCAGTACTGGCAGTAGATACAACAAAATTTGAAACTGAAGTGATGAAGCTCACCTCGTTGACGGTGGGATGGCTGACTTCGCACAGGTCCGAGTGCTGGTGATGGCATGCTGTGATTGGACAGCGCAAGTAAGGCGGGATCGATGGCATCATTGTTGCCGTGGTCAACATCCATTGCCAGTGAGAAAGATGTGTCGGTGTGGAGCAACAACAGCGCTGGACTGTTGGGCGTGAGACAACAACAACAACAACAACAGTGGTCGTTGACACGCGTATGGCACCAAGGGCGGGATTCCTTCCCAAAAAGGATATTTCTGGTCAATTCCTGGGGAATTAGAAAAGTCACGCTTCAACTGTGATTTTGCCTGCCAATCACACACCTAAAAGTGTGATCAGCCGCCAAAAACTTCTCCTGGGGTTTCCAGTTATCAGTAAAAAAAACATATGCCCCACACACCATAATTGCCATGCTCCCCCGCCTCCTATATCACGCTGGAAACCCGCCCACCGATGGAGACACACAAGAAGATCAGGAAGATCGAGAAGAGCAGGAGGAGCAGGATGAGCAGGATGAGCAGGATGAGCAGGATGAGGGGCAGCCTGGTGTAAAAGATGCAGAACAATCAGATGTGAAGAACCTCCAAGCTATCATAAGCTTCTTTCAAAATATGGTAGTTTCAGCCTCTCAAGTTGTTGGTCTTGCCAGGGTCGCCCTAAACTCATATACCCACACTTACTACAACAAACAAGCTTACCATACTTCAGCACTGTCCGGGATTGACTGGGTCAACGAGCTCCTTGAAGGTCACCCAGAACGAATCAGATGCGAGCTCGGTGTACATCACCACGTGTTCGTTACATTGTGCAATATACTTCGTGGCGGCGGAATAAACGACTCCAGAAATGTGACACTGGAAGAGCAGCTAGCCATCTTCCTGTATGCCTGTGTTACAGGCCTCGCTGTACGCCACCTTGCCGAGCGCTTTCAGTGCTCGAATAATACAATATCGAAGTGCGGCGCCCCTACCTCTCCTCCTAATATTTATTTAATCTATTCTACCAGGTATTTTAAACGAATACTTATCACATTGTCCTCCCAACCTATCTATTCCACCTATGTCCAGCTTCCGGATGCAGAAACCCCTGTGCCCGCTGAAATCCTCGCGACGACTAAACTCTATCCCTACTTCGCCAACGTATTTGGCGCCATCGATGGCACTCACATCGCATGCCATCCTGACGCTGCTCGCGACCGCAGAGGCAATTTGACGCAAAATTGCCTTGTTGCCTGTGATTTCAATATGTGTTTCACTTACATGTTAAGTGGCTTCCCAGGGTCTGCAGCAGACGCTCACCTCTACAATGAGGCTCGTTTAACAAATTTCACAATCCCGCCGGGCAAGTTGTACCTTGCAGACGCAGGCTTTGCTGCATGCGACGAATTACTCGTGCCTTACCGTGGTGTGCGCTACCACCTTGCTGAATGGGGCCGGGCACACATGGTGTGAGTTATTCTACTGACTTACCACCTAGTACTAATTTTTTTCAGGCCTTGCAATCCCAAGGAATTGTACAATCTATGTCATGCGCAGCTCCGCAACGTCATCGAACACATATTCGGCGTGTTGAAAAAGCGCTTCCGGATTATTTGCCTCCCTCCCGAGTACAGCCTGGAAATTCAATCCCGCATCCCTCCAGCAGTGTGTTTCGTCCACAACGTCATTCGCATTCACAACCCCGATGACATACTGGATTACCATCGTGTGGAGTCTGATGAGTGGGGGGCACCTTACGACAGTGGCACACTTGCTGATGGGCCACCTACCAATGCAGCACGCACCCGCGCACACCAAGTCCGCGATGAGATCGCGCAAGAAATGTGGGTTGATTATTTGCAAGAACGGCAACGTAGAGGCCAGCCGCCACCGCCTGGTGTACAAGAGTAGTCTAGTTCAATTAGTTCAACATGTTCAAGTATCCCATGTACAATGTATTGCGCTCAATTGTTTTTTTAATCACACATTGTTTGAACTTGAAAGTCTATTGATTGCATGCATGATTGTACATATGTCAAGTAGGTAGGTTCAAGTAGGTACATGTTCCCTAGCCTGCGCTTCCCTCACTTCCTTGAGACGCCGCGCTAAAAAAACCTCACGAACACCATCTCGTTTGATGGAGTTGTACGTATCAGCGATGGTGATGTCGGACTGGAAGAGGTCCATCATGGTGACGACTTCGTTGTCGTCAAGGTTCTTCTCCTCTTGGACCCGAAGTACGGCGCACTGTTTGCGGACCGGGACAGGATCGGTAAAATGTCCAACAACGGTGTCTTGAAGTACCAACGTGGTGTTGGTGATGCTGTCCACTACTTTCCCCCCAAAGTTCTCCAACACGTGCAGCATAGTAAGGCGTTGTGATTTTGAGGACCCCGCCATGCTCCTGGACTTGGAGTTTGGGGGGCGGGACAGACCACGCGAGCTGTCATCTCCATCAGACTTGCGTTTCAGCGAGATTGATGAGGTAGGTGTGGAAGATATGGAAGGGGTGGAAAATGGCTGCAATGCAGTGTTGAAGCCTCTCGGCGTGATAGGAGTGAGAGGCAGCGGCGGTGGCGGCATTGACCTAGAGTCGGTGTTCATCTCGACATCTCTACCACCAGTACCAAACTCGACCCGGTCGAGCGCTTTCTCCAGTGACAGCATGGTGATGTCGCCCTTGCCACTCGTGACGTCACTGGCTGCAGGAGTCGACGTACCTGCAGTGTCGGTAGCGTCGGTGATGTAACTCGGGGTCGGTGCATTCGCTTTGTTGCTGGGGCCGGCGTAGAAGCCAGTCCAGCCGCTGGTGGTCACCGGAACGACACCCTGGAGCTTCTGAAAGTGGGGCCAGCCTTTGTTCTTGAAGCCCCTCGCGTCAGGGTTCTTCTATTAGAATAGTTAGCACAGTAAATAGAGAGAGACAAAGAACACATATTGAGATGTAATCCGCCCACATAGTCTCCCCTCCTTCATCTATATTGGCCCCTTTCTCCATGTCGAACGATAAGCCCGAAGCGCCGTTCATCTTATCGACGACCTTGTACATTTTTCGAATCTATAAATGTATTAGTTAATTAATGACCAGCGCTCACAAACGAGTACTTATGCGACCCCACTTGGACTGACAAGAATTGGAGGTCTTGGGGGCTCCATCAGGCACTGGACCAGCCGCCATATGTAAGGCGGCGTTAGTCCAGAAAGTCTTCGTGAAGTTCATCCCATCGCCTCCTTTTGAGTGCTTGTCGATGATGTAGTCGACCAGCCTCGTTTCATCGGCCAACGACCAAATGCAGCGGTCTTTCGCCTCTCCAGCGGAGTCCTGGTCTTCAGCGGCTGCCCTTTTTTTGCCTTTGCCCTTGGATGGCATGCTGGCGGCACTGCGCAAACGGCGTGAACTCAATCGTGTCCGGGTCGAGGGCATATCGAGTGTAACATAGATTATCGACACATCACAATCAGTCACGCTGAACCGGCACACCGGCATGGTTACTTAATCACACGGTTTTTTGAAATCGGGCAAAGTTGGGCAAAATTGTCCTGGCCGAACAGAGTCTTACGACTTCAGTAGCACATTCATGCGATTGGTGGAGATCCTCTCATTGTCAATATTGTATTTCACTGCACTAAACTTACAAGAGATGCAGAACCAAACATTTTGATCAATGATAATCTTTCGCCATTTCACTGAAGTTAAAATGGACTTGATTTTATCAGAAAGACAAGATGGATAATTATGTAACTAGTGAATCTCTGAGCGCAATGCAAGATACACCTCCTTGTCCGAGAAATTGTTCAGGTAAAAGCTCTCATATACCTCCATTATTATTATGATAATAAATTAAATTAAAATAGCCGTGGCGTTGGCCTGAGCACGGCTCACTGAGCAAAAAGTCGACAAATACATTTGCAAACTAATCTAGGCTAGTAATCTGACATTTTAGATACAAATATATCATCATCACTGTTGTTCTCGTCATCCAAAAAGAATGTGTCCCAACCCTGTTCGTCATCTGCAACATCACCCTCCTTCTCCAAAATATCAGCTTCGGTGTCAGACTCATTGAGTTCTTCTTCCACAAGTGATGAAGGCCCAGCCTCACGAAACAAAAGATCATTGCGTAGTGAGCATTTAAGACTTTGGAGCGCTTCCACTATTAGGGATCCGCACGGGTATGGGTGACCCGTGCGGGTCACGGGTACGGGTACTACTGGGGTACAGGTACGGGTCAGATTTCTGAGACCCGTGCTCTAACCCATACCCCTGGTGTACCCGTGAGCCGTAGTTGTAAGATATGGTCATTATAATATGGTAATAGCCATCGGCAGATATGCCAAACTGCACCACCCCAAGGCCAATGCCTATTTCCCTAGCTCGTACCCACAAGCTTAGTCATGGCCAAATTTATGTTACTGGTCAATATCACCGCAGTTTTGGGAATTTTGAAACTCAGCTATGTTTTCCACATTTGTCAGATGTTTTGGTATGTTTTATTCCGCAATTTTGGCCTCCAAAAAACACATCCTGTTTTGGTCACCTCCTCATGTCAGGCCTCCCCACATTATTCCCACACTCCGCATTTTCGCATTTTTAGCCACCTGCTGTGGGAATTACCCCACAACACCCAAAACATCATCCCAATATGGTATACCACATAATTATAATTATTCCCACACCCTCCCCACCTCACTGCAGCTTCACCACTACACCACAATAGGTCCTCCCTTGTATTTAAGTAGTAGTTTGGTATATACATGTATAATATTATATAATAGACCGCTTTTTTGTCTATTTGTGTGCCTGCTCCTCCTCCAGGGCCTTTTCAAAATAGGGTAGGGTACAGAACATTTTCGCACTTTTGCCCCTTTGATAGGGGTGTGTTCTACTATATTCAGAACATTTTCATGAGCATATATGTATATGAGTAGATTCCCATCATTATTTGACCCTCTGAAGTGTCCTACATCAATAGATATAGCACATATGCAATAAAACACAGAATATGCCCCCATTTAATTATTTCTAGGTGAATGGACTTGTAAAAATGATGACCAACATCTATTCAACAATAGGAACAATGTTTCAGGAGCCCAGGACCGTAGGATAATCCCCTGTTGCATGGGGTGCCCCCCCTCTCCTGGTGGTTTACCCCCTGTGAAAATTTTCCCTGTAGGACCGGACCTCAATTGAGGTAGGGGGTCTGTTTCTATGTATATCTAAGGTAGTTCTATCATATAGCTGATCCAGGACACACATAGGATCCTGCTACAGGAACAAAAACATAGAAAATCGCATTTTTGACACTTTTGATGTTTTCAAGTCCCTTACACTTGCACAACTGACCAGGCCTGCTCATACATGATCAGTAGTACATTCAAAAATATGTTTTATGCCAAGGATCAGCCCTACATATGGTGCAAATGTGATATCTCATGTACAGGGGGTATTTCTACTGATAAGAAGCCTACATAGTAGTCGAGCCTGTGATAAGTGATCTAAAACCTGGGATACGTCCTGTACATGCCCCTGATGATAGATTTAAAGTTTTAGAAAGATCCATTAAGGACTGACTGAATAGCAAGTAAAATCACATATGTGTGAAAAGTGACAATTGACATCTTTTCACACAAAGTTACATTTATATATGATACAGCTCAAACATTTCATTAAAAATATGTAGGATACAAGGTAGACTACTGAATGAACCTATACTACATACTGCCCTGAGGTTGAAGGGTGGTGGAAGGGATGTGGTGTATATCTGAGTTGACCCAGCATTAAAGTCCAACTACTGCCCAACTGACCATTTTCGATGTTTTGGGTCTTTGAACTTTCCCACACTCAATTTCTTATCTATTTCACTTCCTCAGGACTCAATTCTTGTTGGATCTTTCTGTACCATTAGGCCTAAGATACTGAATATATTTTAAATCTACTCCAGGTGTCTGATTATTACATTTCGATGTATTGAAAGTATGGTGTGACGTTAGTTGTAGTCACGGACTAGATGTAACGGCACAGTGAAAACTGACAGAGTCTCTCGCAAGGTCACCAGATACCAGTCCGGTTTATTTGGAAAGAACTAGGGAACTGTACATACGAGCTGTGATTATATAGAACGTAGTGTAGAGTGCTCGTGATTAATTAGAATTGAAATAAAGAAAATGATATGTGTTCTCTAGTGAGGTCGACGTTCCAGGCCTCGGTTTCTGATCGTGATCGGTTCCCATGCTCATCGATCAAGGTAACCGTCACATACTCCCCTCCAGGGTGTGTCTACGCCCTTTCACTTCTCCCTCGGCTTCTTTCCCTGAGTGCCATCCCCGTCCTTCTTTCCGTCCTTGCTAATCTCCTTGGTCCGAACGGTGGTCTCCCCTTCGTCATCTATTTCCATACGCGCTGGCACGTTGGTCGAGGGGGAGGTGGTTCTGGGACCTGTGCTCGATCCTTCACCTCTGTCTCCGTGGTATGTGTTCCGTCGTGTTCCTCGGGTGCTGAAGTCACCCTTCTGTTTCTTAGCAGCCTTCCGCTTGGCGATGGACTTATCTCTCCATTTGCGCCTCTTCTTCGCAGTTTTGAGGCTGGCCCAGAGCGCTTCTTCGAGAAGCTCAGATTTATGGGCAGTGAGGTAACGCGCGCCTTCAGGTGTGGCTCCAGGATGCGAAGTAGGTGGCCTAGTGGCCTCCTCTCCTACAAGGTATGTAAGGGAGGGCGCTGGGCCAAGGATCTGGGGATGTTCGGCGTCACCCTGGACCATTTGGGTAATGCGTCCCTGGCCAGACTGCAGTATGTTGAAGGATAGTGTGAAGTCGGTGTACCCATTAGGGTAGGGACGTTGGGAGGCGGTTCCAGCCCGTAGGTGAGCGTCGTATTCAACATATGCGCGCAGCATGTCTATAGTAACGAGTATGTCGGCAGTATCCCCTACAGCGCTGGGAAGCGTGAAGCGATGCAAGTTGACTCGATGGAGAAAGGGGGGTGCCATGGTGGAATGTTTTCGAGGTGGACGGACAGTAGACGAGGTTTTGGAGTGGTGTGAGGTGAGTGGTTTAGCTTTGATGGGGGGTTTCTTGAGGTATTTGCTGACCGGGTTTTTATAGCATCAAATTTCGAATCGTAGGTGTCCTAAAAACACCTGGGGATCATCTTTCGGAGGTTCCCCGCTACCGCGTGTCAGATCCGAGACACCCTCGATCCCAAGCAGGCTAAAATACTCAGTAAGTGCGCCAAGTTTTTCTACTTGATCATATGGTAACCAAGTCTTATCCCCTGACTTCCAGAGGATTTCAAACGTGGAGTCCGTTCGTTGCCCATGGTGAGTCAGTATCTTATCGATCGCCCATTCTGACTCAGAATCTTCAAAGTCTGCAACTTGCGTCTCGAGGCGACCGGGAAATAGTCTATCGTCGTTAGGTATATGTATCCTAAGGTACAAAGAATGGAATACGGGGTGTATTCCCCTCTGCTTAAGCCTATTCGGTAACTCCAGTCTGAATGAGTTGTTTCGAAAATCCTTGGTGATTTTATAGGGGCCAATGAACTTTGGTACTAACTTTCGTGCACTACCCTTGGGTAGTGACATATTTTTAGTTGACACATATACCAGATCTCCCTTTACTAGGGGACAAGCCCTTCAATGCTTATTAGCCTCGTAAGTTTGTTTCACTCGCGCTGATAAAATAGCATCGTGTGCTGACATGATAGCATTTTTCATTCTCTGGGCGAAGACCCTAATGCCCGGGTATTCTGAAGGTCCAGGTGCGTTCCAGATCATCGATCGTGGTGTTCGTCCTGATCCGACGAAAAATGGTGATAGCAGTGTAGATTCCGATCGCGCAAGATTGATCACAAATTCTATTCCAGGTAACTTCGACACCCAATCCCGCTGATTAGGGCCTACGCATGCTCTAAGCATTTGCGTTACCGTTCGGTTCGCCCTCTCAGTGGATCCATCCGTCTCAGGGTGATAGGCACTCGACATTTTGAGTTGCACACCAATAAGTTTGTTAAGGCGAGTCCAGAAGTTACTAGTAAATAGCACATCTCTATCACTAATGATTGCTCTAGGTAATCCGTGATGTTTATACACCTCTGCAAAGACTAGTTCGGCTACGTCTTGGGCCGTGTAGTTAGTTCGACTTGGCACGAGGTGCACCATCCCCGATAATAGGTCGATGATGACCGTGACCGAGTCGTATTCTCCGTCCCGATCCTTCGAAAGGGGGAACGGACCTACAAAGTCGATTCCAATGGCTTCCCATGGCTGGGACGCCACAGGTAAGGGATTTAACAAGCTATACGGCTTTTGATTAGGAGGCTTGCTTTGCTGACATATTTTGCATGATGCACAGAACAAATGCACGTCCCGTGCCATGGACTTCCACCATACGTGTTCATGTAGGTAGGATAATGTCTTGTCCGCACACAAATGGGCCAGGATTGAATGGGCTTGGTCTATGACCGTCTCAATAAGTCTTCTCTTCCCGACATTAATATCAGGTATGCATAGCGATACCCTGTCCTTGAGCTTGATTCTTACTAACCCGTCTTTTACTTCAAAGTTCCGAAATTCCTTTGGTGACTCAAGAATTGTCTTGAACAGCGGATCTTCTTTATATTGGTGCTTCAATTGCTCCAACAATTCAGTCTCATGAGGGTATGTGACCGGGATTATTTCTGGTGTCTCTTCCTCATTATTATTATCTTTGTCTCTATCCAGGTTTTTATCCAGATTTATCTGGTCCCTCCCCTCCATTTGTGTTGGTGGGGTCACAGGCTCACGCGGTCCACGCAAGACGAATCGATCTCTCACGCGACAGGCGAACTCCGCGCTCGTTTCCATCCTTACTGGTGCTGCTGGCAAAGGTAGACCCCTTCCAGACTCAATGGCCTTCTGGCGCTTGGGAAGTCGACCTCCCACAGGAACCGCAGCCCCTCGTGACGAACTGAATCCACCGCCCATGGAACGGCTGGCAACCTCACGGTGGTTTCCTCCGCCCTTAGAACTGCCCCTGCCCTTGGGACTGCTGGCATGGGAAGACCCATGTGCCCCCCCTCTATAAGTAGTCTGAACCATGGCAGGTTTGTCCATCCCCCTGCCTCGGGCCCCGTTGCGCGCTAACAACTGTAGAAGTCCTTCAGATGATTTTGAAGCCACCTGAAGGCCTGATACCGACGTTGGCTGCTCAGGGCGGTCCGTCCCTCCCTGAGAGCTCATCTGACCAGTTTTATAGGCCCATAATCGTGCTAGGGACGCCGCAGTCCTCTTCCTCTCACTACGCCGCGGTGTCATTGCTTCAGCCTCCGCCCCAATGAAGACAGGCATGCTGACCAAGTCAGATATATCAGCAGTAGGTGAGTGCTCGTCATGTGTTACATACTCGCTGACTGAACGAACCGTCCCAGGTGCATCAAAGTCGTACATTCTCGACAGCGCGTCCGGTAGTACATTATGCTCACCAGGGAGGTACTGGATGGCAAAGTCAAACTCGCCCAACTTCTCCATCCAGCGGGCTTGTCGCCCAGACAAATTCTTTTGATTCAGTAAGTGAATCAAACTCTTATGATCTGTTAACCATATAAACGGGCATCCCTGTAGGATGTCCCGGTGACGGAGCATGGTCTCAACCCCCACTAACATTTCTTGCTCATGTACAGGATAATTGCATTGTGCCGCATTGAGTTTTGCGGAGTAAAATGCCGCGACCTTCACAATTTTCCACTCTCTCCCTTGCGCTATGATGCCCCCAATCCCTGTGGGGCAGGCATCCATCATCATCCAGACCTGGGGTTGGTCTGGACCATAGGTGAGTGGTACCCTGTTATGTTCCGTGCATGCTGCTACATAATGCTTTACCTCCTCAAAAGCTCGTTGTTCCGTTTCGTCCCATCGAAAGGGGACCGTATCTCCGCAAACAGCTGATAATACCCCCAGTGGTATTCGTGCCTTGTGGATATCATCCGCGAGGTACCCAACCGCCCCAATAAAACCTCTACAGAGGTCGCGATTGGTAGGCGTCTTCCAATGTAAGACCTTATCTACTTTATCAGGGTCCATCCTAATTCCGTCATCACTAACTATTCGTCCTAGGATTCGCATCACTGGGTTCAAGAACTTAAGCTTCTTCTCGCTGAGGAATAGCTTTTCGCGCTCGAGGATTTTTACCACCTTCTTACGTGCTCAATATGATCCTCAAGCGTATCTGAATATATTATGATATCATCTAGGTATACATCCATGAATATACCTATGTACTCCCCGAAGAGGTAGTTCATGACTGCCTGGTAAGTGGCAGGCACGTTGCAATCGCCCTGCTGAAGGACGTGGCTCACCATATTCCCGTCTGGGGTTGTCATTGCGGCACGTGGAACGTGCTCTGGAATGACACATATCTGCTCATAAGCATCTTGTCCGTCCATTAGGGAACAATATCTCTTTCTAGCTACGCGACGGAGTATTCCTTCCATGTCTGGAAGAGGTGATGTGAGTTTTCTTGTGTTTTTATTGCATTCACACAAATCTACTACCGTCCGCAGTCTATCTGTCCCGGGCTTTCTAATGAAAAGCATCGGGACCGTATTCCCAGCACTAGTCATCTGCCATCTACCAGATGCAAGGTATGCACTTCGTTTTTTAGCCCACTGAGGTCTCATAGGCTCAGGGCATCGCGAGGGTCGCCATGGGTAGATTTTCGTCTCATCAATCAATGGTACAGTATGATTTATTGCTCGCAAGGGAGGTAAGCTCGTGTCTGCTGCCTTGGCACACAACGGTTTCACTAACTCAACCAGAAGCGCTCTGGCTTTCTCAATCTCATCCTGGAACACGTCCACGGCCCTTGATTCAAGTGTCGTAACCCCAGTTCCTTTCAGCGGAAGCGGGTCCATACTCCCTAGTACCACTCGTGGTGCGTTGAATCCTACTGTCACGCTATGTTGGTACAGAAATGGTGTACCGAGTATTAAATCATAATTTTGCAGGTTTATAACATCGAAATAGCGCTGGTAATCCGCGCCCTGATACTGGAACCTCACCTGGGTACCATAGTTTACCTCGGACCTGGATCCCTGTACTGCTAACTGAATTGTTAACGGTTTTTCTAGCGTGGTAAGCTTACAATTCAGCTGTTCGGCTGTAGTTAGCGACATAAAGTCTGCTAAAGATCCAGTATCAATTAGGGCCCTTGCTGGCCTCCCATTTACATGGACTACGACCACTACGGGCTTTGGAATCGCGCGTCGAAAGTCCCGGGTCATGGCTGAATTGCGCTGTAAAGTGGGGTAAGTGTCTCGTGGTACTTGTACCCCGCACACACTAATTTCTGTTCTAGGCCAGTCCGACCTCTCGACAGACTTCACAAGGCTCCCAAATTCTATCAACCAGCTTAAGGTCTGCGATAGCACCTTTTGCGTGTCTTGAGGTATGGTGAACATGTGGGCCATTCCCTTATACTGACCATCATTTCTCCGTAGCAAATCAAGGTCTAGGGCTAGGCGTAATCGTCGTACTTGATGGGCATACCACTGTTCTGGGTCCCACCTCCATAGACGGGCTTTACCTACAGGTACTTTTATTTTCAAATCAAGTTTCCTGTCGCTGATCTCGTAGTCCCCGTCCTTCACTCTTAGGCACGTGAACCTCAGCGGGTTTCTTCCCGTTTTTTGACAGGCGCATTCAATCGTACTTAGGGGTTCCTTAGGGGAGAAGTCTCCCAGCCACCATACTATGTGCTCAGATACAGCATCTCCCATTTCTGGTTTGAGGTTCTTCCGTTCTCGAGCTACTGCCCTCAACCATGACTTATCATAGCCTAATGCTGACCCAAGATGAATCCAATACGCGCAGTCTAGCCGGTACCACAGATTCTCAAGATTTTCCCTGGGGATCCTCATGTCCACTCCAAGACCTTTATGTAAGTAATCCTCAATGATGTATTCGTCCTCTGACACTAAATAGACATTAAAGCGATCAGGATCATTCCAGCT